TGGGAGTTTCTTGGAGTTTCATATATAGCGCACCGTATAAAAATAGATGGGTATGAAAACCAAACGCTAGCAAAAAGTAAAGCCGTTTTAGTTTTCTGCGCAACATACTCGCGCATCTCATAGCGCGAAATGAATACCTACTCCTAACGTAACATAAGTCATATAATTTTATGTAATTTAGTTTATGTAATATATTTTATCAAATCAATATAACTATTTCTTATATTTACGCGAACACTACACATTAAATGAATCAATTTTTACGGATTACGGTCTCAGTTACTAAATTTCCTAAAATTTAATATAATGCAAGCGTTGATTCAAATAATTAATCCTATATTTTACACATAAAATACTATAGTACATACATAATAAAACGGGGGGTGGGCGGAGCTCGCGTAGCCACTAAAATGTCACTAACACGTCAATTCACACGTATAAATGTCAACACGAGATGTGTTTTGACGTTACAATCGTTTCCAAATTTCGCATGCAAATTATTTAGGAAATACCAAATTGCACCCTATTACAAATAAATATGTATTAAAATTTAATGATGATCTTGAACATTAATTAAAAGTGTAAAATGTGTAAATTTACTCGGTCTGTTAACACAGCGAATCGGGTTTGGCGACGCCAATTCTCGTATAAAATAAAGTTGACAGCCATTCTATTGTGTATTATAGTATTCTATGATTTTATACATGCAACTAGCTGATCCTGCATACTTTATCCTGCCCTTCCCTGTAAGAAGTGCGTTGACTTTCTCTCAGAATTTACTACTTGTCCTTATTACTATAGACTGGTTATTATATAGACTGGTTTACCAGTCATCAAGCTGTCATTAATGGTCATGACATATCTGACTGGTGTCAACCCTCCACTGGCGTACCACAAGGTATTCCACTTTTATTATCTCAACTTCTGTTCTACATTTTGATTAATTTTCTCTCTTATCAACTTGGCTACTCTTATCGTTTTTGCGCTGATGACCTGCATATTTATATTCATGCAGACGGCAACTCTTTTAGTGATGCTATTGCCAGACTCAATATGTAATTAATGTATGTATCTTCACAATTGGTCTCGTAAGTCTAGCTAAGCCAAGCTATAGTAATTGTTAGTGTCCAACAATTGTCTATGTTTGACGTCAGTTGCGTTCCGCCTGTCACGTTTGTTAGTTCTATCATACCGTACCCCGATTGCGTTAAAAATTTAGAACTTTAACACAATCTTATGTTGGTCTACCCAAATTCAGAATATCAGTGGTCCTGTTTTTGCTAAGCTTTATACGCGGTAGAGCCATGCTGCAGTTATATTAGTAGTATAGTTGTAATACGAATGGGTCGACTCGACCGGGGAAGGACCACGCTCTCGCAGAATACCAGCGTAAAATAGTAGATTAATGCTGCTGTGTTTTGTATGATGAGTGTAGAGAACCGGAGACCCGTTTTACTGGGAACGAGGCATTCCATCTTAGTCCTCACTGGTGACAACGCATCTGCATTTTGATTCGTAATCGAGGATAGAGGTAGATGTCTATGAGCCGCAGCAACCACTTACCATCAGGTGGGCTGTGTGCTAGTTTGTCACCCTATCCTATAAAAAAAGGTCTGTGCTTTGAACCGTCTTAAGGAACTTTCTCCCGATAGATGTAAATATAATTCTGGTGCAATCTCTTATTTGCCCATTATTTATTATACTCATGTATGTTCCCTTATCTTAACGAGATTTTCCTAGATAAGCTAGATCTGTCGTAAACTGTATCAGTATTATTTTTCGTTTTCGCAAAGTTGATCGCATTTAGCTTAAATGGCTTACAATTCGTCAGCGAAGACACATTAGGATACTTAACACAATTTTTACCAATATTAATATTTATAACTCATTTTGACTCATAAATATAGAATTAGTTAGTAACTTAATTACAGTGTCACCTCTCAACCGAGAGGCATAGCAAGAATACCATCATCTGGACGAAACATGTGTGTAAATATGACATTAATCGATTAAACTGTTCAGAAGTTGCATGATCACTAATAGACGCACCAAGAATTTGAGATATTATGATAGTACCTACATATGTCAAAATTACATGGCCCAGTTTATTTGACACAAATTCCGATCATCGTGTTTAATAAATGTTTAATAAATTTTACAGCACAAACAACAGATATCATTTATAGTGTTGATGTATCTATGATCTTGCTACATTTAATATATTCAATTTGTATTTTTTTATTGAAAGGCGTGACAAACGAGCACACAGTACAACGGATAGTAAGTGGAATCTGTGACCCATAGACATTTACATCTATCCTCGGTTAAGAATCAAAACTCAAATGCGTTGTCACCCCTGAGGACTAAGATGGAATACCTCATTTCCAGTAAAAAGAGTCTCCGGTTCTCTACACTCACCATACGAAACACATTGAGCTGCTATATTAGGCTGATATTCTGTAAGAGCGTGGTCTTCCCCGGTCGAGCCGACCCATTAATGCTATAATCATAATATAGCTGCAGCACGGCCCTACTACGTGTAGTCCCCACTTTAGGTTATGGTAGTGAAAGTTGAGTTTGGCAGTAGAACCATGAGAGTGAAACTAAAGCTATAGAAATGCGGTCATTAAGAAGTATGTCAGGGATGACTTCTTTTTTTTTATAAAACGTTACCCCACACTTGGATTTTCTACGGCGTCGTAGAGGCAGTTTACGAACATAAATTGCACAAGGACAAACATCCAGGCCCGGAACAATTATTTGTAGGCCATATGAATACTTGTTCCATGCGGGATTCGAACCCGCGGCCCCCAGCGCAGCCACTCATTGCTAAACCACTGCGCCACGGAGCCGAGCCGACGGATAAGCTTAGATTGATAGGGTGTATAACAATACAAATATGGTGTATAACAATTGTATGATAAAAGAAAAGTGTGGTTTGCAAGCTGTTGTGACTTGGATTAAGAAAGGAATGTTTCAGTGATTTGGACACACACATTAGGACACGAATAACAATTTTTATATTTGTCTGTCTGTTCGATATAAACTTCGCAATGGCGGAACCGATGATGATGAAACTTTACGAACAGATAAAGGGCAATACCAGGAGAGATTTTAGCTATATTTTATACAAAAAAAAAACTCAAAGGTATTTTTTGTAAAAACGATAAAATTGATCAAATAAATGAGTCTTTGCTTATCTTAAATCACATGCCACATTAATAAATCTTATCTAAGCGAAACCGGGTCGGTCGCAAATTTTTATTAAAATTGGTTTGCTCCGGTCCCGAAACTGAGAATGTCGGAACTTCCCGAACCCTAATTACGTCATGGTTAGGAGAAAGTAGCATTATTAAATGATTCGTTAAGATCTCCGCGGCTTCTGGCCCCGATCCAAGCTCTCTCGACGATCAATTACTTATGCACCTCGGCTTGATTCCGTCGATAGAAAGATATATGGATTTGGCAATTGCCTGAAATTCAATCACGTCGACAACAATTCGCGCATTTTTTCTATTCAAAAAACTCAAATTGTTAGCTAGGAATTCTTCCGCTAAGCAGTAACGTGCCAAGTGCACCATTATTGAGTTCCACCAGCAATTATTTGTCACTAAATGGATGTCCAGATCCCAGCTTATATAGGTTTGATTGTATCGATCTATTCGTATGATGGTCTGTATGAGTGGTAAGAGTCGTCTTGGTACGGATAAAGTAAATGGCTGACGCTGAGCAATTTTTTCAACTTACTTCAAAAAAGAAGAAGGTGCTCAATTCGACTGTATTTTTTATGTTTGTTGACTCAGAACTTTTTTCTAGGAAACCGATTTTGATGATTCTTTTTTATTTGAAAGCTGGTGTTTCCCGTGTGGTTCCGTATAAATTTGATTTGATTTTTGGGTTATCCCTAATAATGCGTATTCAATTGACTTCAGCTATATAGATGATGTTCTCATGTTATTTATATTGAAGTCAGTTTTACAATATTTTTAATTGTTTACTTGTCTATTAAAAAGTCAGAACTTAAGTGTGTAGCCATCATTTAAGTCTATAAAGCATTGAAAACGACTTCTTTATTGAATAAAACTATTATTTACGGATTTTATCGCGTTTAATTATTTTAATTTATTTTTATTATCCCGACGTTTCGGGTGCTTTACAGCACTCATGGTCACGGGGGGAACTGAGATTTTTGAATTCCCAATAAAATAACTGTGAGAATAGTCCGGCTACCTTCAGTTTTTGAATATTAATGTTTGGTCCGATTTACGCATGGTAAAAATTGACTAATGATAAATTGACTGATGGGTGGAAAAAAATTAACATCCATCAAATGTAATATTCCTCTACAAGATGCAGGTGTGTACAAGCTAGATTGTGAATGTGGTCTCTCTTACATAGGTCAAACAAAAAGATCTATAAAAACCCGCGTGAAGGAACATATAGCTGACGTGAAGCACCGACGCTCCGGGAAGTCTGCAGTCTGCGAACATGTTCAAGATTGTCTCTACCATTACATTCGTTTTGAAAAACCACAAATCCTCGCAAAAGAACACCGATTCCTACCAAGGATGATACGAGAGGCTATTGAAATTAAAAAACATCCAAATTTCAATAGAGAAGATGGATGGGTGCTGCCAGCTGCTTGGGATCCTATAATTAACAAAATTAAACCCAAACCCAAGCATACCACTACAAGACTTCATAATACTATAAGCTCGTTTTGCGTAAATCGGACCAAACATTAATATTCAAAAACTGAAGGTAGCCGGACTAACTATGATACGGGGATAAAAATAAAAAAAAAACAATATAATGTGTGCTAAATAACTTTAGAAGGACTTCAACATTTTTATGTGTACAACTTAGATTATGATCATTCCTCTAAATCTAATATTCGTTTTCTTAAAAAGACGGGTTCAATAGATCAGGTCACGTGTTATTTTTAACAGACAGAGCGTTGTCTTTTTTAAACTTCTAAAAATAATATGTTTTGCTCACAGAATATTGCAGACAAGCTCGGCGACGAAAAAGGTCTTGCAGAACACCTCAAGCTTCCTATACAAAGGATCAACGATTACCAGCTCCTATTGAAGGTAAGGTATTCTTCCTTTATTTTTGCATATTAATAATTTTCTTGGTAATCATTTTTCGGGCTTTGGTTACCTACTTACATGGTTAGCTCGGCTAGGGAATGACACTAGCGAAAGAAAAAAGATCTTAGTTATTCTTTCTCTAAGAAAATGTTGAAGCAGGCGTTTTCTTTTTTAATATAATAAGGGTGACAAACCAGCACACAGTTTACCTGATGGTAAGTAGACGTTGACTTCTACATTTATCCTCTATTGAGAATCTCAATACAGACGCGTTGCCCATCCCTGACGACTAAGATGGAACGCCCCGTTTCCAGTAGGAAACACTTCTCTTGTTCTTTACACTCACCATAATAAATACAGCAGTATTAAGCTGCTATTTCACGCATGTATTTTGTGAGAGCGTGATTATCCCTTGGTCGAGCTACCTACCTATTTTCATTGACAAACAGTTTAACAAAATTTTATGAAAAGTTTTCTAACCACATGTTGAACCCAAACGACGAAAAAATTCTTACCAAAAATAGCTATTAATAAGATGAGATATAACGTAACATGTAAAACATCTGTTGAACAAAATGCGTCATAGGAACTAATGCAATGTTTTCAGCGTTCTATTTTTTTACGAGTACTTACATTTTTTATACTATTCGAATGTAAACAAGCAAACCGTTCTCCTAATGGTCTCCTGACGTATTTTAAATAACGATTACAAAAACTAATCAGCTCTTAACCTCAAAAAATTACGTCGATTGCCGTTTGAAAAATAAAAATCAGTTAATTCGTTTGTGAGATTTCGAAGGAGAAAGAATTTGAAAAAAAAACACGGGTTTTTTAACATAACTTCGAGATTTCGCAACATAAATTTATGAAATTTGGAGCGCTTAGCATTTGAAATTAGCGGGAAGTTCCAGGAATGCAGTTCCAATTTTTCTTGTTTGAAAGGTACCACCCAAGTTATGTTTCAAAAACATTTGTTCAGTTCAGATCATTGGCTCTTTTTGTTTCAGGAGTTTTTAATTTTTTTAATTTCAGTTACCATTCAACAATTTTTATATTTTTATATTGAGTTTCTTAATTATACCAAAGAGTTATCTAATTTTTTAGTGTTTTATAACGTTTTACAAATAGAACTCGCACTTTATTCGCGGTCTTTTTTATTTGTTATTACTTTATTTTATAACATTAGCTTATACTCTATTGTTTTTTTTAAATATGATCAAGAACAAAAAATAAATCAAAAAGATACAGTGAGATGGTCATACAGTATAAGCCGATTACTTCCAAGCAATTTTTGGATAGTTTGGATGGCAAGAGAAAAAAAAATGTTTAGCTTGCGATTCTAAAGCAGTTGAATGAAATTTCTGTAAATGTTCACGGAGTTTGCATCAAAAATTTTAAAGATCTCAGATTAAATCTTAGAACATTTCTATGTAACTTTTTAAACTAACTTTCTAAAACAAGTGATAAACTTAAAAAAAATTATACAACCGACTTCAATATAACAACACACATAAAAAAACTTGCAGTCGAATTGAGTACCTCCTCCTTTTTTCGAAGTTAGTTAAATTAAAAGCAACATTAAAGCTTAGCATTACACGGAACAATGATAATTACAAACAGATCTAAACTAAAGGAGAGCTATCTTTAATTATTGATTCACAGTTCACATTATACTCGTTGCTGGCTCGACTCGCCTGTGTAAATATACGAAACGTGACGCTTTTAATGTGCCATTATTGCGCTAAATTCATTGCCAATGAAAAGTTTAAGCTTTAAGTCAGACAGAAGGTCACTTATTTGTCTTTCTGCTATTTCTGTATACAGATCGAAGCTCTTAATGTAATATCTATTTAGATAAGAGAAATCAAGAGAAAATAATTGATTTTTATTTTATCTATTGGATTTTTATTTTATATTACATCTGTTCTAAATTTATGTCCACGAGATAACAGAAAACGGCAACTGTTTTTAGATGTTGACCGACAAATTTTATTTATGTAGTATGTTGATGATTATAAAATATATTCATTGTTTTAAAGTAATCTAGGTTTGACACCTTTTTTGAGCAAATATAGTATATCTATTTAACTTTCAAAGATAAAAAATTAAGTAGAACGTTTGAAAATTAAGTATTTTTATTGATTTGCTGTGTTTCCACATTATTATAATTATTTCTCTTATTTTTAGCAACATCTAATAAATACTTGTTATTAGCTACCTTAAAATACTTTTTGCAACTTTTGTGTAAACAAAATCAGAAGAGCAAAAACCGAAAAATCTATTATATTTTTTATCTATTATATTTATAGTATTTTTTTCTTGTCGCTCATTCTTATATAGCTCGCTGTGTATATAACTTGTAACTAATATATAACTTGCTTTGAAAATATATTATAATTTGGAAGAGTTATATTGTTTAATTAGGAATGATGATACATTCATTTGAAGCTGAATGATATATACTTTAAAATGAATTTGACGGTACGATATACGCGCTACCTACTGTAAGTTAACTGTAAAATGCCTATAATCTTCGCATAAGTTTTAGCGTAATCTGATGAACGATTACTCTTCTATAATAGGCCTCATATTTAACAAAATGACGCTAACAAAATTTTTATTTCATAGGAACTTGTAAAGTATTCGAAACGTCTCGGCGAAGACTGCACCGATCTACAGAACGCCCTAGAACTTTTCCTCGGCGTTCCAAACCGTGCCACCGACAACAAGTTCATATCAAGCATCGAGGGATACCGTGGAAACATCTACAAACTTGGCCGATTGCTTACTCACGACTGGTTTACAGTTTCCGTAGCAGAAAAGTCCAGTGAAAGATACTTGTTTTTGTTCAAAGCTAGAATCTTGATCTGCAAAGTTAAGAGGATCGAAAACGATAGATCAGTTTTTATATTGAAGCATATCATTAAGGTGAGCAATTTTGATATTTTTTTATAGGATAGGGTAACAAACGAGCCCACAGTCCATCTGATGGTAAGCGGTTGCTGTGGCCAATAGAAATCAACATCTATCCTCGATTACGAATCAAAATGTAGATGCGTTGTCACCAGTGAGGACTGAGACGGAATGCCTGGTTCCCAGTAAAAGGGTATTGCATTTGTATCATCATCGCCGTCAGAACACCTTAGTCCACTGCTTAAAGTAGCATCTCCCAAATCGCTTTTGCTCTCAGACTTAAGAACTACAAAAGCTTTCACAAGATCAATGATGATGTTCAACGTGGTCATGATAATGATCATGATCAACTTGGCCCCTGGTCTGAAATCCCAGTCGGAACATCTTTTGTGCTAAATGTGTGATTGTCTATGACTTTGGCGACGATTTTTGAATAATAATTGATGTCACAACTATGGTTTTTTTGTACTTTTTTTAAACTACTGGTATCAAATCCTATACCTTTAAACGAGCAATTCTTATATATATATATATATATATATATATGTGTATATATGTGTGTGTGTGTGTGTGTGTGTGTGTGTGTGTACGGCTCCGACGATTTTCATAAAAAGTTTCGAGGGCAATAAATCGATCAAGCTATGATTCATTTTTAGAAAATGTCGTTTTGTCCGTGTTTTCAGGAAATGAAAAACTTGTACAATATAAGAAGGTAAATTTTTGCAATCTGTTAATGATTATAATAGCTCTAATGGGATATCGGGCGGTCCTGAAATCGTAGTACCCTTCGAGTTCGAGTCCTGTCATCGATCTGACTTTTTTCCTTTTTTTTTCAAGTTTCCTTCTTTTATGAGAAAATCTATTATTTCGAGCCCTTTTTTTAGTTTACTTCATATTTCATCAGTATTTAATTAGTATCTAAATATAATTTCAAAAAAAAAAATACCGAGCAAAGCTCGGTCATCCAGGTACTATTATATGTATTATTTAATTGTACTTAATCATAAAAAATCAACAAGTATGTATTCCTTAAATGTGACCGCTCCATGCTCAGCAATATAGATTTACAGCCTGATGAAAAGGAAGTAACACTTAGTATGTTGACTTTGACTTTAACATAATTAAACTATATAGGTACCTGTCTTGTATATTGATGTCTTAAACTTCCTATCACAGCTCCCTGACGTCGAAGTCAAGGACTATTCAACAGATAAGCTCAAATTCGAGCTTCATCAGAAATCGCCACCGCTGATCTTCACTCTCGCGGCGCATAAGGAGTCAATTAAGAACAACTGGCTGAAGGAAATCAGACAGCACTCCAGTGACGTCGGTAAGTTAATGCGCTCATGTTTCCAGTGTTGAGAGTTAGTTGAGCAGTGTTTTAATAATAATAAGTTGACGATTAATTATTTAAAACTCGCAAACGCATTAGGGGTCAAGTTACTAAGTTTTTATACATGGAAAGCCCACAAACAAACATACTATAACAATAAGTGGATGCTGTGGCCTATGATACCAAGAACTATTCTCGATTAAGACCCAAAAGCTTTGTCTCAGTTTTTTTGTCGAACGTCTTGTGTCTCCGGATCTAACCGCTCGCTATACGAAACACAGCAGTACTATGTTGCTATTTTACGTTCGTATTTTGTCAAAGTATTGTACTACCTTAGTCGAGCTAATCAATATTTACTGGAAGCATAATAAGCTGCAATGTCTGCCACGTAAAACAAAAACTCCAATCAAAGTAGGTTTTTAAACAGATAAAGAGTGACGCTGCGTGATCTTTGACTTAATTTTTTAGAATTATTTTTCAACTTTATAACCTACACTGGGCATAGACGACATCCACCTGATGGTAAGTGAAGTGACTAGTATAGTCCATGGACACCTGAAGCCAACTTCAAACAAAAAACTCCAAATGCGTTGTCACTTCCGAGGACTTAGAGGGGATGCCTCACAGCCTGTACTATACTGGCTCTATACCCTTCAGAACGACTGCTGTGCAAGCATACAAATGCGAGAGGAAGGTACATGGCCCGGTTGGGTCCTAGATTCTTCCTAGAAAGGAGTCCTACGTCCTAGAAAAGAAGCTATATTAAACAACACAGTAAGTTAAATAGAAATAGATATTGCAACACAAGTAGAAATAGATAGAGAAGTTAATATTACTGTATATATCAGTCACATTTTTAGAAAACGAATATAATGTTGCTCAAGATTACTCCTCAGTAGAAAATTTATTTTGGCATCGCTTTAAATTAGTTCATTTTGCAACTCAGTTATTTGTGCAGCTCGACAATCCTATATATATAAAAAAAAAAAAAAAATATATATAATATATATATAGGCGACAAAATATGAAATAAAAAATAACGACTCTGTGAATATATTAGTTTATTAATATCTTCACAGAGTCGTTATTCAGAACAAATCAAGAAGAACACTATTTTTGAAACACGAATGGGTCGGCTCGACCAGGTAGGGCTACGATCTTACAGAAAACCAGCGTAAAGTTTAGAGAACCGGAAACTCTTTTTACTGGAACGAGGCATTCTATCTTAGTCGTCAGGTGTGCCAACACATCTGCATTTTGATTCTTAATTGAGAAATATAGATGTCTATGAACAGCATCCGCTTACCATCAGTTTGACTGTGCTCACTGCTCACCCTAATTCTATAAAAGACTATTTAAAGTTGAACGACTCTTTTGCCAACATATTATATCAAACTAATTTTACAATGCTGGTGATATTGTACTGTTTAACATTTACTTTTAAAAAATTGTTCTCCAAGAATAGGTTATTATATATCATATAGAAGTAAAAATTGTATTATTATGTGTTATAATATAAATGCGTATGGTGGCGGTGTAAGAGAATCCATCAGCCCATTTCGTCCAATCGGTAAAAAGACTAAGTCTTATGCCTTCCGATAGATGGCGGTATTACCATTTCGTTTACATTAAAAGTAGACCGTAAACAGACCGGCGATGGGCAGCAGAGTAAAAAAAAACAAGCGCAGTATCCCAAGAGTACCTGACATATTAGGCGTGTTAATAAGATGAATTAACAGTGGGTCGGCCAGCGCGATGAAACGACAACTCTCGAAAAAAGGATTCTTGAGTAGTAGTTTCATACTAATGACGATAGCAAACATTTTTGGAGTTGATGAATGACTCAGTGCCGTGCTTTGTAGAAATCTATAAGGGTGGCCTTTCTTTAGCAGTAGACTTTTTATGGCTTTGATAAGAGAAAAAATTTTACACTATTTTGTAGATACTCTATTGAATACATTTACTTTTATTATATGAAGCCTAGATATTTTTGTATAACAGTCAAGTGACAAATAAGTCATAAGTCAACTTGGTTGTTAGTAGTTGGAGCAGCACATTGACAATTGTGACTAACTTTAAATAAAAAAGTCACGGATGCGTTTTCATTTATTTAGATGCGTTTTCATAGTATCCTATGGTTTTCAGCCCTGTGAACCAAGATAGAATGCCTAGTTACCAGTAAAAAGGATTCCGGTTCTCTACACTCACCGTACGAAACATAGAAATATTATGGTGCTGTTTTACTCTGCTATTCTGTTACGGCGTATTCTTCCCCAGTGAGCCAATTCATCCGTTCTGCAGTCATTATTCAACTGCAGCGTGACTCCGCCGCGTAAATTTTAATATGTGTCGATAAATTAATTATATTTGCATTTTTGAAAATTTTGTTGCAGTTGCACTAGCTGAACACGCAGCTGACGATCTTCAGGTATTATTACCGGAACAAACAGCATCGGAATCGGAATATTTGTCCCCAGAACCTGAAGATAAAAAAAAGAAAAGGCAGCATACAGATAATACCCAAGTGGAAGAAGAAAATCCGAATAAGGAAAAGCGATCTAGGACAGAGGAAGTTCAAGTAGCTGAAATACTTACAAGAGAAGAATCTCTTGCAGAGTTGCAAGCAAAGAGAAAAGCATCCATAGAAAGTGCTAAATCGAAAAAAGCGGCTAGGTCCGAAACTCAAGAAGTATTATCTACAAGCGAGGCTCACGAAGTGGTAATTGCAGACAATACTAAAATAACAGCTGAACTTGAAATTCAATCATCATTTGATATACAAGAAACAGAGATTTGTGAAATTCAATCCACAACATCTCTTTCTGAACAAAGTAAAATAAAAATAAAAGAAACTGAAGAAGAAAGAGTAGAATTTAATTCAAACTTATCTTCTACTGCTTGTATATCAAACAAACAGTCTAACGTTACATTGATTGAGGCTGAAAAAGTAGCGAAAGATAGTAGCATTGCTTCTGATGAAATAAAGATCGTAGAGACAGAAGGAGTTAGTTCTGCAATTTTAAAAGCCCAAATTGAGGTACAAAACGAAGAAATTTTAATTGTTCCCTCAGAAGTTTCGAGAGAAGAGCCAAAAGCGGGAATATTTGTTCAAGAAGAAACTTCTTCGGTTTCACTATCGAAGCAGACGAAAGTTACCTTAGAAAGCTCATCAGGAGAGCAATCATCACAAACATCTTACCAGGTTTTTGCTGAGCAAACACAAGCTGCCAATCCAATCTGTAAAAATAATAATCAACATAATAAAGAGGAATCTATTGATCAACAACTGCAGAAAGCAACTGAATCAAATACAGTTCAGTCTATTATTTCGTCATATGTGGAACACAGTGACTTCACAACTAAATTAAAACTAGACACAGAGGAATCAATATCAAACAAAATATCGGAAGTTTCTTCGATTGAAAAAACTAAATTAACAGCAGCGGAGCAGCCTCTAATTACAAAAGACAAATCGACTTTTGAAAACCACGCTCAATCTACTTTACAAACATCTTTGCAACAACAAACTGTCGAGGCAGTTAGTACTGAAGTTTTAAATTCCCAACAACAAGTACTTTCTTCTGAAGAATTATATGATCAAAAAGAATATATATCTGTAGATGAACGTATTGAGCAACCAGCGTTAACTATAACCACTGTAGAATTATCTGAAGAAGATAAAAAACAGACAAATAATTCATTATTTAGTAAAGAAAAAAGTGTGTCAAAAGACCACACTGCTAATGAAATTGTTGAAAACACAAATGATCAAGCTGCAGTAACAGAATCACAAAGTAAAGACAGTAAGGAAATTAAAGTAGAAGAATTAAGCGAATCGGGCGCAGAATCACGAGAAGAATTTGTTACAAATAGTCAAACTGTAACCGCACAAGAAAACGTTGAAGACGAGATGACGTCGAGGTACAATAGTCGTAGTTCGAGGTTGTCTGGAGGTAAATTTTCATGTCTTTATTTTGAATAATCTTTTTATTTATTTTACGTACGCACAACGTACAACTTACAGTATAGTGGAGGTGTAGGAATATCCCACTACCCCATATCATCCCGTGGTTGTCGTAACATGCGACAAAGGGAATCAAGTCAGGAAATTGGCTACAGCGTCTTCTTAACAACGGCTAAAAATAAAAATGGCTGCAGTTCTCAACCCGCTTGCCAAGCGTGGAAACTATGATAAATATATAGTAACAGTAACGTTAAAAGTTGTACGTAAACGATTTCGTTTTAATTATTTATTTTTTAATATATTATTACATTCATTAATTACACGTTACGTTACGGTACAAGCATAAGTTTATAGAAACTTTACCGTGTACCGGTATCACCGACAACAACAAATATGAGGTTAGTAGAAAAAAGAAATACACTTAGTATTTATTACTTAATTGCGTGATCTTCTATTGCATAATGCACCGCGCATGGATCATATATATTATACAGGTCGCTTGTTTAAGGAGTTTTCGTAGTATTTATTATTAAAACATACTATGTATAATTTAAATTAGTAGTAATCACTAAATTAATGGTATTAATTTATTTCAGCCTTCTTATAGAATTCTGAAAAACGCAACACTATAATATTTCCATTGTATTCTATTATTTACAGTTGTGTACGTATTATTTATCGCAACAGACGTGTATAAAATGTGCAAATTTTGTTTAATTTAGAATATTCCAGCAGCACCCGAAAGTCTAGTAGTGGTCGGTATGAATCATCTACTGGGACGAGCCTATCATCTTACTCCAGACGTGAAAGTGGTGCTAGAATAGAGAGTAGTAAATATGAGACAAGCGGCAACATTGAAGGAATTAGTTCTTCCAAATACGAGTCTAAGTATTCGAGCGCAGGCGCCCGGATAGAAGGAGGTAATACCTATGGCGTCGAATCTAGCTATGAAAGTAAAGCAGAAGGAGGATCAAAATATGCTCTTGAATCTAATTATGAATCTTCAAATAAAATCGATAGCATTGCATCAAAATATGGTATAGACACTAATGGGAAAATTGAACGTCGCTCCTCAAAGTACAGCATGCAGAGCAGCTATGACGGAGAGAAGATTGAAAGCGGAGACAAACTTGAATCATCCATGGAGGCAACTAGTAAAATAGATAGTATCGCTTTAAAATATGGACGAGATATCAATGGAAGGGCTGAAGGCCGTTCAACGAGACTTAGCATTGATGCGGGTTATGATGGCGAAAATATTGAAAGCGGTACTAGAATCGAATCTGATTACCAGAAATCAAAAAAAGGAGAGTCTATTTACGAAAGAAAATATTCCAAAACTGCTTTATCTAACGGTTCAGTGACTGGAGAATATGAATCAACAAAGTCTGTCTCAAAATCTGAAAATTTAGATGGGAAACCTATTTTCTCCAAGACCCTCGAAGGACAGAACATCGAGCGTAAGTACACAACACCTGCCACAACCGTAGCAGTAGAAACACCTTAGTGCTTGTACATATGCTTTTAGTTATCTAACTTACACAAAACATTGTTCTAACAACGCTTCTATGTCCAAAAAGTATTTGTACGGTTCACATTAAAGATATTAAGACTTTTATTTTACATACATATTCCATTATAAAACTTGAACGATTAAAGTCACAGAACCGTACAAATTCATTTCTATAACAATGATCTGAATCCCCAGCGGGTGAGAACGCGGCGTTTGAATGCGCTCTTCTCGAATCTGATGATGTGAAAGTGACTTGGCTCAAGGACAACAAACCTTTAACCGACCGGCTGATGGACCGCTGCTCCATAACATCGATCGAAGGCAGCTACAAGTTGCTTCTGATGCACTGCAGGGAAGACGACGCAGGCACCTACACGGCTATTGCAGAGAACGTAAAAGGCAATGCCCATTGCACAGCTCAGTTAGTCGTTCAAGAGCGTAAGTGTTATGTTATATATTCTTTTACTTACATAGGACTTGGTCGAATTGCTTATTACAAGTTTATTTCGTTTTTAAAATATATGTTTGTGCGTTTAGTGTAGTTAAGAAACAATTGTTTGTTGTTATTTAAATTATATTTTCTCTTAAATTTAAGATCTAAGGGCAAACACAATTCGATCAAGTTCACAAAATTTTAATTAATTTTTAATTTCAGAGATATGTTCTACTTTTGATTTAAGTTTACCTTTTCTCAGTCTGCATGATGCAAAGCGACTTCACCAATTAAGACATCGTAAAAGCGTATAACTCGTAGCTCGTTGTCGCTTGTACTGTCCCATAATTTTCTTGTATTTGACACTGATCTCACGTATTTAGCTGTACACAGTTGCATGTCCTGTAGCATTTCGTTCAATGCAGCCCTCTTGCTTTATTTCTCTGTCTTTTTCTCTTAGTTTCCTAAGCTGCTAAATCAAACTACGCTAAATATTTGCAAATTGTAAGTTTTCAATTATCGATTCTGTTTCAGTTATACTTTATTTTCATTTTTCTTCTTAACCTTCTTATTTTTGACTATGAAGATTGTTAATATTTAAATCTATAATTTATTTGGTCAACATATTCCAAAAACTTAATGTCTCAGAAATTTGGGACCTGATTTCTATAATTTTAAAGTAAATTATCTCATTTACTTTTGTAATTTTAAATTCTCCATATTCAATCTCTTACTATTCTATTCTATAACTTTCGTTTTTTTCGTCTGACTTTGTTCATAATATACTTACTGAAAATTTACAGTAACACCAGAAGAAAGAAAAGAAAGGAACGCACTTAATGCGCCCTACTTTTTGGTGGCGCTGAAGGATACTGAAATTTTGCAAAACACTTACCTACGCTTTATGGTCCGGGTCAAGGGTGATCCCAACCCAACTGTTAAATTGTAAGTATTTTTGCTGTATTCTTGTTTATCGCCTGGTTTTATTATTTTGATTTTTCCGTCTATTTCATATTCTCTAGTTTCTTCACCAAAATGTTCATTATCTCTGTATAAATATACACAAACAGTGCTACGGATAATAGAATTGACATCAGGATATTGAATTCGAAATCAGCGTTTTAAGATGTTAAATCTTATTTCATTTACTTAATACACGAAACTATTTGAAAGTGTGAAAACGTCGTTGTTGTAAAAATTCGTTTATCAAGCCATAGTGCAAGAGCCAAGTGGTTATACGCAAAACTCAGTCGATATTTTGGCACATACCTTGGGGCACTCACCTCTCGGGGCATGCTAGTACAACCAGACGGGACTGAATATTGAACAGATATGAGGCATTTAAATGTAGTACGATGCAGACAGTCAATGTTTTATGTACAAGTATATTAAATCGGTATTGTTGCTGATTGTTAAAATGAAAGGAAAACCTAGTGAGGCGTAGTGCCAAAAAAATTCAGTTTGACTAAATTATACTGTCTCTGTAGTAGGCTACCTTGCATAATAGCTGGTAGTTCAGGTTACCTACATAACAATTCTAATAAAGCTGTGATAAATGTTGTGTAAAATGTGGTAGTGAAAATATATAATTTTACAAGTGCTTTATATAATTATTTTGTGTTCTGTCTGTTACACAACGTCCGTGAGTATTTTTTTCGCTTGTTCGTAACCTTTCAGATACTGGGCTTTAAGCCAACCGAAGTTGCATCGTTTAAAATAACAATATAATTATTCAAAGATGTGTTAATATAATTTGAAAGCTCTTATTAATTATTACCACTTATCAAATTGTTTGCGTCGTGTTTAATATGTGAAAACGTATAAAAGTTTCGTGATTTCATTTGGAACTATTCGTTTCCATTTTTTTCCATGTTTGTTTTTATAAAATTACATAATCCATATATAAACTCTTAGACCTGTCACCCAGAGGGGTAGGCAGATATTACGGTCTTCAATTTGCCACGATCCTAGCACAAATCTTTCGCTTTGGTCACACGCAACGTTTACACGATCGTCTGTTAATGGTACTGTAAATTAGGTTTTTTTTTTAAATTATAAATACTAATAAGAACTGCCTTAGATAGGATGTATTAGTCATAAATTAAATTAAACATGTGTTTATCCAATTTAAGCAATAATATTTAACTTTTGTTAACTTTATGTGCACTAAAAGTTTTATTAACGTTATTTAAGAAAATCAGAACAAATTACTGTAAAAACAATGTTGATAAATATCCAAACACGTTTTACAAAGGGCAACATGTTAGACAAGATATTTGTCCAGTTGTGATCCGTTTATAGGCTAACAGGGATATTTGTTTAAAGTAATTATTTGTGTTAAGATGAAGGTAAACATTATGTCAACTGCGCGGCTTAGTAGCCAGATTTATGTCTTCTAGACGAATTTCTATCACGGCGGTCGGTATCAACGAAGGCTATCCTTCTGCGCTGAACACGATTATAGTGCACAAGTGTGTGCGTAAACAAAGGCACACTTCTCACTCTGTACTCTTTACTCCTTCACTGTCATAGTCTGATGAAACGGCAATCCGACGCGACCGGAGAGAGGTCAGGTGCAAGACCTACGGCTTTACATGCTTTCCGAGGCGCAGAGATGATATATCGGCAACTTCTCTTACTAAATAAACATTTTTTGCTTTCTGCACTTCTTCTCCATATAAACTTTAACTCCGCGAAATTCCACAATTCTCCGAGCGTGCAATATGCTTATAGCCGTGTAATACTTTCAAGAAACCAAATTGTTTGGTTTTATATCAATGGTTTTTTCTTTATCAGATTCATATCAGAAAACTGGTCTTAGTATTACTATGTCAATATTATATATATATATATATATATATATATATATATATATATATATATATATATAATTACAACACGCTTATTTGAGTGTTGAAATTAAAAAAAAGAACATCATGCTTTATGTCTTTTTTTCAATGCCTCGTATATTAGGATCATTTTACCAACAGTTCATATCGGTCTGGTCAGTCAGTCCATATATGACTCTTCTAAGTCAATAGATTAAGCAAAAATTTCACACATCAGAAACATCACACTACACGAAGTTTTCCGTCACATCAGTCACTGGTCTGGATATTTTACGTCTTGTAATTTCACAGATGGTTGCTTTACTACCTTATTTCAATAGAGAAGATGGATGGATACTACCATCTGCTTGGGATCTTATAATTAATAAAATTAAATCCAAACCCAAGCATACAACTGCAAAACTTAAAAATACTGTAAGCTCATTCTGCGTAAATCGGATAAAAAATTAATATTCAAAAACTGAAGGTAGTCGGGCTAACTATAACATCGGATGTCAAACACCTCATTCCCCCCCCTCCATCAGTCTCTAGTATATATACAGTAATCTATGCCCCTATTGACCATGGGAGCTGTAAAGCACCCGGAACGTCGGGAATTAAAAAGTTAAATTAAACGCGATAAAATCCGTAAAAATTAGTTTAGTTTAATGACATTTCCAATGATCTAATTCAACAACATCTAAGAGTAAAATAAAATGATTATTTTATAAACGTCGTCTTGAGGTAGGCCTAATGTTTATTTAAGTCTAGTGACCTAGAGTTCAGGTTACCTGGCTGTAGCATTGGGGATCCTGGTCACAAATTATCTGGCATAGGCATTACACCGGACACAGATAGGTTAGGTCGAATTAGTTCTACTTTAATCTTTATAACCGGTAAAAATCCACTGTGATGGGAGCCTCTCCCTTTGTAATTAGGTTTTGTCTTAATCGCATAGTATGTGAATTGATTAAAGCAGTAGTATGTCGCATCTTTGACGATGTCCCGTCACTGGTCTAACTATTGCACCGTCATCTATATCCATTTCCCATGGTTGCCACTTACGACTCTCATGAAACTAAATTGAGCGTTGGAATTTATGTGTTAATGTTTACTTAAATCAATTGACGTAAGTTTTATTGTAGAAATAAACAAGTGGTAAAATAAAAAAATGTACAACTGACTTTAATATAATCAAAATGAGAACGTCATCAATGTATTCGATTCAATTAAATACGCATTATTAAATAAAACTCAAAAGCTACTGGTCAGATCTTGATTAAATTTATATAGGACCACACGAAAAGCACCAGCTTTTAGATAAAAAAAGAATCATCAACATCGGTTCACCCAGAGAAAAGTTATGAGGTAACACACATTAAAAAAACAGTCGAATTGAATATCTCCTTTTTGAAGTCGGTAAAAAAATACTTGTAATCTGTACTAACGTGTACTGGTAGTGTAAGATTCACTGCTACTATCCCACATCATACGGTGGGTGTGTGGGTGGGAGGCGACAAAGGGAAACAGATCAGGAGATGGGCAGCAGCACCCTACTAATAAGGACTAAAAAAACTGCGTTTGTCAAGCGTGGCAACTATGGCAAATATCCCCCCTTTGGGGCAACCTATGGGGGAGTCGTATATTTAGCAGAAGACTTTAGTAGATTGTAACGGTATCTGTTATTTAACCTCAAAGATCTCAACAATGATCCTCATTTTTCTAGCTATCGGGACGGCAAAGAGATCGTCGCCTCGTCGGAGAGCGACCGCGTATCCATTGTCCGCACTCACGCTGACAAGGGCTATTACGAACTGGTGATATCTGACGTGAACACAAACGACGCCGGTACATACTCCTGCCGCGCTATGAACATCTACGGCGATGTTGAGTCCGAAGCTAAGGTCACTGTCGTCGGTAAGAATGTTTTACAAATATCTAATGTTTTGATAATAACCGAAAAATTCATATATTATGTCGCAATGAAAATGTAAATAGTCTCGGAGATATATTATTTCAATCATAATTATGGCAATTTACAGTGCTGTGTGTAGTGAAAGTTGGGTGTGGCCGAAGAAGCACGAGAGTAGAAATAAATGCAGTAGAAATGCGGTTGCTAAGGAGTATGTTAGGGCTCAATATGAGTGACAGGGTGAGAAACTGTGTGATAAAAGAAGAGTATGGTTTGCAAGATGATGCTGTAACCAGGATTAAGAAAGGAATACTTCGGTGGTTTGGTCATGAAGAAAGAATGAATGAGGAAAGAGTGACAAAGCAAATATATGTTGCAGAAGTGAATGGAAGAGTCGGAAAGGGACGTCTTAGGCGAAAGTTTGTCGAACAAATCGGCGATATATTGAAAATAGGTCAAATTAAGAGTACCCTTCATCGACGAGCATGTATGCGTAGGTATACGTATGAATGTGGAAGAGGCGAGAGAGGTATGTCAGGATCGTACTAAATGGAAGTCACAGACGTGAGTGTTTTGTATGTATGTTACGTCATAATTAATTTTGTGTGTATACTTACCAAGTGGTAAAGCTACGCTGCTGCTGTATCATTGCTGCAGCATGAATAGCTTGGCTGACCAGGGAAGTATTCTCTCACAATATACCAGCGTAAACTAGCAGAATAATGATGCTGTGTTTCGTATGGTGAGATCTGAGTACCGGAAACGCCTTTTTGCATTTTTGAGTCCTCTGCTAGATATGTCTTTCCATTTAGGCGCAAGCTGGCGTTCATTAACCGGTAGATTCGCTCACACTCAAGAGAGTTACATTATTAATACGCGTGTCTATCGGCAAGCTCTGCAGATGGCTATGCTCGAGGTTTCCCTGTATGAAAAGCTTTAAAACGAGGATATACGCAGTAGAACCAGAGTAATCGAAGCCTAACGGATTAGTAAGCTGAAGTGGCAATGGCCCGGCCATATAGCTCGCAGAACTGACAAACGAGGAGAAGAAAGGTTCTCGAGTGGCAGTCGCTTTCCAGTAGATGAAGTGTAGGGCGGCCCCCCACTAGATGAAGTGACGACCTGGTAAAACATGCAGGAAATCGATGGATTCCGGTGGTTCATGACCGTGCTTTGCGGCAATCCTTGAGGGAGGACTATATTCAGAAGTGGACTTCTGAAGGGTAAACGACCGTGTATAACATATAGGCAACTTTTTATCTGCTTACGGAAAAGTAGGTAAATAAAAGGGCTATATTTTTCCTATTCATTAAATTTCATTGTCATTATGGCTGCTGGTGGTTCTATTTGTCCTAAAGAAGATTTAACTATACGTATAATAAATCTATAGAAAAGTGTGGAAATGAAACCCATCATGCCATCAACCAAAAAGTACAGAACAACGTCTACCGGGCCAGCTAGTCAGTAATATTTTGTTTCTATTGCGTTCATTTTTTAAGTATATCTATGATTCTGAAGTTAATTATAATACGTTATTATGTTATTGAATTGTATAATAAGATAATTATAAATTACACGTGGGCATTTACATTACCCGTATCATTATTTTTAAATTCATTTTCATCGGTGCATTATACTTTTAAACTAAGTTAATTTTATGAGTTATAAAATAGATTTATTGCAATTTTTTTTTTTCATTTTTGACAAAGTTATTTACTCTCCCTTAAAACAACTCTTTCCTTTTTTTCTTTTACAACTTAATAACAACAAATGCTTTTGTGTGATAATTGATTTTCAATACTTTGTTTGATAAACATCATTCATTACGTTATTACAATTACCAGCAAATCCAATAATTGTAATCGGCTAAGACAACGATATCTAATAGAAATAAGAAATTACCCAAAAATATTTTCGTTGAAATAAATTATTCAAAATTTGCTAAAAAACAGAAACAGAAACTTTTTTATTCAATATAGATTCTAAAAATACCTATTGAAAGTCACTTTCCTTATAATTTACTACTGGTTCGGAAAAATATATAATAACTTTTCCTCTGGTACTTGCATAATTTCACTAGATACTACATAATGTCCTGTCTTGTTACTCTCCACGCGTCGGTTAATGACGCGCCGTTTGGAAGTGTTCCAATGTTTGTTTATTAGTTCGTTCGTTCGCTAAATATAGTCGCAGTTAAAGATTTAGAATCGCCTCTGCGGTTACACAACAAAGGCAAAAACGTGAAACTTGGCTACTCTATTTACGGAACGAAAAAGACCCAGTGACATTAAACCTGATCTCATTCATACAGAAGGCATTCCGACTAAGAAAACTATTTCATTGTATTACTCAATTATACCTGGATTTTTTTTGCGCCCGAAGCAAATATGGGCAACCCTCCGGAAAGTGGGGGAGGGAGGTGTGTAATGCTCGTAGCATACCACGCAGCCGGCTGCGTGGTTATGTGGAGACTTTTACCCACTAAACCTTACCTTTTAGGGACTAGCTTAACGGTCTAATTAGAGACCTCTAAGCCGTATACGAACGCGACCCTCCTTGGCAGAAAGGAGGGCGCAAGCGGCGAAAAGCCGCTTAGACGAGTGCCTAACTAAGGCAGATTAAGGGATGTGTTAGATAGGCTCGGCCCGAGCCGCCAGGAGGCAGTTCAGGTCAGCCGAAAGCTTGTTGGGGAAGTCCGAGAGAGAGTTTCTCGGTCTGCACTGTCTGGTCACACTATAGCGAGTGTGGATAGGGGCTGCATAGGCAGCTGTCTCACGAATGAGATGATTTGGGTGGGACTCTGAGGCTTTGAAAAATCTCTCAGAGAGTGATTTAAGGAACTGCTGGATTGTTGGGAGCTCTAAGTCTCGGTGTAGGTCGGCATTACGGACATAATAGGGCGAGTTAGTGGCCCTACGACAGAATATACCTGGACCAGTTACAATCATATTTAAACTATTTTTGTCAATTTGTATGAATTTTAACATGATATTGAGATGCAAGATATGCAAAATTTTTCTCCAAGTGCATAATGTCATCACATAATGTCATCACCTGACTGAATAATGTCATCATTAATCATTCGGGATATGCATACTCGGTATAACAGTCGCTAAGCTGCAAAAGTTTGATGCCCGCATGGAACATTTGTTTGTATGACCTACAAAATAATAATTGTTAGTCATTTTTTTAATATTCTAAGCCAGCGCTTAGCTACAATCCCACCTGATGGTAAGTGGTGATATAGCCTAAGATGGTGAAGCGCACTGACTTAACAAAAACCTATTCACTCTTGCCTTAAAAACACCCACCCTGTAATCCGATGTACCTATGCGCAGTGTAGTGTAATAGCGGAGTATGAATATCCACTACCCCTAATATAAGCTGTCTCTGGCATCTGTTAACTTTCCAAAGAGAAATCTTCATAATGATTTCTTAAATTTAAGTGAACACGGGGGGGGGGGACTCAGATGTTTGACGTCCCAATGTCATAGTTAGTCCGGCTACCTTCAGTTTTTGAATATTAAATTTTGGTCCGATTTACGCAAAACGAACTTATAGTATCATGAAGTCTTGCAGTGGTATGCTTGGGTTTGGGTTTAATTTTGTTAATTATAGGATTCCAAGCAGCTGGCAGCACGCATCCATCTTTTCTATTGAAATTTGGATGTCTTTTAAAAAACCGTAGCCGGACTAACTATGACATTGGGACGTCAAATATCTCAGTCCCCCCGTGACCATGGGTGCTGTAAAGCACCCGAAACTTCGGTATAATAAAAATAAATTAAAGTAATTAAACGCGATAAAATCCGTAAATAATAGTTTTATTTAATAAGAAATCTTCAGTCAACGTTGTATTTAGTAGCCAGTTCCCAGTAAAATTTGTAAACAAATGGCCAAATAAATACCCCCTTTTTTCTTCAAATTGCCCAAAAACGGAAAACCGATACTGTTTTAAAACGCTAATAAAACAAGCAAATTCAAATAATTATTATGTAATGTATATATTAATGACAGTGTCAACTTACACAATTTAGTAATAATATTCATTGAAAAGTGTTTTAGGAAAGTATCTATTGGATAAAATAAATTAACAGATTTTTAAGATAAGGATATTTGATTGCAGATGATAAGAACATTTTCGGCGAACTGCTGCCTGGTGGGGAGGGCCTACTGGCGAAAGGTGAAAAACCGGCATTCACTTGGAAGAGGGATGGACAGCCTTTCGACCCCGAAGAAAGATTCAAGGTACAAAAACAAACAATTAAAGATGCATAACATCTCAATGGAGGCTAGCCATCTACTCAAAACAGGATTATAGTGCACGGGTGTGTGCGCAAGCACACGTAAGAAAGAAAAAAGGATTTTTTTTTTATTACAACAAACACCAACACACATGTTACAAAAGACATTATGCGCTATACAACTACACCTACAGACTAAAACAAAACTAAATCCTAAATAAAATGTAAGCAATACAATCAAAGTTTTATTATGGTGCGGGTTCGGCATAAAAGGACACTCAGTATAATTTCGTGGTGTTATCCACGAAGCTGGTTTTCAGAGCGCCCTCTAGTGAGTAACGTACGGACATAAACATATTATTTTGAATAAAAAAGAAGAAAAGCGATGTACATATAGATATGACTGATTTTATAATAATTACGTCGCAAAATGTTATTACTAACAATGTAATGATTTAAAAACTACTACAACTACTACTACTCTATTCCTTCAAAGTCCAATGGGACATAAACCGACACGATCGAAGAGAGATCAGACGCAGAAACAACGACTTTGCGTGCTCTCCGAGGCACGGGGGTGAAACATCGTCATCTTACTGACTACAAAGATTTCTACAAAGAATTTCTGGACAGAAAAACCCAATAACTGATATTGACGCGACCCGGGGTACTAATACTGTGAGACTGACTGCCTCAACCAACACGTAAGCGCTACTGCTCCGTTACTACCACAAGAACAATGAGGCCATCAACTTTATAAAAAAAATAAAGTCATCATCATTCGGCTTATGAAAAATATAGTAATTGTATATAATTTTATACGTGGTAGATCCATGTTGCAGCCATTTTATGGTTATAGCACAAATGGGTCTGCCTGACCGGGGAAGAACCACGCTATCACAAAATATCAGCGTAAAATAGCAGCTTAACTCTGCTGTGTTTCATATAATGAGTGTAGAGAACTGGAGAACATTTTTACTGGATACGGGGTATTCCATCTTAGTCCTCACGGGTGATATCGCATTTGCATTTTGATTCGTAATCGAGGATAGATATAGATGTCTGTGGGCCACAACAACCGTTTACCATCAGGTGAATTGTGTGCTCGTTTGTGATACCTCTCCTATAAAAAAATCAGTAATAGCTTTGTAATCGGCTTCTTCCATCTCTAGATCTTTCCTTAAGTCTTGATTTGATCGATGCTGTTTCTAAGAGGATTCTGTATCTTTTGTTTACCTACTAATTTCGTCACAACACTTCTCCAGGTTCTTCTTGGAGAAGACGAGGACTCACTGGCACTGGTATTCCAACACGTAAAGCCAGAAGATGCCGGTCTCTATACATGTGTCGCTAAAACCAGCACCGGCAACATCTCATGTTCCGCTGAACTCACCGTACAAGGTATGTTATTATAATATAGTAAAGCCGATGGCGGGGGATGTAATCACGACTTTGGCTAAGTTTCTTTACATGTAGATAAGGCATTCCATCGTAATCCTCACGGGTGACAAAGCACATTTTGATTCATAGTTGAGGATAAATGTAGATATCTATGGTCCAGAGCATCCATTTACCATCAGGTGGGCTGTGTGCTCGTTTGTCACCCTTATTCTATAAAATAAACAAAACATAATTCCTCATGCTTCGGATCAATAATCAGTCTTCGGATGGAAACCTAAATTTTCCCTGATGATTATTACTGTTTTTTTTTTATTACTGTAAGGATTATTCGCAACATTACGCTAACTGCAAAAATTAGATTTATTCGGCTTAATAGATAGCAATTCTTTTCTTTATTTTATTTTATTTAGGTAAACAAATATTATTTTATACGTTAAAAATACGTAATACATTACAGTAAAGTCTATCAAAGATATATCATCCCGCGGGTGTCGGAAGAAGCGACACAGATAAACTGAAATAGAAGGTGGGCGGAAGTATTTTCCTGATACAGCTGAAACAGCTCACTAAAACCGCTTTTGCCAACCTACTTGCCAAATGTAACAGTTAAGGCAAATCATGATATATGGCAATCTGATTTCAGGAGCGTGCTTTATTGCAGACGTACAATACATAGGTCCACACTGTAATGTATATACTTATGCAACAGACCAACAAAAATGGAACGCTGCTAACTTTTCAAATGATGCAAAAGCGTAGAAAAACGTACATGGCGTAGTAGAGCATGCTGCAGCTATATTGTGGTTGCAGCACGAATGGGTTGGCTCCACCGGGGTAGCACCACGCTCTCACAGAATACCAGCAGTAAAATAGCAGCTTAATGCTGCTGTGTTTCGAGTGGTGAGTGTAGAAAACCGGAGACCCTTTTTACTGGAAACGAGGCGTTCCATCTCAGTCCTCAGGGCTGGCAACGCATCTGCATTTTGATTCTTAATTGAAGATAAATGTAGATGTCTATGGGCCACAGAATCCACTTACCAACAGGTGGACTGTGTGATCGATTGTCCCTCTCCTATAAAAATAATACCACACATTACTTAAGGCACGTACCTACACATATGCATCTTAAATCATTTGTAACCAATAACATGGCTTGAGGTGGGTATGTGTGAGTTCAACAGTGATTTTTTATGGGACTGGTAGAAAAAGAAAGAAGATAGATATATGCATGCGTCACTCGTAATGTATGCAGCGTCTATGTTTCATGCGTGAAATAGCAGTTTAACGCTTATGTTTCGTATTATGAATATTGAGAACTGAAGATCCTTTCTACAGGAAATAGATATTTCATTAGTCCTCAGGGGTGCCAACTTATTTACATTTTAATTCTTAATCGAATACGGGTATACATAGATATCAATGGGCCACAGCATCTATTTACCATTCGTTTGATTGTGTGTTTGTTTATCACCTTACTACTATAAAAATCGTGGAGTGGTTGGTTCGTCTACACGGTTTTGTTTTACGTTATTTCTTGCGGCGAAAACCTTCAAAATGAGGACAGTCACAGTTATTACTCAAAGCAACGACTTCTTTGATCCTTTAGTTATCGAATGATGTTACTAAATTTTGGATGCAGACGATAGACATATCGCTAAAACAGTAAACTGTATTTTTATAGAATGGGGGTGATAAATGAGCACACAATCCACCTGATGATAAGTAGATGCTGTGACGTATAGACATCTGTACTTATCATCTAGAGTAAGAATCAAAGTGCAGGTGCGTTTTTACCTCTGAGGACTAAGATGAAATGACTCGTTTCCAGTGAAAATGGTATTCGGTTCTCTACATTCATTATACAATACATAGCATTGATGTGCTATTTTACGGTGGTATCTTGTGAGTGCGTGGTCCTTTCCTGGTCAAGCCGACCCATTTGTGCTACTACCATAATATAGTTGCAGCTTGACTTTACCACGTAGAAAATCCCCCGATTTTGTTATCCTAAGTTTTCTGAATTGTCACCCATTATGGAACCAGATTTAAAGACGTATTTATTCACTTCATAAAAAAGTGACACGCGTCAATTTCTGTGCAGGCGCAGTGTACGAGCTGCACCGGGAGCCGGAGAAGCCTACGCTGGTGGTGGAGCACCGCGAAGCCGTGGTGGCGGCGGGCGGCTCGGCCGTGCTCGAGCTGCAGTGCAAGGGCTTCCCCAAGCCCAGCGTCACCTTCAAGCACCAAGGCCAGTTGGTGGAGCCCGACACTCGACACAAGTCAGTCCACCAACATTTCACTACAGATACCTAAAAATAAGGCTTGAGTACAAGCACCGTGGAGTGGTTGTGTAAGAATGTGCACTACCGCATATCGTCCTGTGGCGTTGTGAAGCGACAGGGGGAAACTGAAACGGCAGATGAGCAGCAGTATCTTCCCTTTAGTGTCCAACCGAAGCTTCTCTTTCCGCTTCGGACACCTTTGGTCCAAACGCCCTCGGCTTCAGCCAACAGTGGCCGAAGTTTTGACCGAAGCCGATAGGTGGGTCTACGCTAGACGAGCGGAACACGAGCGGATCATGAGCCGAGCACAAATTCGTGTAGTGTGGTCCGACTTACAAGCCTCGAACGAGCACGCTTCGAGCGTTCGGTTCGTGCTCGACTGTGCTCCGCCTATTGTCGGTTTCTTGACGAACACAAAGTGATTTGCAGCGCATGCGTCGATTTGCATGTTGTAGTCTCGTTGAACGTCCACACTTGACGCCGTGGGTAGAGTGGTTCAGCTTGTGCTCAGCTCGTGCTCTGCTCCTCTCACGTATAACTAAAGTTTTCTAGCAAAGGCGCCGAAATTGAACGAACTGTTACGAATGAGCGCGCACACGATGTACGTGGCGACGTACGTGGAGTCACACTGCTTTGCAGAATTGCCTCGGCCGACTAAGTAAAATATAGTACCTATAGTATATTTTTATTTTTATTCAATCCCGAACTAAATTTTTTAAGTGTTTTAGCCTTCAGCTTTGTCTTTTGATTTGGCTTCGACCGAAGGTTGTGCCGGTTAATCGGCTTCGACCAGACACTTTCCTGGTATAATTCCAAATTATAAAATTGCGGCTGCTAACACGCCTGCCAAATATGGCAACTGTGGGAAATTCCCCCTTGTGAGGGAAGCCCATGTTCAGAAGTGGACTCTCGATAGGTTGTAATAAAAAAAATATGAAAAACATCCAGACCCGGTACAATTATTTGTATGCAATATAAACCGTATTACAATAATATTGTGTACAATTTTTGTTACTCTTTTAATTTATATTAAGTGTTTTATATCAACGTCTGTAAAAGCTTACTAAGTGCTTTATTGTACAATAACTTAGTGAGCAAATAAACAGTTAATGAATCTGGACAATAAACGCACTTATACCGTGCGTGATTCGAACCCTGACTATTTATTGCAAACAAAGGCTGAGAAACTCCGCTACCAATTCTTTATTCAAGATGTTTTTATCGCTGTGATTGCCCCAGGTTTCTGTACGAGGATGAGGAATCCATGTCGTTGGTGATAAAGAACGTGGGCCCGGCCGACGCGGGCGAGTACCAGGTGACGGCCAGCAACGAGCTCGGCGAGGACACCACCACCATGCACCTCGTCGTCAAGGCCGCACCCAAGATCAAGAAAAAGATCGAGAACCAGTCCTGCATGGTGAGTGGAACCCACATGTACAGTAGCTAAAAAATAGTAAAAAGTGAGCAATAGACTTTGTTGTTCCACAAAAAATAGTTTTTTTAGTAATTCATAATTAGATATGTGGTACGGGATAGTTATTTTTAAATGAAGTTTGAAATATTTACGAAAATAATTATAAAAAACACATAACTTAAATGGATTTATTATTTTTTGTTCACTGTCATTTGTTTAGTTTCGTTTTAATAGTTTATGTCTATATTGATTATACTAAAAATTGTTTTTTATTAAGAAAATATCTTTATGTATTTCAACGACTACTCTACCATAATCATCAGTAAAAGTAAGTGTATTACAAAAAGTGAGTCCAGTGGTCATGAACCTCTCCTTTTGCATGGAAGTATTTTTTAATCGTCACAATTGGCAATCAAATTGGCAATCGTAGACCCTGACGTCCATACCTTTGACGCCGCTACTAGGCATGGCGATCTGAGATCGATTAATCGAAGAATCGATGTCTTATGCCAAAAAGATCGATTTCTTAAATCGATATATAGTATTGAATTAATTCAGTGAATCGATATTTTACCCTAGAAAATCGAGTTGGAATCTTTTTCTGTATTTATAAAACCCATAAAATTATTTAAAATTAGTTGAATGTACCCACACTCGTAAAGAATAACAGTTATTCTATTCAAAGACTCAGAATTTCAAAAACAAAAACAGTTTCTTTCGCCTCTTCTTAATATTTAAAGAAATAAAAAATAAGTTACGTTTGTAATCTGTACCTACTTCGTTGTATCGTTTGATATTGTAAATATAAACTCTGAATGAAAATCGTAAAAAGATGGATTTCTCAGAAATCGATGCTGCCCGTCATTAATCTGAATATTTTACGTGTGTTTTAAACGAGATACTGTCGTCATGTGACTTTTCTGGCATATTCCCCATTTTATGGCACTTATGGGATAAAATAGGATGATGTATCTCTTATGCCGCTACCGGCTGTGAACACCACTAAGCCAAATCCCCAAGACTGGTGATGGCAAAATAGTAACCAGCCACGGCGTCCTTTGCTTATATAATATTTTTACTACTTGAGTATATACAAGGTAGACGCTGCAGCTATATTATGGTTGTAGCACGAATGAGTAGGCTTGGAAAGGACCACGCTCTCACAGAATACCAGCGTAAAATAGTAGCTTAATACTGTTGCGTTTCGTATGGTGAGTGTAGAGATCCGGAGACCCTTTTTACTGGAAACGAGGCGTTCTACCTTAGTCCTTAGGGGTGACAACACATCTGCGTTTTGGTTCTTAATCGAGGATAAATGTAGATGTCTATGGGCCTCAGTATCCATTTACCACCAGCTGAACTCTGTGCTCGTTTGTAAAAAAACCGCTTGGAACAAGAGAGAGGGTAGGGAGATTCATCATATTCCTTGTTTCGTGTAATTTATAAAACAATATATATCTTTTATAAATTTATGGAATTTATAACAAAAAATATTATTAGGTTGGCGACACACATACCGTGACCATTGAGGTGGAGGGCACTCCCGCACCAGAAGTCTCGTTCTACAAAGATGGCGTCGAAATCAAAAGTTCAGAACGCATCGTAATCGTCAAGGAGTCCGAGACGATATACAAGATCACCATCAAAGAAGCCAAGCTGACCGATACTGGATCTTATTCTGTTGTAGCAAAGTAAGTTTTACCATATACCTCTTTAGTGCAAACTCTAGTAGTGCAATCTTTCTCTTACGCCCTTCTTAGAATTAGTCACTTTTAAGTTGATTTTTAAACAAAACTTTTATTCAAACTCTATGACGCAAACTATCTCTTACACCTTTCTTAAAGATTAGTTATCTTTTAATTTGTCTATGTATCAGTTTCAATTCGAAATTTTGCTCAACCTTAATTATCCATAAAACGACAAAATATCAGTGTATCATTCATTTATTAATCACAGCTTATCAAACGGCCACTGCCGTTTTTTAATTGTATGGGGGTGGCCTATGTGCAATAGGCCACCCCCATACAATTGTATGTGGGTGGCCTATGTGCAATAGGCCACCCCCATACAATTGCCCCATAATGGGGACATTTTGCATAGTTTCCACGCTTGACTGATGGGTTAATAATCGCAGGTTTTCATTATTTTAAATTGTTATCAAGCAGATGCTGCTGATTACATAGTACTGAGTCATTTCGCTCTGTCGTTAATTACAACACCAACGCGACAATATGATAGAGTAAATATTCTTACGCTGACATACACGACTCTTTGTAATTCTTTTTATTAAGGTGTACTCTTTATCATCATCATCATTACAGCCCTTCACAACTCCACTGCTGAACATAGACCTCCCCCAAGGAATGCCACAAAGCACAGTCCTGAGCCACCTGCATCCATCGATTATATATATATATATATATATATATATATATATATAAAAAAAAAAAAAAAAAAATAAACTCGGAATTACGAACCACATCGCCTTAAAATATATATAGTATATATATATATATATATACTATAAAAAAATAATAGTGACATGTAGTGGCGGTGTAAGAGTATCCACTATCCCATATCACACCGTTGGTGTCGTAAGAAGATACAGAGGGTAACAAATACACAGGAAATAGGCAGCAGCGATTTCCTAATACCGACTAAAAGCTGCGGTTGCCAACCCGCTTACCAAGCGTGGCAACTATGGCAAATATCGCCCCCCTCCCCTCCCGCCATATGAAGCAAACTATGGGGAGGCCTATATTCAGCAGTGGGCTTTGATAAACTGTAACGCTAACGGTAAAGGATATTTTTATTCTAAAAATATAAACTAGAAGAAAGCAATCATTCAATAAAATCTAAAAAGTCATCAAGATATAAGCGTGAACTATTATTATCAATTATTTTAGTAAGGGCATTAAACAATAACTATATATTTGAAACTATTACTTTCTTGATTTTTGAATTGAATTACTTTTTTAAGAGAAAAAAAAATTGTAGGAGGATATACTGTAATCACATCATAACCTTTACAGTCAAATTATCATCTCATTACATATTAACTGCCTCGTTGATCTAGTTGTTGTAGTAGTGCGACTGCTGACCATGAGGTCCTGGGTTCGAATCGCGGGTCGGGTTAAAAATCAATTATTAAGTTTTACCGTCAAGAAATTCTAAGTAGCTACCCGGGGTCAGGATGTTGGCGGTGTCTCACCCCCGTGCCTCAGAAAGCACGTAAAGCCGTTGGTCCTGCGCCTGATCTCTCTCCGGTCGTGTCGGTTTACCGTCTCATCGGACTATGAGAGTGAGGGAATAGAAAGTGCACCTGTTGTCGGTCTGGAGGACATGATTATTATTATATTCTTAAGATGGAAAATGTAGCAATTTTTAAGACAAGACGCTAAAAGTAGTGAATTTAAATAGTATGTAGTTGTTATTTAATGTTTAATGATAATAACTACCCTTTTACTGGAGACGAGGCATTCCATCTTGGTCCTCACGGGTGACAACGCATCTGTATTTTGATTCGTAATCGAGGATAGAAAAAAAATCAGTTCACAGTCCCTGAAGAAACGTAATTTTTAATATCTACTTAATAAAGTCCGTTTGGTATTGTATAGGAACGAAGTGAACCAGTGCTCGGACTTCTGGCAGTGGCACGTGTCTTCAGCGCCAAAGATCATAAAGAAGTTGGGTAGTTCCAAGGTCTGCGAGGAAAAGGAGACTGTTACATTCAAGATTGAGACAGAGTCCGACCCAGCACCTACTGTTAAATGGTTAGTTATTGTTCTGTTCTACTTTAATGTCTGTTTTATCAAAAATTATTCTAAGTTTTCGTAGAAATCAGGTATAGAAAATATTACTTAGAACTTAATTATACTTAGGTTTATGCAAAACCATAACTATTTTTTTGAAATCGGTCAATCCGAAACAAATGTCTCTCTTTTTAAAATTCACAAATCAAATTGAATAGAAACGACTTATGTACTTACACTTAAAGTATCGTACGGTGATACCAACTTACGATTTTACTCTTGCCAAGGTCACATAACCCGCTCAGAAATGAGAGGAAGCCTGTGCCCAGTAATGGGTCGTATATAGACTATAACTATGTTTTAGCCAGGTTATCCGTATTACACGTAAACATACAAGCACGCACGCATAGGTCACTCTGCATCCATAGATATTATGAATTAATTTCCAACAATATTGTCTATTCTCCTTTCATCCAAATTTTGTAAGACTATTTTCTTTGTTTTCTCGGCGACTTTTCTCCAGTCTTCTTAAGTAACTTCTGCACACACAATTTGTAGCATTGTTGGCATTCTTCCAGTGCAGTAGGGTGGCTGAGTATAGTTACGCGCTGCATGACCTTGTATCTGTGACCATCTCGACAGTACGGAGGCAACAAATAATATCACGTGTCTTTGTCTTTTACCCATTGTATGCCACTGTCTTGTCGCAACAAAAGCCCATTCACTCTTGCCGTGAAGACGCCTAGATTGTATTCAGAGGGAAAGACAGACGACGGCAAATTATTCCACTCCTTTGCTAGAAGAACGACGAAGCAGTTTGTGTCCGTACTCTAGGGCCGGTTGTTTTTATTAATTTCAATAATTCAACTCTACCGAGTGTAGTTACAGGCTTCTCAGATGTCACCTTGTTTTATATCAGCCAAAAGAACAATATTGTCGATACTATTTTCGAAAATATGTACCTACATTATAAATATAAATATGTACATATAGGAATGGAGTACCCTGGCGACTGTTTTGTTCGACGGCGTGTTAACAGCCTTCTCCTGGGCAAACTCGCTGCATCGTATACCTGAGTCAAAGTCAAGAGTGAGCCCATTTAAAAAAAATTAACATATAATATTGCTCACCAGGTTCAAGAACAAGACGGAATTGACAGAATCATCCGCGGTGAAGATCTCGTCGTCCGGCGAAGCGCACTCTCTGGTCATCACTTCGGCGGCCCGCGCTGATGCTGGAGAGTATTCTTGTGAGGTAAGTAGACAAGGGTAACACAGAAGTGATTGATAAAAAAGATATAAATCCGTCAAAAAGATTCATAAAATCATCATCATCGTCGTCGTCGTCATCATTACAGCCCTTCACAAGCCCATTACTGAGCATAGAAGGTCTCCCCCAACGATTGCCATAAAGCACGGACTTAAGCCACCTACATCCATCTACTTCTTGCATGCCATACGAGGTCAACACCCCATCTAATGAGGGGCCTCAGCCCTCAGCCTTGTACCGATACACTTTTCTTATCGGGTGAAGATGACACACAAAGCTACCACTCGAGAACCTTCCTTGCCCATCAGCTGTTGGTTCTTCGAGCTATATGGCCGGCTCATTGCCACTTCAGCTTACTAATCCGTTGGCCTATGATGGTTACTCTGGTTCCACTGCAGATATCCTCATTATTAAGTTTATCACGCAGAGAAATCCCGAGACTAGCCCTTCTCCATAGCACACTGAGTAACCTTAGCTTCCTCACGGCCAGCAGTGAAGGACCACGTCTCAAGTCCATATGTCATCACACACTGGTTGTATAATCTTGTTTCCAAGTTTTGAGGAATAACTGATCTTACCTGACCTGATCTGTATGAATCATACGTTTTTCAAATACGCCCTTAAATTATTGTCATTACGGTTCATTATCTACTAAAGAACAGAAAAGCTGTATGCGTTAATGTGAGAAGTTGTTTGTGTGTGCGAACGTTCCTAGTTATCTCCAATATAAATTTCTGTAAAGCGTAAACTTTTTTTATACAATAAAGGTGACACGCAAGTACACAGTCAACTGTTAGTAAGTGGATACTATGGCCGATGCATCTATATCTATCCTTCAGTAATAGGTAATCAAAATGCAGATGCGTTGTCACCTCTGAGGAATGAGACGGAATATCTAGTTACTAGTAATAAGGGTCTTCGGTTTTCTTCATTTATCGTACGAAACATATTAAGCTATTATTTCACTGCTATTTCACGCTGGCATTCTGCGAGTGCGGAGTCCTACCTCAGTCGAGCTGACCTTTTAGTGCTGCAGTCATAATATAGTTGCAGCATGTCTCTACTACGTAAAAAAATGATGTGGGGTTCATCATATTTTACCATCATTGCAGCCTATTAAATCGCTGCGAGCGCTTGTATTCAATTTTTTTCGTAGGACAAAAATAAAAACGAATTTGCAAATAAGTAGTAGAGTCATGCTGCAGTTATATTGCAATTATATTGCATAGCATGCTGTAGTATATGTTGTATAGGGTCGTACCAGCGTAAAATAGTAGCTTAATGCAGCTGTGTTTCGTATGGTGAGTGTAGAGAATTGGAGACCCTTTTTAATGGAAACGAGGTATTCCATCTTAGTCCTCACGGGTGATAACGCATCTGCTTTTGATTCGTAATCAGAGATACCTAGATGTGAATTATATGGGCCACAGCAACCACTTACCATCAGGTGGATTGTATGCTCGTTTGTCACCCTATTCTATAAAAAAATCTAATATAAAAAAAATATAATTTTATCAATTTACGGCAACTTTGGTTATTCATAGCTCGGAACGTAACAAACACACGAATGATGAAAACAACCGCCCCAACTGACGCGCGCATCAAAACTTTAATACTTCGATACGCGTTAAAAGATGGAACGGCCCGTTCCACGTTTGAGCGTTCCAACCACAGAAATCTAAATAATAAGACAATGGAAACGCCTTCTACTAAATATCGGGACGTGTGTCGCCAGGTCGTAGCTCTCACACATAGACAAACAATAAATACACAATTACGCCTACAAATACCTCTAGCATTCATGCAACAAAGGTTAATCTTTAAACTATTGCGTTAAGGAATATTTTATAAAAACGCAAAATCTCAGGAGGCGTAGCCACTCGGTCCAATAATTATGTTCCCGTACAAACCCGCGTGAAGGAACATATAGCTGACGTGAAGCACCGACGCTCGGGGAAGTCTGCAGTCTGCGAACATGTTCAAGATCGTCCCCACCACGCACGCGTTGGCACGCATTATTACATTAGATTTGATAAACCACAAATCCTCGCAAAAGAACACCGATTCCTACCAAGGATGATACGCGAGGTTATTGAAATTAAAAAACATCCAAATTTCAATAGAGAAGATGGATGGGTACTACCAGCTGCTTGGGATCCTATAATTTTCAAAATTAAACCCAAACCCAAGCATACCACTGCAAGACTTCATGATACTATAAGCTCGTTTTGCGTAAATCGGACCAAAAATTAATATTAAAAAACTGAAGGTAGCCGGACTAACTATGACATTGTGACGTCAAACATCTCAGTCCCCCCGTGACCACGGGTGCCGAAACGTCGGGATAATAAAAATAAATTAAAGTTTAATTAAACGCGATAGAATCCGTAAATAATAGTTTTATTCAATGTGTAGTGTTCGCGTAAATTTAAGAAATCATTAAATAATCGCCGAAAAACGGTTAACGGTATAAAATATTTAGAAAGAAAAAAGAGTAGAAAGGTGGAAATAAATATTTAACGAAAAATCACATTTAATTCCCGTTTCATTAATACTAGGTAAACCAGACGTAATAAATTATCGATACAAAATAGTTGTGTCACGTAACTGACTCGCATTTGACTCCTGCGGCCATGTTCTAGGAAATTTAGGTACGCAACAATTTTGTTTATTGCCCATACTATGAATCCATCGCTGATTTTAGCTGTCGTACTCGTAGACATGAACTAGCTTAGGAATCAATGGATGTTGAAGTATGAAAACAATTAAAATTTCGGAGACAATCGTAGTACTGGAGGTGGATAATTTATTTTAGTATATTTCATTAAACACAACATTATTTAAAGCACTAAGTACTTATTTATGAAATGTTATGCCTTTATTTGAAAATTTGCAAGTTGTAGAGGAATTCCCGCAGTTGGATATGCTTCAAAACACCATTTTTACGTCTTTGCGTTCGAAACAGTACTGGTGACCGAAACAAACGCTCCTCGCGCGCTTGTGGGCTAGGAGTCACATGTGCGGCGACAAGTTCACGCGCTTTTACGACTTCTTGTATTTATATTTAGATTTCTGTGGTTCTAACGAACAATTTGGCACGCGTTCCAAGGCGGTATTTACTTCACGCGGCTGGAACGCGCGCCAATGTCCGATTTCTTGGAGCGCATAATCAAAACGCGACTTTAGTGTCATCATTATGATGTTTTCATCAAGCCAGTTAATGATGTTCGTCTGTATCTTCAGACAGCCCTTGTTTCAATGTTTATTTCTTTATAAAGTTTTATTGGCAATCGTACTTACAGTTCATCTAATGGTAGGTTGCTGCTATCCATGGACTACAGCAGTTAACTTTAAAAAAAGATGCGTTTTCATCCCTGAGAATTGAAACGTAACGCCTCACAGCCTGTAATTATACTAGCTCTCTGTACACGTGAGAGCGAAACAAAGCAGTGTAAGCGCTGCTATTTGACGGTATAGATAGGTTGGAGAGTGATTCCTACCCAAACAGATTCCTAGGTAGGAAAGAAAAGCCATCAGTTAGTATAGTCGCTGTGTACAAACGTGTGCAGGTGCGCAACGCGCACGGGAGCGCGCGGGACGAGTGCGCGCTGCACGTGCGCTGCGCGCCGCAGTTCACGCGCCGCCTGCAGGACGTTACGGCGCGGGAGGGTGACGTTGACGTTGAGTTCACTGTCGACGTCAATGCCTATCCCGAGCCCAAAGTACAATGGTAAGTGTATTTAACATATTATCTTATATACTTTAATGTACGAACTATTAATCATCTATAAATTTTAGCTTGATATTCGTAAAATATGTTATGTAAAAACTAAATATTTTACTTTTCATATAGTAATACTTGATTAACTTATTATTATATATACATACCTATGAATTAAATATTTGAAAAATGAATTGAACGTGATAAAGTTGATTATATTTTTATGTTGAATTATTACATATTTTTCAATTTAAATATATATATTTTTTATTTAATTTATGAAATACCGTCTCACTATTGTATGTGAGTTGATATTGAAGCAACTACACATTTTGTTTTATAGAATATAATGACAAACATGCACACAGTCATCTTGATGGTATGTGGATATCGTGATAGACATCTACATTTTTTATTTAAATCTAAATCTTAAAAAGCACACTAACTGAAAGTAAAAATATTGGCCGTGTTCCGATATACACTGCGAGCACTGCTCAGTGCTGTCACTAGTGAAAAATTCGTTCCGTTATACACTACTGCCTATAGTATACTGCCGCAGTATCTTAGGGAAATATATGAATTCATAAATCGTTGCCATTTGTGTACTGTGAGCACTGGCGCTTGTGAGGTAAGGGGCTCTCAGTACTTTTATAACGTGATAAAAAAAAACATAACAGCGCCTAGCAATTTAACAGCTTCCACGAATGATTGTAATTATTATTAATTACACTCATTAATTCAACGACGCTAGCCGTCTTAGTCCACACCTAAATCTTGGATAGGCATTTCCAAGAATGCGCTGACTGGTTTGTATATTTTTTTAAATTTTAAGCTAATTTAATAATTAAAATTAAGTGAAAATTATTTTGAAATGTAGGATTTTTATTAGAATATAATATTAATGATTCATTAGAATAATGGAGAAGAACGTGCACACAGTTCAACTGATATGTGTGGATACTGATGACTAATAACTATGAGTAGAGTATGACTGATGTATAGTGGATGCTCTGGCTTATAAACTTCTACATCTATCCTCGATTAAAACTGAAAATTTTGACGCATCGTTACCCCTGAGAAGCTAAGATGGAATGCCTCGTCTGCAGTATAAAGGAGTATCCGGTTCCCTACACTCACTATATAAAAACACGGCAGCATTAAGCTAGTATTCTGTGAAAGCGTGGTCATTACCCGGTCGAGCTGACCCATTCGTGCTACAACCATAATATAGCCGCAATATGGCTTTACCACATTTGAAAGGTTTTAAAATAAAAATTTAAATAAAATTTTATTCTCTACAATGATAATACTTCCCAGGTACTTCGGAGACGTGGAGATAACTGAAAAGAAATCTGTGTACACCCGCGTGGACAATGGCAGCACTCATAAGCTGATCCTAAAGGAAGTGTCCGCGGAGCTCTCTGGACAGTACAGCTGCAAGGTCTCCAACGAACTAGGCGCCGACTCGTGCCAGGCCACCTTTACTGTCAACAGTACGTACATTATCTGGATATATATACACCATGTTGTTCTTATTTTCGTGTGACTTTATATTATTATATGACTGCCTCTTCGGTCTAGTGGTCCTAAATGCGACTTCTGATCATGTGGTCCTGGAATCAAACACACCTGTAACCCGAAAAGTACGTAAAGGGATTGGTCCTGTGGATCTCTTTACATTCGTGTCAGATCATCGTGCCATCGAACTATAAGTGTAAGAGCATAGAACATAAGAACACTCGTGTACTATAACCCTGTCCTGTGCAGATGGCCATTCTCCATTGAGATTGGCTACCGAGACCGAAATTCGGTGTAGAGGATATGACTTAAGGGGGTTATGATCATCGTTTGGTATCTTTTCTTGTTTATAGACCTGCGGTGGCTATCCTGCGCTGTAATACTGCTAGCTTTATGGGAATCTTCGAGCAGGTAACGATTCTGGATAGGTTCTTGGTTTATTCAATAAGTATCTGTTTATCGAAACATAGGTATTAGTGTTTTCTCTTAATACTTACGTGATTTTCTGCACGTATAAGTACGGTTTAATAAATAATATGTCGAATTTAATGATAGCGGGCAGCACGACCTTGACTAGTCGAGTAAGGACAGGTTTTCAGTTTAGAACTTTTTTATAACATAAAAAATCGAAGTTTGACAAGTTTTTACATTGTTTTTCTAATGCGAACGAACTACCACACCACCTATGAGAAATAGCTGCCAACATTATAATATGTTTCGTGGAGGCAGTTTACATAAATAAATTGCACAAGAATAAACATTTAGACCTGGAACAATTAATTATAGGCCACTATACTTGTTCCGTGCGGAATTCGAACCCAGGCCGCTTCTTTCAGCGCCGCTCAATGCGCAGTCACTGCACCAGGGAGCCGTCAATATAACATTGCCAGAACTCGATTGTAAGTGCAGAAACATGAACTAATTTCAGGTTAAACGAATATACTGGTTTAATAGTGTGCATATCCTGCCAGCAGAGGATATTCTGCTAGTTGTAGGTTACAAGGTGCTACCTACTTAGACAACCATAGACGCAAAGGAATTCTATCACTAAATTTAAGCACAGACTGTCACACTCCATAAAAAGTGAGTGCTTATTTATTACTTACTCACAGGGAAACCCAGGATCACCAAGAGCTTGGTAGACATGACTGTGGACGCTGGCCAGACTCTGAAACTGGAGGTTGAAGTTGAAGGTTGCCCCGAACCCAAGGTCAAATGGTACAAAGATGGTAAAGAAGTTACCACTGACGCCAGAATCAAGATAGAAAGAGACACTAAGAGGTATGACATACTTTTATCTAGGTACATCAAAAGGCTATAATATGTATCTTCATTTCAGACATAATAGAAACAGAAACTTTCTTATTCAATATAGATTGTGAATGATACTTATTTAAAGGCACTCTTTTGTTTAATTTACCACTGGTTCGGAAAATACCACTGTCTTGAGAAGAACCAGGAAGGTACCCAGCGGGACGCGAGCGGGACTAGGTCCAGAAAGTTGTCATTGCTTCTGAAAGATGGCGGTATAGCCATACCATAGTGGCGGTGTAAGAATATCCACTGCGCCATATAATCTCGTGAGTGTCGTAAGAGGTGACAGAGGGGAGAAAAAATTACGAAACCCGTTTGCTGAGCGTGGCAACTATGGCAAATATTCCCTTTGCTGGCTGTAACGGTATCTTGATATAAAAAAAAATTGAAAATTAACACAATTCAGACAATTGATTCAAAATAATTTACGCTTCATTTCAGGTTAGAGAACTATAACTTAACAGTTACACTTATAAAGGAGGAAGATGGCGGCGAATATGAAGTGAGGGCTGAAAATGAAATGGGCAGTGTAAGCTCCAAGAGTACTGTCACTATACACAGTAAGTATTACAGAACACAGTAACAGGAACACATAATAAAACGAAATAATTGCTATTGACTATAGAAGTGAACGTGAATCAACCTATGAACAAAACTGAATAAAACTTATCTAAAAACTTGTTTAAGATATTATTACATATCATACAGTTCCAGCAAGTATCAATAGCACACACACTACACACATACATCGCAAACTCTGGTAAGGTACAGTAAAAAAATGACAGCTAAATTGGCACCCCGTTGGAAATCTTAGTATCTAGGTATGGTAATAACGATTTAGAGCGTAGTATTACATGAAGTAGTATACTACTGCATTGCACGTTTTAGTTTTGTCGTACTTAGTGTCCCATAATTCGTGTCCTTGGACATGTTGTTTAGTTAATTTATCATTATTATCAAGCATTCATTCGACAAGAATGCTGATGTGTGATTTCACGAGTATGTAAGCACCATATCCTGCATTTTACCTTCACCGTTTTGTGACGTCCTTAATGTTTTTCCCGAACTCAACAAATCATTTTAATATCATCATTTTTCGTTATGTTTAATAGCTAAAGAAGTTCATTCGAGATTCAAAAAAGAAACTGTTATTGAAAATGAATTGGAAGGGGAACTTAAAGAACAACATGTAGTAAATGTAGTAGATGAAAAAGACAAAAAATCAGCAACTAAACATAATACAGAGCCAGAAACAGTTGAAGAAAAACCTGTCGATGATACCCTGAAACAGATTGAGGTTAAAGAAATAGATCTACCTAATGCTGAGTGTGGTAAGAAATCATTAACAGAACCGCAAGAAATAGAAGAAAAATCATTTTGGGATGACGTTGATGATGGTTTTGAAATAAAAAAACCAAAAGTTGATTACAATGAAACCATTTCCAGTAAATCAAGAAAATCATTTTCGGAACCAGAAATAGCTGAGGAAAAATCTCTTTGGGATGATAATCGAAAAGAGCAAAACCAAAATGCTATAGTAGATGAGATAAATGAAGTACCACAAAAAGGTAGAAAATCCTTTTCCGAGCCAGAAAACTCCCAAGAAGAATCAATGGGTGACAACGATAAAGAAAAAGTAAAAAGAGTGAGAGTTGAAGATATTAATCGAGAACCAGAAAGATCTGAAAAATCATTTTCACAACCTGAAGCTTTAGAAGAGAAAAATCTATGGGATGAAATAAATGAAAATGAACGAATAAAAAAGGTTGAAGTTAACGATTCAACAGAGATGCCAGTCAAACCCAGAAAATCATTTTCGGAGCCAGATTCAATGGAAGAAAAATCTATATGGGATGATAAGCAAGGTGAACAAATCCAAACGCCTATTTTTAAAGATGTCGAAACCAAAATGGATCAAGGTAAAAGGGCGGTAACCGAGCCAGAAGTTATCAAAGAAATTAAAATTGATGATGACTTGAAGACTTCAAAGCGTAAATCAGTTAAAAGACAGTCTCTTAAAGAAGAACCACTAAGTGCTGAAACTGAAGGTATAAAAAGTGATCGCTTTCAGCTTCTTCATTTCTCAATAAAACAAACAGCTTATAATCAGCGAGAAATTCACGTTTTAGCCAATAATACTGCATGCTTAACTTGTGTTATTTGTAACAAACAAAGTGTGATTTGTTATGTTTAGGCCGAGTGTTCGAAACAATAACCACGTTCAAGACAGGCGACGGCGGGTCTATTATTGTATCTAAAGTCAGCAGCTCTCGTTCTCACGGCGCTATTATCACAGGTCGGTATAACGCTTAGCTTTTCTTCCTTCTTAACTTGTTTTCTTCACGACGTAACTACACCATTAGTTTTACTTATACTTTTGAATACATAATGTATCATCTTAGAATCTTTCTTTGTAGTCGATTAGCGCATGATCTTATTTAAAATGTTATAAATGTCACCCATAATAATATTTCAACTGATAGGTCCAGCTGAAACACACACTTTGCATAAAATGACGTCAAAATATTACGATTATGATGATGAGTGTACCAAAAAAATTATTCTACCAAATAAGCCGCACACCACTTCGTTAGAAGTGGAAGAAATAGCTAGCCATAGCTATTTCTTAACTGAACATGGCTATTACACCGTGCCAGATCATGTAAGAAGGGGCACTTATGGTATTATTGAAGAACCACAGACTGACTCAGATGCTGATAGCATAAAATATGGAAAACGTACCGCTAATAGAACTATCTCCATACATTCCGTATCTGAAGATGAAAACAGCTGGCAAAATGAGCCACTATCCAGAGAAATATCAATAGAAGACTTGTCAAAATCAATTTTTGAAATAGATGAAACTCACAAAGTCTTCAGCAAAGATTCGTACGTTCGTCAATCTTCATTCACAGAAGACTATTTTACTAACGATGGTGAAGAAGAGTCAATTATATTAAAAGAAAAACGCGAAAAAATTTTCGAAAACGATATTACAGAGAAACTTATACACATTTCTAAAGAATTTGATGAAACAGATATTAAGAGTGTGGGAAACAAACTTGATGAAGTTAAAAACCGCCTTATTGAGGAACTAGTTATCGGGCATGTGGAAAATCTTGACAATGTTACAAAGGACATAGCTGAGACAACTGTAGAGAGGAAAACGAAGCACGGTGCTAAACTGTTTATTGTGGAAGAGGATGAAGATGGGGAAATGGAAGCGCTGTTAAGACGTAGTCAAAGACAGAGAAGCATATTAGACGATATCTTAAATCAAGAAGATGCGAAAGGTAAATTTCTCACACATAAAATATTATTGAAAAGGGAATACTGGAAGGCTGATATAATTAATAATATAACGCTACGAATGTTTTTGTCAGGGGAATAACAACTTTATCAATGTTGCTTTTAAATTCAAATTACAAAAATATTGCTGCTACCGTTTTCTAACTATGATCTGATACTTTCTGTTTGACTTAATGCATTTTTATCGATGCAATTATTGACAGTTAAATTATTAGGAATTAAGGGAAATTATCAGATCAAATACACGTATTTCCTAAGCATTCAGCCCATTACGATTTACTAATGTTCTACTGTATGTTTGTTTTAGCGCGCATGCGTAATAACATTTCCTTCTGGCATACTAATAATTGGATCCCGTTACGAAGGAGATGTTAATCTGTATCCCTCGACTTATCAAAGGTAATTTCTTTTATTTTAAGTTTATGTTAAATGTTTGCATGGTGTTCCTGAACGTTAGATTTAGTGAATGTATAACTTAATATCAACATGACTGGTACGTACCCACACACTGCAATACGACACGATACACCTATATCTGTCACTTTACAACACAAACTGGTGAGTACTGTCGCATTATTTCAAAAATAACTGCTGTAAATATGCAAATGCAAACGTAATTCTATTGTAATACATATCGGCTTTTGGAAACATAAATTTTATCAGTGTAAGTATTAAAAATATGAATTTGTAAATATTTTAAAAGTTCCATTTTATTTCTCCTTGTATATACTTATGGTATTTAGGTCTTTCTACAGGTTGCTTTTCCGGTCTTTGTGTGTAGGTAGGTATATTTTAAAACATTGTTATACAAATATTTTAAAACAGTGTTATATTCCTTTTCTATTGTCATGTAAGCTTACATTTTCATTAACTATACATTAAATAATTTGCGGCAAGCAATTTTTGAAAACTATTAAATATATTACGCCGTGTAGAGGCGGCGGAATAAAATACAAAACACCATGTTGTAAGAGGCGACAGAGGAAAATTAAATAGGAAATTGGCAGCAGCATCTTTCTGATTACTCAAAATAATAGAAAATTAAATAGCTACCCGCGTGCCCAGCGTGGCAACTATGGCAACTGTACCAGTATCAAGCAATCTACAGGAAAAATCCAAAGGCCTTTCTGAAGACATTCAGCAATTGTGATGAATGAATGAAGAAATGATTTTACGACAAACAAATTATAATCTATGGGGCTTTTCAAATTAATTCTACTGGGTAAACTTTGCAAATGATTTATATTAAAATTACCAAAAATTACTTTCGTGTTTCAGCACCACCTAAACTCAAAGAGAGCAGCATGAAAGACAGCAATGTGTTCGAATCTCTACCTTTGGTATTTACGGTTGAAGCCTGTGGTTCACCGAAGCCCACAGTTCGCTGGCTCCACGATGGCAAGGAAGTCAAGCCTGACGCCAGGGTCCACTTGATTAATGAAGGCGATTTATACAAACTGGAGATTGATAAGGCGGAAATGGGAGACGCTGGCAAGTGGCAATGTGAAATCAGTAACAATCTCGGAAAAGATGTTCTTCAGGCAGAAGTCACCGTAAAACGTAAGTATATAGTTAATTTTGCCGCGCGTTTGGGTTGTGAGTGTGGTAAAAGGTGACAGTCGTTGTCGTTTTTATATATTAGTACCTAAATGGACAACTTCAAAAGTGAAACATCTGACAATGTGACCACAATTCCGTCTCCCAAATGTGACAATGAAGACGAATCCTTCTCACGAAAGATCAAGCCCAAGTGCAACGGACTGTTATTAATTGATGCAGTTGTATATAATTGATTAATTTTTTAACAGTTAGATCTACATACATAAACACTCACGCCTGTCACCCAGAGGGGTAGGCAGAGACTACAGACTTCCATTTAGCACGATCCTGACATACCTTTCTCGCCTCTTCCACATCCATATACCTACGCATACATGCTCGTCGGTTAAGGGTATTCTTAATTTGGCCCATTTTTAGTATATCGCCAATTTGGTCGACAAACTTCCGCCTAGGACGTCCCTTTCCGACTCTTCCATTCACTTCTGCAACATATATTTGCTTTGTCAGTCTTTCCGCATTCATTCTTTCTACATGACCAAACCACCGAAGCATTCCTTTCTTAATCCTGGTCACCGCATCATCTTGCAAACCACACTCTTCTTTTATCACTCAGTTTCTCACCCTGTCACTCAGGTTCAGCCCTAACATACTCCTTAGCGACCGCATTTCTACTGCATTTATTCTACTCTCGTGCTTCTTCTGCCACACCCAACTTTCACTACCATACGTTAAAGTAGGGACTAATACAGCACTGTGAATTGCCATACGTGCCTTTTTTGACACATTCTGACTTTTCACAATAGAGTGTAGAGCCCCATTTACTTTATTTCCTGCATTCACTCGTCGTTCAATATCCTTATCATATCTCCCATCCCTGCTGAAAACACATCCCAAATATACGAACTCATACACTCTCAATTAACTCTCCTTCATTCTTAATTCACATACATACATATCACATAGTTAGATCTCTTGCCAAAATAGGCAATAAATTCTTACTTAATCTCAGGGCTTCTGAAGCTAATTTACGATCATATGCCTGGATCAAGCCAGACGAGCTCTTAAGTGTTTTTTGTGGTAAAGAGTTTCAAGGGTCCGTTGTGCCAGGCTTTTTGAGATCCCACAAAATGGCTCGGGTCCAAGTTGTGTACTTTTTGACTCCACTTGTGCGAGTTTATCGGCTTGCCGGCTTGTTCATTGCTAACAATACCCGCATGACACGGAACCCATCTGAAAAATAAGTTTCAATATAGGTCCGTTATCGTTGCAGCCTATTAAAGTCCACAGCTGAACATAGGCCTCCCCCATAGATTGCGTCATAGGTGGATATTTGCCATAGTTGCCACGCTTGGCAAGCTGGTTGGCTACAGATATTTTTTCACGGGTCAATATAGGTCGTTTTTCATAAATTCCAAATCTTACGTCAAGGCCATTTTTGACCTATTAGTAAACGGTAAACCTTATAAAGCTGCCGATCTCACAGAAGATTCTCTTCTATGAATTCGGCAGCTTTATATATCTGTATATATCTCTTCCAAATGCTTACAATTTAGTCGTATCTTAAAGAATTTTGAATACCCAAATCCTTTGGTTTTGCTCCGTGGTGGTAGAGGTGGGTACGTACTCCCCAGAGGGGGACCCCCTCTCCCTGGAGACGGACAAAAACATTCTTTTTGATCCGAATGACGAAATTACTCGGAATAAGTTGATCCCGACTAACCCCTCTCTTCCGGGCATTTAACCCTATCCACTAACACAAACATACAGACACATTCAAATATAGTATCACACCTTGAATTACAATAAGCTCCCCCCCCCCAACTAACGAAGTCTTACTACCGGCAGTCCACCAATTCTGCCAGCGTGACCCACCGGTAGAATTGGTGCACTAAATAGCTCATATAAATGCACGTACGTGACGATACCTCGGTTACGATTCTGTTCCAGTAGATTTGTAAAATCCGCAGGACAAACGACATAGACTATCCATTCAACTACTTTTAAGGGGGTATTTCCTCCATATGATTCGTGATATCTGAGATCAAGCCTAAATTCTGTGTTTTCTTCATTCATTTATACGTGGTAGAGCCACGCTGCAGTTATATTAGTAGGGTAGTTGTAGCACGAATGGGTCGGCTCGACAGGGGAAGGACCACGCTCTCACAGAATAGCAGCGTCAACTAGTAGCTTAATGCTGCTGTATTTCGTATGGTGAGTGTAGAGAACCGGAGACCTTTTTTACTGGAAACGAGGCATTCCATTTTAGTCCTCACGGGTGACAACGCATCTACATTTTGATTTGTAATCGAGGACAGATGTAGATGTCTATGGGCCACAGCAACCACTTACCATCAGGTGGACTGTGTGCTCGTTTGTCACCCTATTAAAATAAAAAAAATTCAGATGAGGAGAGATCTCAGTCTGTCAGTCAGGGAAGCAAGCTTAAACCGCCCTGAGCGTTGATCCTATACAAACTAGGCATCGTCTCCTTCTGTGCAAGATCATTAAGAATTGCTCCAGGTTAGGTTCGTACCGCTCCAGTTGCCATCAAACAGGCAGTCCTTTGGAGGTTATTTAACGTATCTACAGTCGTCTTTGGGTTGGCTTTATTACACCATACAATGGAGGCGTAGGTTACTACAATTATCCACTTACTATCAGATGGAATGTGTTTTTCATTCTTACTTCTATATAAAAAGTGACATTTAGACTGTGAATCGGAAGGTTTTAGGTTTGAATTCTGGTAGGGTCGCCATATAAGGTATTCGTGTGTGGGATTGAGAGGTAAACAAAATGAAACGTATGTTTCGGAGTAACCTTTATTACTGGCTCTACGAGTATTGCGACTGTAATATTTTTAACATGTACACATTTTCCATGCGGTAAATCCGTTTTGCTTTATTATGGTTGTAGCACGAATGTGTTGTTTTTTTTTTTCATATGAGAGGAGGCAAACGAACATGCGGATCACCTGATGGTAAGTGACTACCGCCGCCCATGAACGACTGCACATCCAGGGGAATCGCAGATGCGTTGTCGGCCTTTTAAGTAAGAGTAGGCAGTTTTATTGACGGTCCCTAAGTCATATTGGTACGGAAAAATCGCTGGTGATAGTTGATTCCACAAGGATGCGAAGCGAAGCGAAGAAGAAAATTTCTTGTAAGTCGCACAGTAGTGGACCGCCAATCATCCTGAGAGAATCACGTTCTCACAGAATATCAGCGTAAACTAGCAGCTTAATGCTTCTGTGTTCTGTATGGTAAGTGTGGGATACCGGAGACACCTTTTACTGAAAACCAGGCATTCCATCTATGTCCTCAGAGCTAACAACTTATCTGCATTTAGTTTTTAAACCAAGAATAGATGTAGATGTCTATCCACTTACCTCAGGTCTATGTGGACGTTTTTCACCTTTATTCTAAAAAAAACATACATAAGTACCTAGTGCTTAAACCACACACTACAACATCACAGTTAATTTAATGAATGTTCGTGTTATTTAATATCTGTACAACATTTGATATCTCCAGCGGAAAGTGAGCTCCGCAAGCCGATCTTCAAGGTACCCCTGGAAGCCCAGCGTGTGATGCAGAGAGAACCAGTGACCCTGAAGGCGGTGTGCACGGCGGACCCGCTGCCGCACGTGGCCTGGCTGCTCAACGGCAACGAGCTCACTCCAGATGCCACACTCCTCATGCAGGCTGATACCGAGGATATCGATCACGGACTAAAGCAGTGCACCTTCACTCTGCACATTCCTACCGGTAACCAATTCTTTTGCGTTAATACGTATTTAAATTTGCTTCCATAATGTTAGGCAATTCAGAAACCTGATGATAACAAAGTCGAGGGATACAGTTGGTGTTGCAGCTACATCTATCATCTACATCCGATTTTAATTACTCGTATAGCAATCGATAGGTAAAAGATCAAAGAACTCGTTAAGTTGAGTGAGGACTGTGACGCATCGTGCGCGGTGGGGGAGGAACACCGCCATTTTGAGATCGTTGCGTTACGTACATGTTTTATAATAAAGAGAAACGAATGCTGCTGTATTTCGTATGGTTAATGTAGAGAACCGGGGATCATTATTACTGGAAACGAGGCATTCCATCTTAGTCTTCGGTAGTGGCCATCTGCATTTTGATTGTTAATCGATGGTAGGTGGTGGTGGGCCACAGCATCCACTATCCATCAGGTGGACTGTGCTTCCAAGTTTAAGAATGTCCACTACCTCATATCGTCCCTTGGGTGTCGACAGAGGCGACAAAGTGAAACTGAAACAGGAGGTGGGTGTTAGCATATTCCCGATTACAACACAAAATTTTAAATAACCTGGGGTGCTAACCCGCAGGCCAAGCGTTGGCAACTATGGCAAAATTCGTCTATAAGATAATCTATGGGGACAGCCTATGTTTAGCAGTGGACTTTTATAGTCTGTAATGGATGGGTTTTATTGTATGTTATAATTCATTGATTTTATTACGTAAACCTTAAGTTTAGTCAAACTCGATACGATTCTGGGATTTCGGTCTATTAATGGCATTACGTCACTCACAGGTCGCCACGCGGATACGGGCGTGTACACGATTCAAGCGAAAAATAAATACGGAGTTGGGGAGAGTTCGGCGCGCTTGGACATCCTCCTGCGACCCGAGATCGAAGGGTTGAAGGACGTTAACGCGATGCCCTATGAGGAGACCACGTTTATTGCTAAGATACAGGCCAACCCCATTGCTGAGGTCCAGTGGTAAGTTGTAATGGTTATTGTAATATATTGTGTAAAATCTAATAAATGGTTGGACTCATATTTTATATAAGAGTCGGTCTGGTTAGGTGACACCGTCATATCTATTACGGTTGCTAAATAACAGTGCTTGTACTAAAGAATTGAATTTGCAACCTTCCGCTAACTAAATACAATGACTACTCCCAACACCACTACTCCCGGCACCACTACTTCCAACACCACTATTGGGCAAAACACGTGTCGTATTATCTTCGATGGTGTGTTTTTCCTGGAATGGTGGTGTTAGGAGTAGTGGTGCTGGGACTAGTGGTGACGCAGTTAGTGCATGCAATTGAGGGAGGGCTGGAGGTGCTTTTCAATCCAGGTAACACTCATTATTGTATTTAGTTAGCGGAAGGTTGCAAATTAATCAATATCTTTATTATAATGGATTTCCGCAAAGTTACGCCTAATTCTTTCAAGTGCTTGTACTGTTGTGTTCCATTCTGAAGGGTGAAGAGAGTCAGCTGTGATGCATTCCATCTTAGTCCTCACAGTTAGTCCTTAATTTCAAGTTGGCTGCTTGTGTCCATAGACTGCAATAGCTCGGTACTTACCACCAGGTGAACTAAAGGATTTTTATTGCTTTTTTGTTGTCCATACGGGATGAAGATGGATGCAGGCGGCTAAGGACCGCGTTTGGTGGCTTTAACTTTTTTCAGCAGAGGGCTTATAATGGGCTATAAATGAGTGTAAATCACCTGGGTTGGTACCTTTATGCTTATTGCTGTCGCGAAGTAGTGCACTGCCGTGTCCTGCCTTACAGGATAAGAAATCCATTATAATTAAAGAATGCAGATAGTATACGAATTAATTATATACTCTTAATTTGGTCCATCTTTATTATATATCCAATTGCTATTTATATTGGCCCTTTTTAATTTATTTAGGAGCAAGGATGGCTATGTTATAAAGCCATCGTCTCGATTCGACATAGAAGAAGATAAGGCTTCGGAGACTCACAAACTGGTGGTCAAGAAAGTGACTGTAGAAGATGCGGGAGTTTACTCTGTTACCGCCAAGAATGAGCTTGGTGAAGCTTCACAACAAGCTAAACTCACTGTGCATAGTAAGTATTTTTATTGCTTAGTTAAGTTAATTAGTATTGTTTAATCAAATAATGAATTAGTCATTTTGTGGCAACGTAAGAGAATTAATAGCTCCATTTTATCCTACAGAGTATATAATATGTACAAATCTCACTCGACATTTAGAGTTTTATTTAACGGCCTAATAGCGAAGTAACTAAGATGGGTATTTAGAGAAAACCTTAAGTTTAATTTAAAATCAAGTTTGTCTCTGTATAAACGGCCTAAATAATTGGTTGCGGCGCTACAAATTGAACACTAAATAATAAATGAATAAATAAATAAAAAGTTATAATATATAAAAATATATAATATATTATTATTTATATCCTATATATTTTTTATTTTTTATATATTTATAATATATAAAAATAAAAAATATGTAATATATTAAAATATATAAAGTTATTGAAGAGGAGTGTTGGTACGGCGATTGGCGATGCGATGCCACTCAACTAACCTTCGCGACTTTGGTGAGACTGCACCACTTGATGCTTCCAAGTGCTCGTTTTTTCCTGGCTCCATTCAAATATCGGGCTTGGGGAGTCCGTAGTACAGGTGGAGTCGAGGCCGTGAAGGGCAGTGTGCCTTGTGTTTCTAGTGCACCTTATCTGAGAAGAAAAACTGGGGGGGGGGGAGAAGTCAGCAACTAAGAAGGGGCTGCCATGGGCCGCGGGTGTCCATGAAAGCGTTTCCGTGGGCTTGTCAATTTGCGGCGGAGGTAGAATACCATGGGGTTTTAGTAAGTGCGGGTCTAGAGATTTAATTCTCTCTCTAGTCTCAAGATTTAATTTGCCACAAAAAAATAGACAGCTTAATAATTAGTTGTGACAAAACGGTCTGCGACTCAGTTGTAACGGGAAACCCGTTACTTCTACTATTCTGCCACAGCCTTTGCGCATAATGCATACAGGGTCTTAGGCAATTGATGAAACACACGATCAATAATTAATAAATAAAAATATAAATATTAATAAAACAATTAATAAATTATAGTTGCGAAAATACAAAAAAGTTTTCTAATTTGAGGGGGTATCAAAGCCACATAGATCCAGGGACTGTTTTTTAATAAGCCATCTTTCATAATCATCATTATCAAATTAGTGTCTATATAATTATTGTTTCGGGTCTGAATGTTTTGAATATACTTATTACTTATTACATATTACTTATATATGTAAGATCCCTCCACTATGCAGGAGAAATATCTTGGGGATGCCTTTTTTGGGAAAATCATAAAAGTCTACTATAGTCAAATCAAAACCTAAGCAGTGGCAAGTGCGGATTTTTTTATTGTTATGGCTAATGTCAAGCGCGGTGATTATAGAAAAATCTTACCAAATCGAAGAAGTAAAAAAGTTTTTAGTCTGATGATGATCATAAAAGTGTAGATAAGGAATATATGAATTGTAAAATAATAAAAGATAAACGCGAATTTTTTTTTCTCCAAACATAACCCATAAAGAATCGAAAGAAATCCATATTTATTATGTATAATTATATATGTTATATTATGTATCATATTATGCATGTGAGATTTGGAAAAATATATGTATGTTTGTTACTATATATGAATAAATATATGTATCAATCACGCATGAATGGCTAAAGATATGAGACACCATGTCCTAGAACCTATATTAGCGCACGTAATAGTTTTTACCCCAGCAAAATAGAAGTTACAAATGAATATAAACATATTTTTATTCCTCATGGGTAAATCCGCCAAGAGAAGTTAATCCAAAATATCTTTTATCAGTTAAAAAATAATATTTATAACGCTTTTAACATTGCTTATACTCCTGTTAGCTACTCCAAGTAAATTAAAAATTATTTTGTTGGCAATAGTTCACTACAGTAGTCGAATACCGGATTCGAAACTCCCGACTTTCCGAGTTTGCAGTCCGCATCCTTAACTATTATACTACTGTCACTTCGTTATAGTCTGTGGTCATACAGTCGCACAGAGGTTTCCAACAAACAATTACTACACAATTTTTTGTGATTGCAAATGTTCTTTTTTCAGTAGTCCGTGGAGTGTATATCAAGACAAAAAGCGTTTATTTTATATTTTGTATGTGAGATATTTGCATTATAACGTGCAGTTCAAAGTGAAATGCAACTTGCTTAATACACAAACTTAAAATCGTAATGCGTTACGGTCGAATTTCAAGCACTGGACGTCCACCAGTACGTATTATTCATCTAATCTAATAAACAAAATTTGTAGCTGACAAGCCGAAATTCACGAAGCCCCTACAAAAGGAGACGGTGAAGGACTACGACGACTGCACATTGAAAGTGCGCTGCGATGGCGTACCAAAACCCGAAGTGCACTGGTACGTGAACGACAAGGAAGTGAAGAACGACGAGCGACACACCATCACCACTGAAATTGGAGGGCAAGTCGATAGCGAGCTTGAGATCAAGCACTTTAATTCGACTGATGCTGGAAAGGTAAAATATGCTTTAGGTATATAATCTATGTTATGAGATCTACGTGTTAGAGCCACGCTGCAGCTATATTATGATTGCAGCGCGAATGGATCGGCTTGATCGAGAAAAGGCCACGCTATCATAGAATACCATAGTTTTTATTAATTTGTAGCTTTTAACAGCAAGATGTTGTGCCTATCTCCTGTTCCATATCCCTCAGTCACCTCTTCCGACATCTACGGGAAGATATGGATTTCTTTGTAGTCCTTGGGGTTCTATGCCTTTTAGGCCTCACAAGCTCTTAGGTTAACTGTTAGCTCATTTGACACCGCAATGTAGTGGTGCCTGTCGTTGCACCACAATCCACAATAGTTAGAACCACAACTAAATCTTTAATCACGCCATTAAATTATACTCGATGTTGGATTATATTGAAAATACTCGGAGCGTTTTCCGCTTCTTAGACTAAGCACCTTGGCCATCGCAAAATCTCCTCTTTTCCTCTACATACAGCCAAAACAATATTACAACCAGAAATTAGTTATATCCATTCCAATTTCAGTACAAAGTTCGCGCTGTCAATTTATCTGGTGAAGCAGAATGCGAAGCGCAGATCTCCCTGGCACAAACATCACCCGGTTTCGCTCACAAGCTGGAGCGGCAAAAGGACGTGGATGAGGGCGAGCCTTTGGAGCTGAAGGCGAAGCTAGATGGCAGCCCCATACCAACCGCGAAATGGTAATTACTACCTGCATTTTTTACATTCTCGTATTATTCTGTTCGAAACATTTAAAGCATTCGCCGCCAATATTCACAGGTCCACAGTTCGAGATTATTCCAACCAGAAGCAGAATAAAACGAAAAAATCCGATTTCATGTCAAAATTACTATAACATATGATAAAATCATCCTCATCATCATTACTATCATCATTACAGTCCATCACAAGTCGACTACTAAGCATAGGCGTCCTTCATAGATGGTCTTATATACAAAAATTCTATAAACTGAAAAAGACTTGAGAAGGTTTAAACTGATAGTTTCAAACTGATCCACTGAAAAGATGAAGATGAGAAGGTGAACGTAGAGCCGTTACTGAGCACTGGTGATGTTGCTTCCCATTACCAGTCTTTGGGATTTTGGTTCGGCATTTTTGGATAGATTTTCTTGCATTTTAGCCTTCATATGGACGCTAGAGTATCATCGATTGATTAGCACGTTATAACTCGTGCGTGAGGTAACACTTTGAGAAAAAGTTGAAAAACTCACAATCAAAATTTCATGATGTATTTCTAATATTGATTTTTTACATTATATATACCGATAAAAGAATTTTAAGATTACTAGCTAACTACGGCTTTATATTTAATAGTTTTTAAATTTGTCTCAGGTTTAAGGACGGGGCACCTCTTCCACCAGAAGATACACGTGTCAAACAAACCTCCCTGCCCGATGGTACTGTGAAGTTGTCCATTGAACACGTCACCCCCGCCGATTGCGGTGCTTACAAACTAGTGATCAGCAACCCTAACGGCGAAAATTCTGCAATGTGCGCTGTTGCTGTCAACCGTAAGTTTGCCTTTCGGCTTAATTAACGCGACTCTTAGCTTCCAATGCTTGCAACTGAAGTATTGAATTAGTTTAAAATATTGCAGTTAGATTTTCTTTTTGTATTAATAGGAAAAACACCTGATGTAATACTTAAATTGACATGAAATATTAATGTAATGCATCTTAAAAAAGTGTAATATTCGCTAGATAAAGAAACTGTATTTTGTCTTTATTTAACTATTTCTTACCTACTCTTTTTATTAATAACCTCTGCCATATTTATTTATTATTTTATTCAATAAATATTTTAACTTAAATTAAATGAATATTGACTGTATTTCAATTACATGAGAAATCTTTATCCTACGTATTTATTATGACGATTTTTAAAAATTTGATTGATGTTTTATGTACACAGCAACGCCCCGCAAGCCCTCATTCAGTGAACCGTTGGAGGATGTTAAGACTGTAGTTGGTCAGCCGCTCAAATTACAGGCTCGTGTGATGGCATTCCCTGCTCCTGAGGTCAAGTGGTTCAAAGATGGTAAGTATGGAATTCCTAATTCCTCATTATAGAAGCAAAAATTAGGGATTAACGTTCAACTATTATTTAAATGTCGACGAGTTTATTAAATTTTATGAATTGTAACATGACTTACCTACCTTATAAGATATGTGATGAGACAAATTTTCTGTACCGTTAGTTTTGTCTGGTTTAGTAACAGCTAAATGTTGAAAAATATTCTAAGAAATCTACCGAACGCCGATAATATGTGTGCGTGACAGTAGGGACTCGTACGCACGAACCACAGCACGTACACAACGACACTTGCTAAGTCAGAAAGTAATATGTGTGCGTGCCTGGCACGCGACAGTATGAACTCGTACACACGAACCACAGCACGCACACAACGGTACTTGCTAAGGTCAAAAAGTTTTATGCGTGCGTTCCTGGCACGTGACAATACGGACTCGTACGCACGAGCTACAGCACGCACACAGCGACACCTGCTAAGTCAGAAAGTGATATGTGTGCGTACCTGGCACGTGACAGTACGAACTCGTACGCACGAGCCACAGCACGCACACAACGGCACTTGCTAAGTCAGAAAGTTTTATGCGTGCGTGCCTGGCACGTGACAATACGGACTCGTACGCACGAGCTACAGCACGCCACACAACGACACCTGCTAAGTCAGAAAGTCATATGTGTGCGTGCCTGGCACGTGACAGTACGAACTCGTACACACGAGCTACAGCACGCACACAACGACACCTGCTAATTCAGAAAGTGATATGCGTGCGTGCCTGGCACGTGACAATACGGACTCGTACGCACGAGCTACAGCACGCACACAACGAAACTTGCTAAGTTGGGAAGATCGGGCCGAGTCGGGAACGGCCACCGCACTGTCCCCGCAATCACCAGTGTTTAAAACTTTGATCACTTTTAATATAATTTTGCTAGCAGTCTTTTTTCATTTTATTTTCACTATTTGTAAAATAAATTAACATATACGTTTGTTTAAGTAAATTAGCTTTATATTACTATATCTATACATAGATAAATACCTCATAAGTACATTAATTATCGTATCACATAAGATCAAATTAATATTAAACATTAAATGAGTTGAGTGCATATGCTCAGTGTTAATGTACTTGTATTTAAGTTATTTGGCATTTGTTGTAATGTAAAGCTGGAGTTTTTTTTTTTTTTTATTAGACATTGATTATTTGAGAGAACACCAAAGAAATGATTAACAAATATGATGCATAGCTACGTATCCGTATGTCTTATGTTTGTAAATATCAAAACTACTTATAAAACTAAATGAGACTTAGCTAATGATTTCTTATATTTACGCGAACACTACACATTGAAATAATACTAATTTTTACGGAATTTATCGCGTATATTTAACTTTTTTACCCGACGTTTCGAGAGCTTTACAGCACCCATGGTCACGGGAAGGACTGAGATGTTCAACGTCCAGCTGTCATAGTTAACCGCGGTTACCATAGATTAAAATTTAACTTTTGTTCCGATCTACACAGTATGAACTTATGGTATCATGGAGTCTTGCAGTTGTATGCTTGGGTTGGGATTTAATTTTATTTATTATAGGATCCCAAGCAGATGGTAGCACCCAGCCATCTTCTCTATTGAAATTAGGATGTTTTTTGATTTCAATAGCCTCGCGAATCATCCTTGGAAGGAATCGGTGTTCTTTAGCGAGGATTTGTGGTCTATCAAATCTGATGTAGTGACGGGGGCGATCCTGTACATGTTCACAGACTGCAGACTTCCCGGAGCGTCGATTCTTCACATCAGCTATATGTTCTTTGACGCGGGTTTTAGTCCTATAGGACAAACTAAAAGATCAATTAAAACCCGCGTCAAAGAACATATAGCTGATGTGAGGAATCGACGCTCCGGGAAGTCTGCAGTCTGTGAACATGTACAGGATCGCCCCCGTCACTACATCAGATTTGATAGACCACAAATCCTCGCTAAAGAACACCGATTCCTTCCAAGGATGATTCGCGAGGCTATTGAAATCAAAAAACATCCTAATTTCAATAGAGAAGATGGCTGGGTGCTACCATCTGCTTGGGATCCTATAATAAATAAAATTAAATCCCAACCCAAGCATACAACTGCAAGACTCCATGATACCATAAGTTCATACTGTGTAGATCGGAACAAAAGTTAAATTTTAATCTATGGTAACCGCGGTTAACTATGACAGCTGGACGTTGAACATCTCAGTCCTTCCCGTGACCATGGGTGCTGTAAAGCTCTCGAAACGTCGGGTAAAAAAGTAAAAAAGTTAAATATACGCGATAAATTCCGTAAAAATTAGTATTATTTCAATGAGACTTAGCTGTTAAACAAAACGACAGTGACAACCCTGCAACAGTAGATATTTAAGTTTCGCGGTGGTCCGGATTAATCCTACTATTCCGTTTTTACTATGGCAATGCATACAGCAAAGGAGTGCAATAATCTGCCGGCGTCTGTCTTTTCGTCCGATTGCAATCTTATCTTCACCATCACTCACCACCAAGTGGAGTTGAAGTCAGTTATTATAAGCTTATATAAGTAAAAAAGAAACAGTATAGAAAATATTGGATAACACGTGTTATTTATTTATTTAGGTTTTATTTATTTACTTAAGTTTATACAATCGCGAATGAAACGGCTTACTTAATCTCCCAGTCGCAATTTTTTTTTGTAAATTATTTTATTTACATTAGAGTACTATAGATATAGAAATTGAAAGTCCTTGAAAATCTGCAACCAACTTCGAACAAAAACGACTATAGATGCGTTAATATCTCTGAGGGCTGAAATGGAATGCTTCACAACCTATAATTATACATAATATACATAGAATAAATAGGCTTTACATTTAAATTTTTCAGGTCTGCCAGTTCGTCCATCCCAAGCAATTAACTTTATCAATCAACCTGGTGGTGTAATCGGCCTTAGCATCGACAACTGCAAGCCAGAAGATGCCGGCTTGTACTCGTTGACCGTCGCAAATAAATTGGGCGACGTCGAATCCAAGGCCAAGGTTGAAGTCACCCAGAAGGAACGTAAGCCCGCGTTTATCGCCGAGCTAATGCCCATCAAGGTTATTGAAGGGTTCCCCGCTAAGTTGGAAGTCAAAGTTCTGGGTCACCCTCCGCCACTTATAAAATGGTAACTGTTGACATATTTATGAAATCTACATTTATATTAACTTCTCTCTCTTTTTATAATAACGGATATATTCTACTAACGGATCTCAGCAATAAAGTCATCATGTAATTTTGAATGAGGAGGTGCTGAGTCTTGTCGATACCATCATAATTCTTGGAATCACACTAGACGCGAAGCTTCAATATATCTCAGTCATTATCAATACATTTATGAAAATGTAATGTTGTACATACTAATATATGATAATGTTGTACATGTAATGTTGCACATAAAAAATAAAAGCAGTTTTACAAAAATAAGTGGTATTCATTCTGTAAACACTAGGAACTGACACAAGTTAGTAGTATCAGTTACTCGACTCACTCGACTCCGCGGTGTGTAGTATTCGTGAAAACATAAAAATTATTAGTATTGTCGAGATCTTTCATGCAGGAACGACTGATATAGCACTAAATTCATTCGGAGCGCTTTATTCTTAAACCAGCCTCGGGCTGGTTCTGTACGCAATCCATCGTGAAGCAATGTGTGAGATACAAATATATTTTCTCGTTTCAGTAAAATATATAAAATAAATCACTATATCACTTTTCTAGGACACACAACGGCCAGGAAGTGGTTCCGGATGGAAACCGCATCCGGGTAGTGACGCAACCGGACGGTATGTTCGCACTGCTCATCTCCGAGGTCCAGGAGCCGGATGCTGGACAGTACGGTGTGATTGCTGCCAATGATAAGGGCGAGACTTCTTGCTCTGCTGAACTTAGCGTTGCCAGTGAGTGATACTATTGTTTACATTTCTTAATATTTTTTCGTTTTACAGAATTATTTAAATATTTCATGTTTTTAAACTAGATAATTTGTGTAAAATAATTTTGTTATATTGATAGATTAGATACCATTGTGGCCGTAGAAGGAAAAAGGGAGATCTCCCGCCGGGCAAGGTGTTCTGCCCGGGGAGCGGTCAACACTCCGAGTAATAGTTCGGAGAAGTTCTATATATACTGTCTATGATTCAGAATGTTAATAGCGCGATTTAGACTTCGGTGTGTTTCGGTGTGCTAGTGGCGCGACGACAGCGCCGCCACATCACCCCCTGCTCAGACCGGAGGTCGATAGTGCAGTCTGGTTGTCGACGAATGTGCAAGTGTCAGGAGATTGCCTTGTAGTCTGCGGTGAGTCGAGAAGAAGGCAAGTAATCTGCGAGAGTGCCGTGAAGCAGAGGCGAGCAGTAAGACTCAGAGCCGTGCCGAACACTGTATGGCGCAGAGAGTAGCTTGAAGGAACAGGAAGCATTATTATTTCAGTGCTATGATGAACCTTGTGAAGCTAGATGGCTTGCAGGATATGAAGACTGCAGACGATATCTGCTCGGGAGCGAATGGATGGGGTACTCTATGACGATGACTCTTGAAGTTTCCGAAGGTTGTTGATTGCGTGTTCAGATCACGTCAAGGTCGCCACTGTGGCCGTAGAAGGAAAAAGGGAGATCTCCCGCCGGGCAAGGTGTTCTGCCCGGGGAGCGGTCAACACTCCGAGTGATAGTTCGGAGAAGTTCTATATATACTGTCTATGATTCGGAATGTTAATAGCGCGATTTAGACTTCGGTGTGTTTCGGTGTGCTAGTGGCGCGACGACAGCGCCGCTACACCATTTTTTCATAACTAATATGAATAAGATTTTACTAAATGTTAAAAAAATATGTCCAAGTTTGAAATATCTAAAACAAATAGACGTTAATATGAAATTATTTGCTCATACATATAGAAAATTGAAATCTAATATATAGAAATAAATTTTTGTTTGTTCGCATTTTATGCGCTGCCATACCGTTTATCAGATTGCGGTAAAACTTTTTCAACACATTGCTTGCATTTCCGCAAAGGTTATATGCTTACGAGTACTTGGACGCGGTGGGTTACACTGTTGTAGAATCCAGATATCACTCGTGCAAAGCCGGGACAGATTGTTAGTTATATATAAAACTTAACAATTTGCATGTTTTCTTCAGATTTTGATGATTTTTACAACATCTTTTAAATGTTCCATTTTTGGATACCAGCTTGCTTTTATTTTGATTTTAAAGCAATTATATGCAGGTAGAGATGTAAGAACAATCCATGATTTAAAACCTATAGTCGCTCAGACAAAAATTTTTGGAAATTAATATATTAATATAACCTCTCAATACATTTATGAAAATGTAATTTACGTATAAAAAAAGTAGTTTTACAAAAATAAGTTAGTCGTACCAGTTACTCGACTCACTCGACGCCGCAGTGTATAGTATTCGCGAAAACATGATTATAACATAAATAACGTAAAAAAAAACATAATTAACGAGGGGGACGGAGCGTTGACTTCATTAGACGTGACCTCTTTAATTTCACGTTTATGTTTAGTGTGCCTCTCACCATTCGGTGATCGCTGCTAGTTTTCAAACTCGCGATCACTGAGACATCACTGAACAGTTGTCGTCTGGTCGTCACAATGAAATCAATCTCATTTTTTGTCGAACCAACGGGGCTCGACCAGGTCCACTTCCTGTGGGGCCGCTTTTGGAAAAAAGAGTTCATCATAAAGAGTCCCTCTTTCTCCATAAAGTTCACCAGCTGCTGGCCCATTGGGTTCCGTTGCTCTATTCCGAATTTCTCTCTTGTGCCTAGTTTTGCGTTGAAGTATCCCATTAACATAGTATAGTGGGTTTTGGAGGAATGTATAGCTCTGGAGATATCCTCATACATTTCCTCAACCTCGTCATTTGGATATGCCGAAGTTGGTGCGTAAACCTGTATGACCTTTATTGAATACCATTTGGTGATTCTGAGCATAAGCAACCCTCGTCGACACACTCTCAATCTTTACAAAGTTGTAAACGAGACTTGTGGAAGATAAATACGACACCTCCTTGGGGCAGATGGTCCGGTGATAGAACAAGTTGCCGGATTCGAAGATTACCGTGTCCTCCCTTCTCTTCGGACCTCAGATAATCCTATAATATCTCAGCACAACTTGTCTATCTCTTCTTCCAGGTTCAGGATCTTCTAGTTAGTTCTAAGGGTGTGTGCGTAGTATGTTGTCAGGTTGAGTCGTCTTAGGTGGCAACCGAAACTTTACCGGAGATTCTTAGACCTCCTGCCGCACCGTTACCATGATCACCACCGTAGCCAGGTATAGTGGGGCCGCCGGGGACTGGGAGCATTGTCTTTTGGCAACCGCTGTTATTTATTGCTTTTTGCTATTATCAGAAAGATTCTGCTGCCCATCTCCTGCCTGTATACCTTTTCCCTCTGTCGCCTCTTACGACACCCACAGTGAAATATGAGGTAGTTGGTATTCTTACCCGCTACTACACGGGTGTTTTATTACTTCTGTCTATGAAGGTGATATAAAAATAAATAACAGCCATAGTACAACTTAAAGCTTAATACAGCTGTGATAGAATATCGCCATAAAATTAATTTGTTACCAATATATTGAAAAAAGGAAAAGATTTGGTGCAGTTAGAAGATCATCTAAAATCTAATTAAAAGTTATACAACACTTCCCAAGGCAAGGTTTTTCATCTTTTTATACCTATAGCTAAGAGAATTATATGTTATGTTGAAAAAACTGCTAAACAGCGTAATAAAAAAAAATATTATATTATACAACTGATTAAAAACCAATTTTTGTATGATAAAATTCATAACATACATAGTACAGCTACAAAGACTATAAGGCCCTCGCAATATAGTTTAGGCTGTTTAGGATCCATATAAACAAAATTTAAATCATAATTTTAGGAATATTACACATCATTATTTTTAGGCTATATTCTATTATTTACAGTTTGACTCCGATCACTGTGCCCCAATGTGGTCTTCTTTATTTTTATTTAAAAGTTACCTAAAAGACAATATCTGTAATGTAATTTGTACACCAAATAACAGCAATAATACAGCTGTTATACAGGCTCTTTTATGATTGTACAGCTACTGTACAGCGCTACTAACGCATAAGGCTATATAATTTTGTCAACTGTTTACTTATAAGCGCTTACACAGCTAAAGAATACAGCCTTTTGATAAAAACGAACTTCAATTCAGCTTACGTGCTGCGGAGACGGTGGTGTTTCGCTTATATATAGATTTTTAAATGTGATAATTTTGTTGATAAGGTCGCACGGACGACTCGTGTCCGGAAGAGAGGCCCCGCTTCGTGCACGGGCTGCGGGAGACCACCGCTGATGAAGGGCAGGCGTTGCAGCTGAGCGCGGCGCTGGCCGGCAACCCGGCGCCCGACGTACTCTGGACCAAGGACGGAAGCCCGCTGATGCCCAGCGAGCGTCTGCTGCTGTCCTGCGATGGCAAGCGGGTGACGAATATAAATTTATTTCATTTTTATTTCAATAAACTGTACAGTTAATTCAAACAATACCTAATTTATTTTTGTATATTATATAGTACTATAATATTAAATTCAGATAATATTATATACATAAAAACATTCGCATAAACCCCATTGAGAAAATTAATTGAAAAGACCTATGTTCAGTAGGCAGGCTGTGATGAATAAATGAAATTAAAATATTTACGTGCCGTGTGTTCGCAAGAAAGTACATAAGCGTAAATGTTTCTACAGTAATATCCTCCAGACCGAATTTCGGTCAAGGCGGCCAGTACAATCTGCGCAGGATAGGATTAATTATAGTACACGAGTCTATGCTAGTGCATAGGTGCACTCTCTATTCTGTTACTCTCATATCCGATAAGTCAGTAATCTGACTTATCGGAATCCGACGCAGGACCAACTGTTTTACGTACTTTCCGAAGCAGGGGTTGAAACATCGCCACCTTCCGGGCTACTACTGAGAATTTTCTACAGTATTGTACTCAAACCGTCCGAGAATTTTCTACAGTAATGTTGCTACGTCACGAAACATCGCCACCTTCCGGGCTACTACTGAATTCCCAGAATTTTCTACAGTAATGTGCTTTTCAAACTACGTCACGAAACATCGCCACCTTCCGGGCTACTACTGAGAATTTTCTACGTAATGCTACCCCCCACCTTCCGGGCACTCAAAGAATCCCTGAAATTCCAGTAATGTTGCTACGTCACGAAACATCGCCACCTTCCGGGCTACTACTGAGAATTTTCTACAGAAGTGTTGCTACGTCACGATTCATGCTGCCATTTGTAAGCTGTTGGCCTATGAGTTTTTTTTATAAAATGGTAATAAATGAGCACACATTCCACCTGATGGTAAGTGGATGCTGTGGCCCGTAGATATCTACATCTATCCTAGGTTAAAAATCAAAATCCATATGCAATGTCACCCCTGAGGATTAAGATGGATAACTGCAACGTGGCTATACCACGTAAAGCAATTTATCACATATATGTTTTCAAATCTTTATTTAATTTTTAATTTTTTCGTAGGTTGGGCTGGAAATAAATCCAGTGGAGCTAGCAGACGCAGGAGTTTACTCAGTAAAATTGACTAACCCCCTGGGTGAAGACAGCAGTGAAGCCAAGGTTAACGTACGCAAGGTCTACCAGCCACCCACCTTCTCGCAGAAGTTCACCGACTTGCAGCAGGTGAGACTGTTGTCATCAGCTGACTTATTTTTTTACGAAAACCCGTCGAGCAGCGCTGGTGCATCTACCTGCTATCTGCTATTTAGTATAAGGATGACAAACCAGCACACAGTCGACGTGATGGTAAGAGGATGGTGTGGTCCATCCACATCTATCCTCACGTTGTCAAACCGAGGGACTAAGATGGAATGCCTCCTTGCTAGAATATACGAAACACAGCAGTATAATTCTCCTGTTTTACATGGGTATTCTATGAAAGCATTGTCCTTTCCCAGTTAAGGCGACCCAAACGTGCTACAACCATAATATGGCTGCAGCGTGACTCTACCAAGTATAACGCATGGTTTTCTTTCACAGCTTCCATCATTAGATGCGAAGTTCTCCGCGCGCGTTCACGGCAAGCCCACTCCGGAAGTGTCTTGGTTCAAGAACGGACAACCACTGTCACCATCCGACAAGTACGGCATCAAGCGGGACGGTGAAGCGTGCTGTCTTTACGTGAGGGACCTCAAGCCTGAAGACGCGGGAAGCTATAAATGTCTTGCGAAGAATAAAGAAGGTGAAGCCACCTGCGAAGCGACGCTCGAGGTGGTGGAGAAGATGTGAGTTTTTTGTTTACACAGACTAATGTGTGTGTTTATAAATAATTTAAAGATCAAAAATACAATGAAACGATTTGTACGCCTGCATGCATGTATAAATATTAGTACTTTTATGGATTGATTTCAATTTCAATTTTGATTGAATTCAATTTCAATCGTTCAATTGTATTTTTTATTATAGAAAAACTCTCACTCCTGTTACCCAGAGGGATAGGCAGAGACTACGGACTTCTATTTAGCACGATCCCGACACACTTCTCTCGCTTCTTTCACATCCAGATCCACGTATACATTCTCGTCGGTTAAGGGTACTTTTAATTTGACCCATCTTCAATATATCGCCAATTTGATCGATAAACTTTCGTTTAGGGCGTCCTTTGCCGACTCTGCCACTCACTTTTGCATCTTTATTATGTTTTGTCGCTCTTTCCTCTTTCATGTTTTCTACGTATCAACCCACCGGAACAATATCTGTACAACATCGTCTTGCAAACCAATAACAAACTGCTTATCAAAAGTCTACTGCCTTATAGGGTATTTCCAAAGCAAAGTAAACACGCTTGTCAGGCGGGTTGGCAAGTATAGTTTTAATTTTTATTAATATTTAATTTTCGATTGCGCGGTTTATTTTCCTGTGTCACCTTATACGATAGACACCTCACGATATGGGGTTGAGAATATTATAACACTGCCACTACACTGTTTATAAATAATTCGTTATACTTTTCGTTACACTTGCTATAATCTTCCCATTTGAAAAAGTACAATAGATGTCAAATAAAACTCATAAATTTTTATTTTTTATTTTATTTTAACGTCAGGTTATTTGAATAACCTCGCATATATGTACACGCAAATGCACACGTACACGCACATCCAAACGCACACGCACATTCATAATAATATGTTCTCAAAAGGAGGCGTTTAAATATTACGTAAGCAAACTTTCTATGATTTCAAAAATAAGAAAATTGTTTTCTCATATATGGCGATTTTATAAGCATACATGTTGATAGAATCAGGCGTTACTTTGATTATAATGATTGTCATATGCTCATTTTAGTATACTAATGAAATCAGCTTGCACCCTCTCTTCTATATTTTAACGTCCCTGTCTGTGTGCTCCTTAACTGTGTGGTGGTACATTTAAGTTTTGCATAAATAAATAAATAAATAACACGATCAGCAGTCATACTTACGGACCCTAAACCAAAGAGATAGTCAGATACATAGATACACGGTAGATGAAGGTATAGCGGTGACATTGTCCGCAGAGGGCGCCAGCAGCGCGCGGAGCCGCCGTCCTTCCTGAAGCGTATCGGCGATGCGGACGTGGTGCGCGGGATGGCCGCCAAGTTCACCGCCTGCGCCACCGGTTCCCCCGATCCCGATGTCGAATGGTATGCATATTTACATCACCTTCTTCTGCCATTAAAAAAAAATAGAAAACCTCGGACTTTCTTGCCGATCCCTCTCTAAGAAGGTCTTATTTCAATTAATAAAATCATGCTTTACTTTGTGAAAATACATTATATAAAAAAGTTGTACATAAAGTTGTACATTATAAATGTTGTAAAAAATTTCTACATTTATCCCCGATTAACAATCAAAACGCAGATGCGTTGTCACCCCCGAGGTCTAAGATCGACTGCCTCGTTTCCGCTAAAAAAGGGTCTCCGGACCATACCATTACCTTACGAAACACAGCAGTATCAAGTTGCTATTTTACGCTGGTATTCTGTGAGACCGTGGTGCTTCCCCGGTCGAGGCAACCCATTCATGCTACAAAAAATGCATAGCTGCAACGTGGCTCCACCACGTATGAAGAAAAAGGTAAAATTCGCGTAATAAATTCAAATTGTTCCCCATAGTTCAAAAAGCACTTCCCGCCCTCCCTCAATTGCGTGCACTATTCCTTTCACCACTAATCCCAATACCACTACTCCCAACATCACAAAGCGGTTGGCCACTGCGTAGTCTATTTTACCTAATGATGCCTCATTTAGAGGCATAACACATTGTATTTTGAACGGTGGTATGTCTTTCCTAGTGTAGTAGTACCTATTGGTATTAGTGATGACGGGCATAGTGCACGCAATTATGAGGGCTGGAGGTGCTCTCGAAACTAGACACATTATTGATATGATATGATATGAATATACTTTATTGTACACCACAAACAAATTTACAAAGAACATAACAGAGAGCAGATTACATGTACAATTTGGCGGCCTTATCGCTACATAGCGATCTCTTCCAGGCAACCAAAGGTGTAAAGGAATAAAACAGTGAATACTATGTAGGTGGTGCAATATAAATATACCTAATATAATATCAATACATGCAATAAAATAACATATAAATAACTAATGCATTAAAAAAATATGATACACATATACATACGTATATACATAAACATACACACACATATATATACATATACATTATTTTATATTATTACGTGGATCTTAGCTAGTTGAATTTTATTATCTTTAATAAATCTCATGTTTGCGAATCTGTGTAGATTCAGAACAGAACAGTTCAGATCAGAAGAGAACAGAATTCAAGTAACTAAAAGGAATAAAATAGTTTCCGCATAATAGCTTCTGGGTGCGCGAAAAGTAACCAAAGGTATGACGGGCGAACGATCGAGTAGACTGTATTAGTGTGGTTCAAAAGGAACCAAAACATGGCGGACGTGGCACGTGGCGGACTATGGACAATATACTTGCTTTGAAATTAATTTGAGGCGTTGGCTGACACGACGGGAGATGAGCTGCTGCGGATAAAGGAACAACAAATAAAACAGCTCATAATAAGGATGGGCACTTACCTGGGGGAACCAGCGAGCGGTCTCCCTCTTGACGGCTATGCGGGCACGATGAAAATTGCATTGCGACTACGATGGCTTCGCGCGTCTTCTTATAGCCTCCATCTCCCCTTTCTACTTGGCGGAGCGCGCTTCTCAATGGAGGACCAAAGATGCGTCCACCAGTATTTAGCTCCCCCCTACTAGGCAGGCCTGTGTGGGGAAGGAACGAAAGAGGGGAGGATTATGTCAGCCAACTCAACTAACAAATACATCAGAATAACTTTCAGCAATATACACTATGTCTTAGCACTGACTTCTAAAACTGTTATGCTGAAATTATTTTATTCTTTTAAATCGACTTTTAATTTTTATTAAAGGTATCATTTTTTTAAAACATTTCCTACATAGGCTCAACTGTCTATCTATGACATTTTCAGTGAAAACTTCTTTGAAAGCTTTGTAATTTGAAATTCGATGAAACGAAAAAGCGATACTAGAAAGAGATAAATGCATATACTTTACTTTTATCGTAACGTATATGGTATATGTACAACGTAAACGTGTATATCCTATTATCTCCGTATCCTATTCTGGAGGTATTTGAACACGTGTTTTATTGAATTTTCATTCTTGATTGATTTGAAATTTAATAAAACAAAAAAGCGACACTAGAAAAAGATAAACATATATATATTATTATTATCGTAACGTATATAATATATGTACAACGTAAACGTATATACTATTATCTCCGTATCCTTTTTTGAAGGTATTTGAACACATGTTTTTTTATTGAATTTTCATTCCATTGATTTATTTGGAATTGTATCACTATCACCCAGGTTCCGTAATGACGAGAAGCTGTTCCCTTGCGAGCGCATCCGCATGGACAAGGAGACGACCGGACTGCTGCGACTCAGCATCAGCGGCGTGGACCAGAGCGACGTGGGCACTTACCGCTGCAGGATATTTAACCAACACGGCGAGGACTCCTGTACGGCACAGCTTACTTACGATAGTGAGTATAACAATGTATACTCATGGACAAACTAAGAGGAACGCCAAAAAGTGTCTAAAAAAAAAACAATCATGGAAATTTTGACAATTAAGGCCGTGTTCCAATATACACTGCGAGCACTACTCAGTGCTCTCACTGGTGAAAAATTTAAGGGAATATATGACGTGATAAATTGCCGCCATTTTTCACTGGCGCTTCCGAGGTTAGGTAGGCTTTCAGTACTTTGATTACGTGATCAAAAAACATAACAGCGCGTTATGTTTTTTTGTGTTATAGAGATTCAACAGCTTCCACGAATGATTGTTATTATTATTAATTACTATTATTATTCAAATAAACTCGGACATTAATGTCTCTGGATTTAAGTTTCAAAAGCAACAACATTCAAATAATAATTTTTCTTGTTGAACAGTAAACGTTTACATTTATAAATATTTTCACTTGAAAACAGTATCGAAAAATGGAAATGATAGTATACTGGACTTGGTTCAGTTTTAAACAGTAACTAGTATAACAAACTAAAAAGGACTACACAAAGGGGCTTCACTTTGACGTCATACCTTACGGTGGTCACAGTGTATATCGGAACACACCCCATGTTTATGAATATGGATTTTGCTTATTATTCTCAATTTGAAATTGCAAACGCCAAAAAAACAAACGATCAAATGACATAGATTAGCTAAATTAAAAAAGAACAATTTTATAGGAAAGACATTTTTGTACTTAACATACATTTTCTTCATTTTTTTTTCATAAATGCTAAGAAAAGGCTATAACGTGGCTACAATCAGCACTTAGTGTTGGCCCCTCTAGTTCTTCGAACTGTTTCCAGTCTCCTTGGCGTACTCCTTTTCAAGTTATAAATAAAATCTTGGGAGATTGCGTTCCATTCTTCCTGTAATACGTTTTTAATATCTCTCAAATTAGCGGAGGCAGGATTTTTTTTCTTAAGTTGTCTTCCACGCTTATCTCATACATGATCTATGGGATTAAGTCGGGTGAGAGCGCCTACCCCATAGCATTGATTTCAAAGTATCGAAGGTATTCGACAACTTCTACCGCAGTATGGGGCCATTATCATGTATAAAAACAAATGTATCTCCCATAACTGGGGCAAATGGCATTATAATTTCTTCCAAAATCTCAGCTACATATCTTTATTTATGACTAAATTATGTATACATATACAACAACAACATTTTCCGAATATATACAATTTCAAGAATTATCAATTCTGGAGCAATAAAATCGTGTTTTAAATACGATATTTTATCCTACCCGCCTAAACTATCAATGTTGTGTGAAGCTCTGGAGCCGCTGAGCAGCAAGCGTCCGATCTCGGAGCAGTACTCGGAGTTCGACAAAATGAAGAAGACGGGTGTGCCGATGCCGCTTGGCGACAAGCCCATCATCTCGCGCATGGCCGACCGCCATCTCACGCTCTCCTGGCGGCCCTCCATCCCCCACGGGCCGAGGTTCCCCGTCACTTACCAGGTAACTTCCATTTACAAACAAATCTATTAGAAAATTTATAGTACTTAAGTCCATTCGGGAGTGAAACAAGGAGACGCGCTATCGTCTATAGTCTTCAATTTGGCACTTGAGGCGTAAATTGAACATCAATGGTCTGATTAATTACAACACTACTCAACTCGCTGCGTATGCCGATGATATTGTTGTTACCAGCAGGTCAAGAAACAGGATGATTGACCACTGTCAAATGCTGAAGACCGAAGCCGCGACTTTTGGACTGCGTGTAAATGCATCCAAGACTGAGTACCTTGCAACAGCTAGACAACCTGGACAGCTGCAAAACGTTAGTGTTGGCAATCAAACCATAAAAGGCGTGAGCAGCTTCAAGTATCTAGGAGCAACGATTGCCTCCCAAAATAGATCTGACGAAGAGATTAAGGCACGGAAGTTGCTGGGCACAAATGTTATTACGCGTGTGCCAAACTCCTGGGTTCTAAGCTGCTTAGTGTTAAATCGAAACTCACCATCTACTATGACTTATGCCTGTGAAACCTGGACTTTAAGCCAGAGAGAAGAACTGAAGCTTGCCATGTTCGAAAGGAAAGTGCTGAGAAAAATTTATGGTCCCATAAAAGAGTGTGATGGTATCTATCGTCAACACATGAACCATGAACTGGACGCACTTATCGGGCACGAGAACATCGTCAGGTTTTGTAAGTCGCAGCGACTGAGGTGAGCGGGTCACCTTGAAAGAATGCCGGACACTAGAGCCGTAAAAAGAGAGACAAAGTGGACGCCGCAACAAAAAACACCGAGAGGCAGGCCTAAAAAGCGTTGGAGTGACTGTGTGGAAGAAGATCACAGGAAGATGAGAAAGTTTACCAGCTGGAAGAAGGTAGCCAGGCAGCGTGACAACTGGAGGAAGATTGTGGAGGAGGCCAAGACTCACAAAGGGTTGTAGCGCCAACGGAATAAATAAATAATAAATAGAATAATAGTAATTAAGTCCAGTCCAATTATGGCCAAATACTCAAATGCTCCTCAATTTTAAAATATTGTTAAGTCTCTTGGTGTCACAGTCATTTTGACTTAAAGTGATAAACGAAACGAGACTTAACAGCATTTTATAATTGAGCAGCATTTGTGTATTTAGGCATTAGAGAGTTACCATTTGCTTAAAAATGAAAATAATTGGGTGGCCAATTGGCCAAAATGGTCATTGGGTGGTTTCGGAAACATCGTCATGTTTTCGGAGTCCAAATATGAACCGTATACAACCGTTCCGAATGTGCTCAAGTTTATTAAGCAGCTCCTCACTTAAATTTTTATAACACGTGTCAGCATAATCTAGAATCGGTAAGGGGAGTGATTGTGCAAGCGTAATTTTGCTTGGTATGGGTAGGAAATTACTTAATCTGTAGAGAGATCTGACCGACGCAAACACCCTCCCACTCATAACGCTTACCTGTGAAGCCCGTGATAAAAATTTGTCGAAAGTTATACCAAATTTTTTTACAGTGTCACTATGTGGCACGGATGTCCCGTCAAATACAGTGGCAGGTAGAGTAGGAAAATCTATAAGTGGAATCAATTTTTGACTGCCAATTATTATTGCTTTAGTATTTGATGGATTTACTTTAAGACCATATGACTTACTTCAATCCAAAACCAAATCAATATTTTGATTAAAACTACTTTTACGGATTTTATCGCGTTTATTTTTTTTTACTTTTTATTTTTAATTCTTAATTCCCGACGTTTCGGGCGCTTTCCAGCACCCATGGTCACGGGGGACTGAGATGACTGACGTCCCGATGTCATTGTTAAACCCGGAGTACCTTCAGCTTTTTTAATTATTGTTTATGATCCGATCTATGCAAAATGAACTGACTATGTCCTGAGGTCTTGCAGTGGTATGCTTGGGTTTAGTTTTAATTTTATTGATTATAGGATCCCAAGCAGGTGGTAGTACCCAGCCTCCTTCTCTATTGAAATTAGGATGTTTTTTAATTTCAATAGCCTCATAAATATAATCATAAATAAAAAAAAGATAAAATCGGTAAAAGTAGTTTTAATCATGTGCAATATTCGCGTAAATATAAGAAATCATTAAATCAATATTTTGTTTAATAAGATTAAGCTGGTTTAAATCAATATTTATGATGCTACTATATTAACGCGCTTTACCAACTCCATACTCAGCAGAAATTTCCATACTCTGCAGGAATCAATCCCTACACAAACAGTGTACTCACACACACAAGCACAAGCAGTGATTCCGATTTTTTTTATATATATATATATATATATATATATATATATATATATATATATATATATATATCTCTGTTAGCATTAGAATTATCAAATTGATATCTAGCTAGCCGTATTTTTTTACGCTGCTCCTGAGTAAGGGAGCAGGCAAATGCTTAAGCCGGACCGGCCTAACTGAAACATGAAGAATTAAAACTATACACCCTTTTGTGAGTGAGAAAAAATCCACACAACCAAAATTATGCAGCAGAAGGATCCTCTATTTACGTTTAGGTGAAAATGCATCAGCAGGACATTGATCATGTTTAGCAATGTGATCAATGGAAGAAACAAGAGTAAGATACAGAGGAGACGGGGTATAATTTGGAAAAAAGTGAGTAGCAGAAAGAGGGAGAATATGTAAATTAGCTGCTTGAAGTATAGATTTCAATCGAAAAGGGAGTGAGTCGCTCTTCAGAAGGTATGTGTTAAAATCACTCATTATAATAGAGTGGTGATAAAGTGGAATATATCAGTCTAAGAGGCTTTCAAACATTGAAAAGTAGAAAATTGTAAGGCTAGGATTATAAAACACACCAAGTAATAGCTTGGTATTCGATAATTAAATGTTCAGCAGAAATACTTATATTTGCAAATTGTAAGTGCGAGCGAAGGTAGATGGAGACACCTCCACCAACTTGAGTAGAACGATCATCCCTTATAAGTTGAAAGCTTTATTCATATGACGTGGAGGACAAACAAGGTTTAAGCCAAGATCGAGAGATCAAAATAGTACGTATGTTTTTGTTATAAAACGACGAGAGCTTGTCTGGATAATGCGCAGGAATGTTCTGGGAATTAATGTCCATGGACAATGTTGAAATTTTTCAGTACTTATATCTGAGAAGTGCGAATCTAATGTTTGGTTGAAAGAAGGGAGACTGTAGAAACTGTTATTACTATTCAACTTATCAGAGGATGAAGGTGAAAAAAATGCGTCGTGCGAAAAAAATACTGTATAAAAATATTAATATAATATTACTTACATTATAAAAAATGTTATACTTAAAAAATGTTTTATTACTGTTATAATTAAAAACAAATAGACCGATATTAAGTATGTGTTGCTTTTTACGCCTACCCTCCCAAAAAAAAAACAACTTTAGCCTTCTTTGTCCGAAGTTGACGTCATAGAGTAGAGTAATATAGTTGAAATTGGCAGGCAAATTGATGTTGCTCCTTATCGGTGGTCTAGGTATTTTACACCTGGCGTAAATAAGATGATAAATACCACCATATTGGAAGCGGTAACATTTTTCACACGGACAATAAATTGTTACAGGTTGAGATGTGCGAGATGCCAGACGGTGATTGGTTCACAGCGCGCACCGGGCTAAGGTCTTGCGTCTGCGACATCCGGAACCTGGAACCCTTCAGGGACTATAAGTTCCGCATTCGAGTCGAGAACAAATACGGAGTGAGCGAGCCTTCGCCCTACGCTATCACACACCGCTCCCGCTTGGAGCCCGAGCCGCCGAAATTCGTGCCCTATTTGGAGCCCGGCATCGATTTCCGTCCGGAGACTTCGCCCTACTTCCCGAAGGACTTCGACATCGAGCGACCTCCCCACGATGGATACGCTCAAGCGCCTCAGTTCCTTAGACAGGAACACGACTCCCAGTATGGAATCAAAGGCCACAATGCCAATTTGTTCTGGTTTGTCTACGGTTACCCTAAGCCGAAGATGACGTACCTCTTCAATGATGAGCCGATCGAGATCGGAGGCAGATATGATTGGAGCTACACCCGCAATGGACAAGCGACATTGTTTATTAACAAGTAAGTATATTTCGTTGTAGTTGTACTTTCAAATTTTAGAATTTCTTTACTGTTCCCTTTGTCTATTGGTTAGAAAAATAAGGGGCATCTGTACTTATACTTTATAAAAAAAAAGATCAATTTAATATACGCACTTATTATAACATTCATTTTCTAGATTTCGTATTAGAATTCTTATCTTCTACATCCAATACATTTAAAGCATCTTACTTTTATGTGGATAGGAACACTTCAAATCAGTTTCTTAGAATTTTTTTTTAAACTTACAATGTTTCCCTACTTACAGTAAAGTGGTAAACCACCAGGGATCTTGGTTTTCATCCATATAAATTAGTATCTTATTTAGAATTATGAGCATTTCAAATTGTTTCCCATTAGTTTTATTTATAAAAATCACAATTTTTAAATGGTTATTATATTTATTATAATGAATTTTTATACTTGTATTAAAATGTACAATTTTTACTATATTAAGCGTTTGGCATCAAAAACTTTCTCAAAGAAATGTTTTCTTTTGAACAAACTTACAGTCTAATGGAAAATGCAAAGTGGCTACTACAGCCAGTTAGTTATACTAATGTTAAAGACTCACTGTCCGCGGCAGGCCTGCCGGAAGGCCCGTAAATGCGACAGAGAGCGCAACAGGTGGTGTCCTGTTTCCCCTTTTTATTGCACAGCGGGCAGCAAGTCCATAACATTAGTATAGTTGGAATTTTAAGTGCGAATTTACCACGTGCTCAGTGGTAAAAGAAAACATCGTAAGAAAATTTAAATGTCAGAGGAATATAAATATTTCGAAGACATGTGTGGTTTAATCCGCAAACACGCATTTTTGCGCGTGACAATTGCTCCATAAACATCACCGAAACCAATCCTACGTGCAGCAGTGGCAGTATACTGTAACGTTAGTTAACTTTATACAGGATGTTGGAACGTGACGTGGGCTGGTACGAGGCCGTGGCCACGAACGAGCACGGACAAGCTCGGCAACGTGTCCGTCTGGAGTTGGCGGAGTACCCGCGGTTCATCACCAGGCCCGAGGAGACCGTGGCGCTGCAGAGGAGGACCGCAAGGATCGAGGCCAGGGTCACTGGAGTACCATTCCCTGATATCAAGTGGTACAAGGACTGGCAGCCACTTGCACCCAGTAGTAGAATTAAGGTGAGTAAGTTGCCATATTGTGCAAATCTGTAAATCTGTAATAAATAAATATGTAATATGCCTGTTGTCAGGATTGTGCAAAATGGAAGTCTATAGTCTCTGCCTACCCCTCTGTATGACAGGCGTAGGAGTTTATGTACAAGAATAGTTTCAAAAAAGCTCCAAAAAGGACGAATGCGGCTATATTTATTAGGTATATTATATTAATAAATAGTTTAGGAAAAAAATACAGTTATTTTGATTTTCCCTTAAAAACAAACCGAGTTTGGATAAAATACGACAATCTTTTGAAGTGATAACTTCTTTAGCATGGTTGTGATTTGAAAGTCTATGAAACAAAAAAGCGACGGTGAAAAGAGACAGACACATAAATTCATAAGATTTAACGTGGGAGAAAATGAGATAGGAAGCATTATAGCTCAATCAATGCTCGCGAGAAAAAAGTCGCAAACGCCGCGAGTGGCTGTCCCGTACTTTTAAAAGTACATTAACAATCTCGAAGACTTCTTTAGATATTTTAACCATGGTCGGATTAAAATATGTCGTTTAAATAAAATAAGTAATAAAATAAATGAGTCCAAGTAATACTAATTTTAATAAAAAAAGAACCATCAAAACCGGTAGTAGATAGTTTCGTGCGTTTCCCATCTGTATGGTTCACCTTTCATAATCTATGATTTTAATATAGTAATGGCAGCCACGTGGCAACGGCAGTAAATAGTAAAAAAATTATAAATTCAATCAACATTTTCATAAATTCAGGCCATCTAGTATCTATTTTACGTACTACCTTGGGTGTCAATCAGTTGTTTGATATAGTGACTACCTATATAATGAAGTAGGTGGCGCTATTATAATTTTACTCGAAAGAAAATATAATATCTATGTGTCTAATATATATATTAAAAGGATTGTTACATTTATTTACTATAAAAATATTTTTTCTTATATTTTATGCTGATCTTGTAATTTATATTATAATATCAAATAAATCATTTGCCGTAAAGTATTTGTATTTCATATTTCATTTTATTTGAAGGTTTCACTTCAGTCACGTGTGAGCAGCACGATTCTTCTTTTTTTTGTTTTTTAAAAAATATCCTGTCATATTCTTTTAGACTAGTTTAAAGTGCATATATAAGTTGCACATGCAATGAAACGAAGACCCAAAATTGTTTGTGGGCCATTAAATTGTTCTGTGCGATATCCAAACCCATAACTTGCTCAGCCGCAGCTAAACTCTTGGTCTTTGCGCTATTATATCGCATATGTAAACTATGACTGTAGAGTATTTTATTCGTACGTTCTTTCATTCGTTTCTACTCATTCTTTTTTAGAGCAAAAAGTGACTTTAATTGTTATAAAAATATCTATATTTACTTATATTAATATTGTATATCTTCGATATACTCTGTGCATAATACATCTTAAAAACTGCAAATTAAATGCAAGGAAAAGATTAATCGTACAACGTCTAGGTTGTACGTATAATATAGTTTACATTATATACAAATTAATTTCTGGGTCTATCAAAATAATTGTTATTACTTTAATATTTCGTAAATTTAAAGACGACACATTTTCAGAAAGACAAAAAACCATAGTGGTTAAGGGGAATATTAGTAATGCTTATAGCATTGTTAATATTCTTATTAAAAAAATAAAAAAAATTAAATTTATTATTAGTTTAAGTGCTATTTAACACCAATGTCCGGTTATTACTAAGGCAGGATCCTTTTTTACATCATACGACAGCATTTTTATCTATTTGTAAATTGTACTACGAATTTTGTGTTGGTCACATACTTAATTTTTTTTCTGATTTCTTTCTTTCTCTATGTTCGATACAAATTGTAACTTTATGAATTACAGATGCAATTTATTGAGCCGGACACGGTAATCTTGGTGATACACGACGTCATCTTGAAAGACGAAGGACTCTATTCAATTTCGGCGCGAAACGTCGCGGGCTCCGTCAGCTCCTCCGCCATGTTGCATGTGGAAGAGAGCGAACACGAATACTCTACCAGGTTCGTACCATACATTGATCCACTTGACTATTCACTGATTATTTCTTCTTATTTTCCTTCATCAGCCCGTAAAAGTTTACTGCTGGACATTGTAGGGCTCGGTATCAAACGTAGTAGAGCCACACCGCAGCTATATTATGGTAGTAGCACGAATGTGTCGGCTCGACCGGGTTAGGGCTACGCTCTCACAGAACACTGACGTAAAATAGCACCTTAATACTGCTGTGTTGGGTATTTTAGTGGAAACGAGACATTCCAATCATTCCTCAAAGATGACGACGTATTTGTATTTTGATTCCTTATTGAATAAAGATGTAGGTGTATATAGGCCACAGCATCCACTTACCATCAGGTGGATTATGTGTTCGTTTGACACCCTTATTCTATAAAAAAAATCGGACCAATAAAGAAAGATAGACAGAACACTAAATTGACGTTTTTGGCGTGCCTTTGACTTTACAAAGTCAAATTTATTAAATGTACATATTTTTAAGGTATGATTTTGTATATCTTTGGGTGAGCCAATAGTCTATGTCCAAAAAATGCTCTACCTCTAGTAAGAACACGCATACATATGCATTTTAGATAGTTTCTAACCCACAACATTGTTTTAGGTGCACGTGTGCGTGAGCACGCGTACGAACTTGTTCTATCATTATATGTTGGTCTGATTTGTGTGGTGGATTTTCCATAATCATCACTCTAGGCAGGCGTTTTGGCGATTATATCACCAGATTACACTCTTTGCCACTTTGACATTTATTTCTTTTTATTTTTTTAATTGTTCTACGTTGCCGGTCGGTGCATTTTATGTCTGGCGTTCAGTGCCCGATTTAGAGTTCCAACAGCCTCAGGCTAACTATGAATATGCGCCCCTCCACCGACTTGTTCTGTCTGTGCCTGCCCAAACCACGAATATATTTACTAGATTTTTATATCTTAGAAGCTTACAGCCCAGCGGTTACGCCCACGTAAAATCACTTTTGCCTGATAGTAAGCGTCGAACATCGCCCATGTACAACTGCAACGCCGGGGAAATTGCAGGTGCGTTGCCGGCCTATTTAAAAGATGTAAGCTCCTTTCTTAAAGGTCTCTAAGTCGTATCAGTACGGAAAAATCGCCGGTGGTAGATGATTCCACCAAGAATTCTTGCGAGGAAGAAAACCTCTAATAAATCGCGCAGTGATGGTGGACCACCAAGCATCCAAATTGTGTGGATGGTGCGTCAGTTTTGTCTCGATGTGCGTTTCTGTAATTTGGCGACTTGAATTTATCCGAACAATTTATCTATTTACTCCCGTTTATCTGAAAGAAAATGTAATGGGATGCAACATGTCCAGCATAGATGGCTAGTCTTCGTTGAGACGCCGTAACCGGAATTCGGTCTGAAGGACTTTATTATGTCTTTAAATAAATGAATATTTAGTAACAAAATGTCCCAACCCTTTTACAAAGGTGAACAAATTGAATGATGAAAAAATCCACCACATTTTCTAGAGAACGTTAAAGTTTTGTCTTTAGTTGAGTAACAAAGTCTACCTCTGTTTGCAGAATCCGCGAGCATCCACCGCGAGTAAAACCAAGCACGAAGCCGTTTGGAGACTTCTATGACATCGGAGACGAACTGGGCCGTGGCGTCCAGGGCGTTGTGTACCACGCAGCTGAAAGACTTACTGGTAACTTTATATAGTAGAAGTAATAAAAGAAAAATTATAGCCCTTATACATCCCACTGCTTGGTATAGTACTCTTCCCATATCTCAGAGGAGCTTGGAGTAGGGAAAGACTGTTACGCTGTCATTTAGTTTGTCGGTGGCCTTTTTTACCGTCTGGAAAAAAATAGTGTGTAACATGTGAACGGAGTAGGAGCTATGGCACTGATACTTTACAAAAAAATTTAAAAAAATTTAATCAAACGTTTGGAAAATTTTTACAATTACTTTGCCCTTTGGCCTTGAGCCTGTGACCCTGTGAAGTGATTACAATAATACAAAATGAGGTAATTTTTCAACTATGTGTAAGAAGTTCTTAATATTTCAAACAACAAATGTTTTGACACTGTTTTAATAGGTCATTCAACATATTTCCCAGGTCGCAACTACGCGGCGAAGATAATGCACGGACATTCCGCCTTGAAGCCGTTCATGAAGAATGAATTGGACATACTGAACCTGCTCAACGACAGGCATCTCATTCGCCTGTATGACGCGTACGAGCACGAGCACACCCTTGCGCTGGTGCTCGAACTGGCTGCTGGTGGGGAACTGGTCCGCGATCGACTGCTTAGGTTTGTTAAAGATTTAAATAAAATGTGGCGAAAGACCATGTAACTTAAAACTGATGTTAAGTGATATGTTCTGCCTAGATAAGTAATACCCTGTAATCTATTTCCGCTACTAAGCTTGTGATCTGTTTTTGGTTGTGAAAGTTATAAAGAGCCTGTATAATTTCAGTCTATGTGGCATTACGTCTTAGTCTTCAGTGGTGTCAACGTATACGTTGACTTCTTTATTTGAAGTTAGTTGTAGGTTTCTATAAGTTGCAATAGGCACTTACCATCAAATGGATTGTAAGTTCGTTTTTTGAAAAAACTCTGGCTCGAAGGACCAAGCAGTTGTCCTGTTAATAAATTCTGGTTTGAAAGAAAATATCATGAATTTTTAAATCTATGCTAAAAGGAACTGATGGCACTCACAACTGACCAACTTCTGCAATTTATTACAAGTGTACAGCTTAACGGTGAATAACAACAATAGCCGTAACCGCAGTACACCCTATTGCCGACGGTCTTAGAAGCCTTAGAAGACTTAGTCTTAGTTTTCTAGTTTATTCGAAAAATTATCTATCTGAAAATATTTGTACGCCGGAAACGGCAGAATATTTAGGATCAAAATTCTTTTGTAACAACAGTAATGTACCATATTCTGACAAATAAAGTATCTTATCTTATCTTATCTTATCTTGCAAGGCTTGAGTAACTGCTTTTTTATAGTAAATTTAACATAAATTCTGGTTCGAAAAATCATGTAATTCCATTATCTCTATGCTCAAAACCAGTTTGTGCCCAGTAGAGGGATGTATGTAGGTTATTACCATACTAATTCTACAATATGTTGCTTGCTTGCAGGAGCCAGGGTTACACAGAAAGGGAGATAGCGGGTTATATACGGCAGTTGCTGCGCGGACTCAAGTACATGCACGATAACAACGTCGCACATCTCGGACTCACGGTAAGCGCTACAAGGGTGAGAGTTTGAAAGGAAATTAGTTTATTTGTCAGAATTGCCATCGAAAGATCTGATTGTAAATGGCTACTGCAGACTATCGACACTTGCAACCAACTTCAAGTAAAAGGCAATAAGTACGATATTATTACTCTAGGGGTACCTCATGTCCACAATGTCAAAATTTCACTATAGTTCGTACTACTCTACACATTTTAACATTGTGTAATTAAAGTTGAAAGTCGAGATTGTCTCTGAATACTAAGGATTTTCATCTTAGCCCTCAGAGATTGCAAGGCATAGCATTTATCTAAATTTTGAATGTCATTTGTTAAGTTAACATCTGCTTATACACTAAAACACCAATTATTTAAGTTACTTCGAAATAATAAATAATATAAATATTACAACAGCTTATTACAATATATTTAATATAAAGATATAATTTTTAATACATGACATTTAATCAGATTTTTCTTAACTATCAAAACTAATACTACTACACTCAGTTTATGCAAGTCACATCCAGTAGTGCTTATCTGTGTAAATCGAATCGTCGAATTTGCACGAAGTCTGACGAGCCATTGCTGTCGCTAAACAAAATTTTAAATCCATCTACATTTAGTTTTGTATGTCTTCGGTAGTTTTTGTAGTAATTTGCATTATTACCTTGTACGAATAGCCTAAACCAAGTTTATATTAAGTTGTAGATATGTAATTCTCATAAGTGAATGTAAAATTCTTGAGATAATAAAAATTAAACAAAAATTTCTATTATACTCAAACACTTCACCCATATCGGGCTAATATACGATATCGCTTAACCCTTCTCAAGAAATGTATTATTGGATAACCTCGAGTAACTACTAAATGAAATTTGAGTTGGATTTTCACTCTTAAACCAAAAGAAATGTACTACTACTTCGAAATGAGGTTCCTTTGTTCAGAGAATTGACACAAAACCCTCTTCAGATATTCTCTTTTTTAGATATTTTAAGGTTCTAAATACAAATAATGTTTATGAAAAATAATAAACTCATCGGTCATCGGCATTTTCTATGAAATACTAAAAGGCGGAGGAGAGGAAAGTAAGGGAGTAATATTGTTTGTATAGTTGCAGGTGACGATGGTCTGCAGAAGCCACGTACCATGGGTTGTTAGCTCGTTTGTCATCATGATAATATTAAAATTTTGGTTGACCGTTTTACCTTTGTCATACGAAACCACAAGGTGTTTTTGACAATTTATTATTTATTTATTTAAGTACACCAAAAATTACAACAATGCAGAAATAGTAAGCACACGTCAACTTACATACAACAATAACTGCACAATCAATTAAAGGTACTAACAATTTATTTGAAAGTTATAGGCCATTCAAATTCAATGATTCTATTAGCATTCCTAATTAAACAATATAACTCTTCCAAATGTAAAACGATATTTCTACAATTATTTCTTCTGCGGCAGCAATGCGCCGGGAACTATCTAGCAAGATATAAAAGAAGATATGTACTTTAAATAACATAGTTATTAGTTATTCACTACTTTATTTTCGAAATTCAAACTACAATGGGTACGTTTGGCAGAAAAAAGCGCTAGCAAGCGCTTACAAGCGCTGAAATAGTTTTCGGCCGGGACACGATACTACTTTAGTAGCGCTGACACAATCCGCCATTTTGCTTATTTAATTTGTTTGTTTTGAAGTAGAGTTTTTAAGTTGTTTCGTGCAATATTAATTTTAAGTAATATAATAACGTGAATAAACATATACATGTTATTAAAAATTCATGATTGGTAAGTTTTTAATATGAATACTTTACAAACATATATTTAAATTAGGTTAGGTTCCCAGGTTAAAACTAACATCGTGTCCTGGAGGAAAATAGCTACTTACGATTTGACAGCGCTTACCGCTTAGGAGCGCCATTTTGCTTACAAGCGCTTGCTAGCGCTTTTTATCTGCCAAACGCACCCAATGTTAAAAAACTATAATAAAAAATAATAAAAACTGAATTTTATCATCATATAATTATCATAGTCCTACTCTCCGTGGTATCGTGCCAAGAACGCTGGCTGCGTTTCCTCTCTGAATGGCTATTCATAGTCTTTGAGCGAGAGCAGCCCTCTTTTCAAAAGCAGTAACGATTAGTCGCGGATAGTTTCTTTAGGAATTTCATCGCACGTGTACCTCACGGACCAATAGTGTCTACAACAAATGGCACAAATAGGTACCCATCTCTCACATTATTCCAATGATATCCCGGACGTCAGTCTGAGGGAGATTAGAATGGCTTTCCAGCACCTTAAAAAGTGCAAGTCCCCGGGCGAGGATGGAATAAGAGCGGAGTTTTTGAAAGCGGTTGAAAAGCCGATTCTTATAGTTCTTCAGAAGCTCTTCAATTTAGTCCTCCATGCTGGCACTACTCCAGAGGCGTGGAGCAGAAGAGCGGTGGTCTTGTTCTTCAAGAAAGGCAACAATGCTCTCTTGAAAAACTAGAGACGGATTTCCCTTCCGAGCCGCGTCTACGTGTTTTTTTTTTCGGAACCATTTAGCTATTACGTACTATGTACTAGAGGCGACACTGCATCCAGCTACTCTGTTCCACTCAACTGCGGTGCATACACCGCACTTTAATCAGTCACTCGCAGGACTTGTAGAGTCGCCACGTGTTGTGTTGATTAAAAAAAATCTTTGTGTGTGTGTTTCGTGTGTACTTAGATATTGCACAAATAATTCAAGAAATGTCAGTAAAAACCAAGGAATTACTTTTCATCGGTTAATAAGATACTTAATCAATAAATAAAATATTATAGATTTATAATAAAACAAATTATTCCTAAGACGCCATCTCGTGTCGTGGAATATAGATTATGAAATTAATATGTACAGATGCGACATTTCTGTGGGTACTTAAGTATAGGACGAATATATTATACACATTTGTAGAAACATATATAAGTTATTATAATTAGGCAAAATTTTTCATGTTTATATCTGCTTATTATTCTTTTATTTTATTTTTAAGTTTTCACATCAAAGTCATGGTGAAATAAATTGAATAAAATTCGTCCATTTTTAATTCTCGCATGCCCAGCATTTATGAACTACTCTTATTCTAATTTAAATAAATATATTTGTAATGTAAATGTAATGTTTATAAGTTTTGTTAAACATACATTTAGTATGTTTTTTTAAAATTTGACGTAGATACCTTTTAAAATATTCAGATAAAATATCATTAAAATGTAATTGTGATATAATATTATGTAATATATATATTAAATAAGCAAATATAATATACAAAATAAATGATAAAATTTAAATACACTCTAGGTACTATTACCTACGGGTCATTCTACCTATGTTTATTCTATGATAAAAAAACAACCGCGCGAACACAGAGTAGCGCACATTTCTTGTTTGAGATAGCTGTTCTAGTACGTAAGTATATATTACTTCAATGTTCGGAACTCATTACGAATTGTCTCGCACGCGGACTCAACGACTTCCAGCCTCCCGAACAAGCCGGTCTCCGAAAAGGCTTTAGTACCATAGACCACATACACATATCGCAATGCTTCGTAGAACAAGAAAGCCTAGCGAAATTCGAGCGGTGCTGCAGTTCCTTTATCGGTGTCAAGTTGACTGTCGGTATATCGAAGTGCTGAAGTGTTTGTACACTATACAACTGTGAGACAGAGAAGTAAGACAGGGTGATGTAGTATACATGAAACTCTTCACGCTACTGTACTGGAAAGGATACGGTATTAACGTCAATGGCGATTACATCACTGACTTTAGATTAGCCAATGATATAGTTCTTATGGCTGAATCGCTAGGAGGACCTAAGCAGTAAGCTCAATAGTGTCTCCCAACGGATAGCTTTTAAGATGAACATGGACAAAACGAAAGTTATGTGTAATGTCCATGTCACACGTATGCCGGTGGTTGTTGGGAGCACTAAGCTCGAAGTTGTTGACGAGTACGTTTACCTGGGACAAGTAGTCCGACTAGGTCAGTCCAACTTCGACCGAGAAGTCAATTGACGGATTCCAATCGGCTGGGCAACGTTCGGAGATTGCAACACATCTTCTGGTCAGGCATACCTCAAAATCTCAAAACTAGATTGTACAACCAGTGTGTGTTGCCAGTAATGACCAATGGATCTAAGACGTGGTCCTTCACTGCCGGCCGTATAAGGAAGCTCGAAGTCGCTCAGCGAGCTATGGAGAGGGCTATGCTTGGAGTTTCTCTGCGTGATAAACTTAGGAATGAGGATATCCGCAGTAGAACCAGAGTAACCGACATAGCCCAACGGATTAGTAAACTGAAGTGGCAATGGGCCGGCCACATTGCTCGAAGAACCGATAACCGATGGGGAAAGAAGGTTCTGGAGTGGCAGCCTCGTACCGGCAGGCGGTGCAGGATGTCCCCCCACTAGTTGGAGTGACGGCCTGGTAAGAGATGCAGGAAATTGATGGATGCAGGTGGCTCAGGACCGTTCTTTGTGGCATACCTTGGGGGAGGCCTATGTTCAGCAGTGGACTTTGGAAGGACAGAATGATGATGATGATGATGATGTATGTAATTATTATATTAATGTATGTTTTATATTCGTATGGTTTAATTATCTTTTTTATTTTATTTTAACCTATATTGCTACGCTTACGTCAAACTTTCACCACTCCATGGGTTGGCTGGTGGAGGTGTCTCATGGCATTACGTCCGCGCTTTGTATTTTGTAATAGGGAATGCAATAAAGAATAAATAAATAAATAAATAACTTTCAGATCGGTGAGCTGTTGCTCTCGCACGCGGGCAGCGACGAGTTGAAGCTGTGCGACTTCGGTCTCTCGCGCCGCATCTCACAGAACAAGCTCGCGTCCCTGGACTACGGCATGCCGGAGTACGTGGCGCCCGAGCTGGCCGGCGGACACGGAGTCTCCTTCCCCGCGGACATGTGGAGCGTGGGCATCATCACTTACATCCTGCTCAGTGGACACTCTCCCTTCCGCGGCCACCACGACAGGGAGACACTCACCAGGCAAGTCTTCTAACTGCTGTAAGACATGTGGAACGTAGGCGTCGACACCTGCATCCTGCTTAGCGGACACTCACTGTTCCACGGCACAATTTTAGAATATATGTTTTATATAATTTAAGTGTATTTTTTATATTTAGGAACGCAGCTAGGATTTAGATAATTAATAATAAGAATATAGAAAAATTAAGGACGTGGTTGTTGTTGCTGGTGACCTAAAGTATAACAATATAGGCTGGGACAAGTAAGCTTTTTGTTGGTGCCCACTAGCTTGCCAATCTGTTTGCAAACGTCCACTAGCTACAATAACCACGTGCCTTCGGGTGGACCGTTACTTCGAATAACAAATTCTAATTAAAAAAATCAGGTTTAACAAATTGAGTATTGTCGCGATCAGGGTGCAAGAAGGCAAGTGGGAGTGGCACGACGAGGAGTGGTGGTCGCGGATGAGTCGCGAGAGCCGCGACTTCATCTCGCGGCTGCTGGTGCTGGACTGGCGCGAGCGCATGCACGTGGATGCTGCGCTGGCGCATCCCTGGCTCACCTTCGCCGACAAGATCTACCACGACGAGTACATCATCAGCACCGACCGCCTCAGAAACTACTATAATCTATACCGGTAATTCTTTTCATGCTTATTTATATTCATATTTTTTATTATTTATTTTTTATTCTCGTGTACCGTGCCAAAATTTATCAAATGAAACATTTCGATTTTATTTCCTTATTTTCTAATAATTTTGATTTAGGACAACGACAGTTCGATAGCCCCAATTGTAGGCTTAAAATATATGTTTTTCGTTAATCACCTGAGGTTCAATTTCAAATGGTAAATTAGGATATGGGATAAAAATGAAGGCATAGTGGGGAGTGTAAATCGAAAGTTTATGTAGCGTCGTTGTGTTTAATGCATGAAAGAGCCTCCTCTCATTTCTCAGAGGGTTCAAGGCAAGGAATTGTCCGCCGCACTGTCCCAATGAGTGTTGGCAGACTTCACATGACTTCCAAATATCTTTTTCTTATTTCTCGGACATCCAGGTTTCACGATATTTTCCTTCACCACTGAGCACATAGTAAATCAACATTTAAAATTTTAATCAAAAACTTAATTGGTGCCGGTGGGGATCGAACCCGAGTTGCTCGCGTGCTGTAAAATTTACAGCGGGCGCTAACCATCTGATCTACCACGGTCAAAAAGACATAAACGCTCATAATAATAGGCACAACTAAAAATTACGATGTTTTATTTGTTTTAATACTTGCCCCTGTTACTATAAGGATCATTTAAAAAATCTTAAGGCTAATAAAACTTGTGGCATGGCTCAATTAAATAGACTATTTTAAGCACAAACGATTAAAACATTTGCAGTTTGCGTGTAGCTTTCGAACTTGAAATTCTTTACAGGGACTGGACCAGCAACGCGCAATGCAGAACGTGGTTCAGACGTAGACCACTGTCCGGTGCCTTCGATCATCCCTCGAAGATGGTTTACCCTCCTGGCGAAATTTACACTCCTGAAGGTATTGCTAAAGAAGTTAATACGTTTCTAAAGTCTTTGGAATTGAAAGCTACGGTAGTTTTAAAATATATTAACCAGCCAATCGTGGCAACTATCCCATAGCAACTATCTTCTTTATAAGGCAATCTAAGGGTAGACCCTATGTTCAACAATGAATTTTGATGCCTATTATAAATAAATGTATGAAAACATAATGTCGGTCACTCAGCTTCTGCTTTTCATAACTTTTTATTAGCCAGTGCTTGACCACAATCCCACCTGGTGGTAAGTGGTGCTGCTGCCTTAGATGGTAAATCGCACTGTCTTAGCGTAACAAAAGCCTATTCACTATTGCCTTGAAAACGCAAGATTGTATTCGGCAAATTATTCCACTCCTTTGCTGTACGCATTAAAAATGTCGAAGTAAACCATTTGGTTCTACTGCGTGGAATATCGACAACAAAGAGGTGAAAACCCGCCGACCGCCTGGTCGTCCGTTGCTAGAAAGGAGAGGGAAGAATTAAAGCGTGAAATTCTATTGCGGATCCTCATTTTTAAGTTTATCACGCAGAGAAACTCCGAGCATAGCCCTCTCCATAGCTCGCTGAACGACCTTAAGCGTCCTTATACGGCCGACAGTGGAGGACCACGTTTCAGATCCATAAGTCATCACTGGCAACACGCACTGTTGTACAATCTAGTTTTCAAGTTTTGGTACACCACCAGACGAAAAAATGGATCGTAATTTCCCGAACACTGCCCAGCCGAGTTGAATCCGTCGATTGAAGTACAAATCAGTCCGAAGGTAAGTTGGACTTACCTAGTCGGACTATTTGTACCAGGTAAACATACTCGTCAACAACTTCGAGTTTAGTGCTTCCAAAAACTATCGGCATGGGTGTGACATGGACATTACATGTTTTGTTGTTGTTTTGTTTTGTTCATATTCATCTTTAGACCCATCCGTTTTGTGACATAATTGAGGTTATTGAGCATAGTGCTTAGGTCCACCAGCGATTCTGCCATAAGGACTATATCATTCGCAAATTGAAGGTCAGTGGTGTACCCGCAGTTAATAATACCGTATTCTTTCCAGTCCAGTAGCTTGAAAACGTATTCCAATAAAGCGGTGAAGAGTTTAGTGAATATAACGTTACCCTGTCTTACACTACAGTTGGATAGGTTTCGCACTCTGGTTCTGTACTCAGATAGTCATCGTAGCCCTACTGTACAAACACTTCAGTACTTCGATATACCGACAGTCAACTGACGACTGAATCAAAGTCTTTCTCATATTCCACATACGCAAGACATAGTGGCACATTGTACTCTTCGGCCTTATGTACAATTTGCCGAAAGGTATGTATGTGGTCTATGGTACTGAAGCCTTTTCGAAAGCCGGCTTTTTTGGTAAGCTAGAAGTCGTTGAGTCTGCTTGCGAGACGATTCGTAATGACTCACGAAAACAGCACGTAGACGCGGATAATAAAGGAAATCAGTCTGTAGTTTTCAAGAGAGCGTTGCACCTTTTTTGAAGAACAAGACCACCGCACTACTGCTCAAGGGCTCCTGAGTAGTTCCACTGAGGACGGAATTAAAGAGCTTCATAAGGACTCTTTAAAACATTGCCGTTAATGTATGCCTTATGGTTTGTCTTATCTTATGGTTTGCTCGCTCCTGCAAAATAGCTTCACGCTATAAGCAGGAGTGCTACCGGGCCTGGGCTGATGCATCAATGTCTCAGGATGTAAACACCAGCGCTCTTAAAAACAAGTATAATTCCGCCTCCAGGGCCTTCAAAAGAGTCATTGCCAAGCACATTGGCAGAATTGGCAAGAAACTAGTTCGCTTTCCTTCGGGAACACGTGCATTCTGTGGTCTTTCGCCAAGGCTGTCCAAGGAAATTTCTGTAAGCCATCACTTCCATCTCATCACAGGGAGGACGACTTCCTCGCCCAAGCCGCAAAAGAGAAAACAAACCGCTCTGATCCACCCAATTACAGGCCGTCTATCGCCGTAACCTCCTTGTTCTCGAAAATGATGGAGTTCATCATTAACTAGCAACTCATGCGATAGTGCCAGCTGATTAGTGACTATCAGTACAGTTTCCATCGGTGTCGCTCAGCTGGTAATCTTCTTGTTTACATAACCTTGGCGGTTAACCTGGTCTAGCGAAGGCCTTCAATCGGGTTTGGCACAAGAAGCTTCTTTCGTAGCTTCCATCTTATGGGCCTCCATAAAATTGGGCAATCGGAACACCAGTTTTCTCGCTGATCGGAGCATCAAGGTCGTATTAAACGGTGGATGCTCCAATTACAAGCCTATCAAGCTAGTGATTCAAAAAGCAAGTGTCTACGTTTTTCCTGTTGCATATCAGTGATATATTGCAAACTAGTAACATTCATTGCTGCTGCTGGTGCTTTTTACACCGGCCGTGTCAATATTTCTCGGGATCACGTCATCGAGTACCGGAACAAACTTGTGTCTGAAGTCGAGTCGTTGTTGAAAGTTTTGGATCGGGGACGACTAGATCTAGTCCAGTTTAACACTCAGAAGACGCAGCTTTGAGCGTATACCGCTAAAAAGAACCCTTAAGTCGTATCTCTTCAATTTTAAGGCAGTCCCCTTGCTGACTTAGCTTGCATCGGAATCCTCGGCGTCGACATATCGAATGATTTGCAGTTCCGTGGTCACTTGGAAGAGAAGGCTAAATTGGCACCTAAAAAGAGAAGAAATTGCTAATCATAGGTATCTTACATGGGATGCTTCAAAACACGGTCCTGAGCCATCAGCATTCATTAACCATCCATCTAGTGAGAGTCGTCCTATATTTTTCTTACGAGGCTGCAACTCTAAAACTTTATCTCTTGTCGGTTCTTCGAACTACATGGCTGGCACATTGCCACCTCAGCTTACTGATCCGTTGTGCTATGTCGGTTAATCTGGTTCTACTGTGGTATACTCATTTCTAAGTTTATCGCGCAGACAAAATCCGAACACAGCCCTGGAAAGGACTATATACTCGGAAATATAGCTCGCTGAGTGACCTTAAACTTTCTCATAGTATAATAATGTGTAATTAAGATGGTCATTACAATTGTAGGGTCTCCTGAACGGGATCGCTCTCCTCACGGCCGGCCCGCTCCCGATCTTAGCATGCCGCACTGGGAACATCCCGACTGGGAGGTCTCCGCCAAATCCGAGAGCCAGTGAGTTCTTCATATTTAGTCTTATATCTATTAAAATGTACATATAATATTATGTCTGATATGTTGATTGGTTTTGATAAAGAATACCGTTTAATTTTCTTAGAATAAGTGAAAAGTAAGTAAGAAAAGAAATATAAGTGGATGCTGAGGAAGTGATGGCTTGGTGAGTGTGTGCCAATGGATATCTACATATATCTTCGATTAAGTATGCGATGCATTTTTACCCATGAAGACTAAGATGGACTTGTTTCGTCTAGACAGGGTCTTCGGTTTTCAACATTTGTTTAGTTGACACATTAATAAATTACTGCGTTATATAATTTAAATTTTTTTCTTTTAGTAGTGTTATAAATATGGCCGATTTTCGCATTTTAAGTTATATTTCAGTATTAAAAATATATAAACAATATAGTATTTACTTGACTATGAAACTATGACGTGATAACACTATATTCCCATAAAACTTTCTTAGGAATGTTAATTTTATGATATGATATTATAAAAAATACATGAAATTTTATAGGAATTTATTATGATTGGATTTCATGTATTTTAAATTTTTTGCGCGAAACCCTATTTTTCTAAAATTAAAGTAGCTTTTGGTAAAGATAAACAGGACTAATCTAGAAATTGTTCCATCCTTAAATCTAAAGAAGAATCTGTCTTCTTCTTCATCATCAGTACTTAGAAGTCCATAGCTGGACTCCTGTTGGAGAGGATTTGCATTAATCGCCTCCCTGGCAGGCGTCTTGACATTGCTGACCGCTGCCGATCTGGGTATTCTGAGTCTTTTTTAATAGGATAGGGTGACAAACGAGCACACCCTCCACCTGATGGTTGTTGCAGCTCATAGACATCTACATCTATCCTCGGTTAAGAATCAAAATGCAGATGCGTTGTCACCCGTGAGGACTAAGATGGAATGCCTCTTTTCCAGTAATAAGGGTCTCCGGTTCGCAGAACCACGCGCTCACAGAACACCATTGTAAAATAGCAGCTTAATGTAGCTGTGTTTCATATGGTGAGTGAAGAGACCGGAGACCCTTTCTCAATGGAAACAAGACATTCCATTTTAATCGACGCATCTGTATTTTTGGATTCGATTAATTCGAAAAGATGTCTATGGGCCGCAGCGTCCACTTACCATCAGGTTGACTGTGAGCTCGCTTGTCACCCTTTTGTTAATTTAGTAGATTTAATTTATTTAGTATATAGTTTATATAGAATATTGTTAATACTAAAGTAGTATAAGAAGTATGGTTCTCGTACATAGGGCAGATAATAGAGAGTTTGTTGTGCGCAGCTACCAGAACGGACCGGACACGTACCTGCTGCAGCTGCGCGACGTGCAGTTCCCGGTGCGGCTACGCGAGTACATGAAGGTGGCCTGCCTGCGCTCGCCCGCGTACAACATCGGCCTGCACGACTCCTACGACCCACGGGTCAGTCTCACCGCTGAACACAGCGCCCATCTGCTATTTACACGTTTCCACTTATTTTCGCTACTTTCCCACCACCACGTTGTTTAAACTTAACTAATTTAATTTTAACTTAGATTGACAACCCGAGCATCAAATGTAGTGTTGTGTATTAGAGTTGACAACCCTAGTATCAAATATAGTATTGAATATTAGAATTGGCAACCCTAGTAAGAAATGTAGGTTTGAATATTGTTCCCACCACCGCGCTGATTAACTGACTTATTTATTTGGGATTGACAACACTTATGTCAAATATAATATTGTACTGTATTTACCCACAACTATATTTTATTTATTTACGACTTCCCACCATAGTGGTGGCAAGTTGGTGGCGTTAGCGTTTACTAATTTAATTTTAACTGAAATTGCCAACCCTAGTATCAAATATAGTATTGAATACTAAAATTAGTAACCTTAATATCCGAAATACTTTTGAATACTAGTATTAGCAACCTATTAGCATACCTATTATTGAATATAGTATTAGGGTTGGTAACCCTCTTTCAAAAATATTTTTTATTACATTTTTGTAAGCTAAACAAGACCAAGGCGACCCCTGCCACGCTGTCCGTGAATTTCTGCAATATCAGGGGACTTCACTCTAACCTAAACGCCGTCCACTACCATCTCGAGACGGCGAGGCCGGCTCTGCTCTTTCTGACCGAGACGCAGGTGTCCTCTCCGGCTGATGTCTCGTATCTCTCCTGCCCGGGGTACAAAGTGGAACACTCCTTTGTGCCTCGGGCTGGAGTTTGCGTTTACGTCAGAGAGGACATCTGTTCTCGACGCCTCGGCAGACTTGAAGGTTCGGACCTGTCCATCCTTTGGCTACGCGTAGACAGCGACGACCATCCGCGCGTCTACGGGTGCCTCTATAGGTCCCATAGCGGTAATGCCGAAACAGACCGACTCTTCGACCACGTCCAAATGGCTGCAGATTCGTTGCTACAGCAGATCCCCTCCGCAGAGATCGTGATCCTCGGCGACTTTAACGCCCATCACGCCGAATGGCTCGGTTCACGTTTAACCGATCATGCGGGGAGACCTGTTCATGATTTTGCCTTGGCATATGGTCTGACACAACTGGTTACTTCGCCTACGCGGATTCCAGATGTGGAGGATCATGCACCTTCCCTGTTGCACCTTCTGCTGACCTCTCACCCGGACAGATATCAGATTTCCGTCGACGCCCCTTTAGGCTCCTCGGACCATTGTCTTGTCCGGAGTGTGGTGCCACTCACGCTGAAATCGCGGTTGCATTCTGCAGGCTGCCGCCGTGTTTGGCACTATAGGTCAGCCGATTGGGATGGGATGCGGTCTTTCTTTGCATCCTACCCTTGGGGGCGGGTTTGCTTCTCGCCGGACGATCCCAACGTTGTTGCGGATTCTGTCGCTGATGCGGTACTTCAGGGTATGGAACTTTTTATTCCTTCCTCTGTGGTGCCCATTGGAGGCAAATCTCAGCCATGGTTTGGTCGCTCCTGTAAAATAGCATCATGCTATAAGCAAGAGTGCTACCGAGCCTGGGCTGACGCATCAGCGTCCAGGGATGTAAACACCAGCGCTCTAAAAAAGAAGTATAATTCCGCCTCTAGGTCCTTCAAAAGAGTCATTGCCAAGGCAAAGTCAGAGCACATAGGCAGAATTGGCGAGAGACTAGTTCGTCTTCCTTCTGGAACCCGTGCATTCTGGTCTCTCGCCAAGGCTGTCCAGGGGAATTTCTGTCAGCCATCTCTTCCATCTCTGCACAGGGAGGACGACTCACTGGCCCACACCGCAAAGGAGAAAGCCGATCTTCTAGGCTCTTTCTTTGCGTCTAACTCGACTCTCGATGACGGGGGGAGTACGCCGCCGAACATCCCGCGGTGTGAGTGCTCCATGCCGGAAGTGCAGTTCACTCAGCGCTCGGTTCGCAAAGCACTCCTCTCCCTGGACATCCACAAGTCGAGTGGGCCTGACGGAATCCCCCCAATTGTGCTGAGGACGTGTGCTCCAGAGTTGGCACCGGTTTTAACGCGTCTTTTCCGGTACTCCTACTCCCTAGGCGTAGTCCCAAAATCATGGAAGACGGCTTTCGTCCACCCGATTCGGGTTTGGCACAAAGCGCTTCTTTCGAAGCTCCCTTCCTATGGGCTTCCCGAGAAATTGTGCGATTGGATCACCAGTTTTCTTGCAGATCGGAGCATCAAGGTCGTTGTAGACGGTGCAAGCTCCGATTGCAAGCCTATTAATGCTGGTGTTCCACACGGCTGCGTGCTATCGCCAACGCTGTTTCTTCTGCATATCAATGATATGTTGCAAACCCGTAGCATTCATTGCTATGCAGATGACAGCACTGGTGATGCTCTTTACACCGGCCGAGCCAATATTTCTCGGGAAAACGTCTCTGAGTGCCGGGACAAACTTGTGTCTGAAGTCGAGTCTCTGCTGGACAGAGTCTCGGATTGGGGGGCTACTAAATCTAGTCCAGTTTAACCCCCAGAAGACACAAGTTTGCGCGTTAACCGCTAAAAAGAACCCCTTTGTCGTATCCCCTCAGTTTCAAGGCATTCCCCTTGTTGCCTCAGCCAGTATTGGAATCCTCGGCGTCGACATATCGAGTGACGTGCAGTTTCGTGGTCACTTGGAAGGGAAGGCCAAATTGGCCTCTAAAAAGCTTGGCGTGCTCAGCAGAGCGGGACAGTATTTCATGCCGGCACACCGCCTGCAACTTTACAAGGCGCAGGTTCGGCCGCTCATGGAATACTGTTCCCATATCTGGGCATGGGCTCCCCAGTACCAGCTCCTTCCACTTGACCGCATCCAGCGCAGAGCGGCTCGAATCGTCGACGACCGAGTGCTTTCCGATTCACGATTCACTGGCGCTACGAAGAGATGTTGCATCTCTTTGCGTATTTTATCGCATCTATCACGGGGAGTGCTCTGAGGAATTGTTCGGATTAATCCCAGCCGCCAAATTTCGTGAACGCACTACACGGCAAACGTCCCGATACCATCCACACCATCTGGATGCTTGGCGGTCCACCACTGTACGTTTCAAAAGGAGTTTTCTTCCGCGTACAACCTCTCTGTGGAATAATTTACCACCGGCGATTTTTCCGGACCGATACGACCTGGGGACCTTCAAGAAAAGAGCTTACTCCTTTCTAAAGGACCGGCAACGCACCTGCAATTCCCCTGGTGTTGCGGTTGATCATGGGCGGCGGTAGTCACTTAACATCAGGTGAGCCACATGCTCGTTTGCCCCCTCTTCTATAAAAAAAAAGCTAGTGCTTGACCACAATCACAACTGGTGGTAAGTAGTGATGCAGTCTTAGATGGTAAATCGCACTGTCTTAGCGAAACAAAAGCCTATTCACTCTTTGAAAACGCCCAGATTAGGTATATTCAGACGGTAAGACGGTTGCGGTGACACTCGCAAATCAAAGTACAATTTGATATGAGTGAAATTGAGAATTAAGTGAAAATATTACAAATCTTCCCAAGTCTATAAATTATATTTCTTTTATAAAACTCAAGTAGTAATCAAACTTACAATCCACATGAAGGTAAGTGGCTACTGAGGTCCATCGACACCTGCAACCAATTTCAAACAATGAACTTGCGTTGTCACCTCTGAAGAACACGACGGAATGCCTTACAGCCTGTAATTATACTGGTTCTATATACCCTGCAGATTGGAATACAGCAGTGCAATCACTGCTATTTGGCGAGCGAAGTAAGTAAAAACATGGTGCCTGCCCAAATGGACCGCTAAGTGGAAAAGGAGCTCACCTCTCCTATATTAGTAATAAAAATTATTTTTTATATATTGAAAGCACTAACACTTACTTCACTGTTACTGTTTCATGAAATAAATATTAAAATTTTAAATCTGCCACTTATATACCTATATTTGGATTTATCCGATCTGCTACATCATAAAATAAATTTACGAGTTGACAAATGAATACTATACTAAATGGTGTGAAAAATTTTGACAACTCTAATTTTAACGAGCGAAAAATACATACTACAGCAAATCTAAAGTCAAAACTAATGTACATATAAGAGTTTAATAGTATTTTCAAAGTAAGAGTCATATATTCACAAAAGCTATTTTTTCACTAGACTCCCATCATCCACGAACGTCGCCGCTTCACCGACATTATGGACGAGGAGATCGACGACGAGCGCCGCGAGAGGATCAACAATTACGGCTCCGAGAGCTACACCATCCGCAGACTGAGGCACGAGCTGGGCACCAGACTCGACAGCTATGCGGAAGCCCAGGCGCTTATGGAGTCTAAAAAAGACGGCCAGCTGCCCTTCTTCAGAGAGAAGCCCCAAATCCTCCCCATCAGAGAAGGCGAGCCCGCTCAACTGTCCTGCTACGCCGTCGGAGACCCTAAACCTACCATCCAGTGGTTTAAAAATGACATGGTCATCGCTGAAGGTCAACGCATCAAGATAATCGAAGACGACGACGGAAGATCCACACTGAAACTGGACCCGGCAATGCACCACGACGTCGGTTTCTACAAAGTAGTAGCGAGAAACAAGGTCGGACAAACCGTCGCTCGCACTAGAATCGTGGAAGCGACCCACCCTGATGCTCCAGACAGTCCAACTGCAGCAGATGTCTCCGACACAGAAGTACTTCTCAGGTGGAAACAGCCGAAATACGATGGCAACAGCCCAGTCGTGTGCTACAGCCTCCAATACAAAGCAGGCGATAGCGTCGATTGGAAAACGGTGGCCGAGAACATCGACCACGAGTTCTTCGTGGTCAGAGACCTGCAACCTGACACCAGCTACCAGTTCAGGCTGTCCTCGCGCAACAGGATCGGGTGGAGTGAAAAAGGGATCCCGACAAACTTAGTGAAAACCAAACAAGCGGGTGCTCCAAAGATCGAGGTCACAAAGGCCATGAAACATTTGCAACAGCTGACTGAGTCCGGCCAAGAGATAGTATTAGAGGAAGAGAAGCCCAAATTGGACTACAGTATCGAGAACAACCCGCTCGACTGGTGTCCCGGCGAATCGTTCACGGAACGCTACAGTTTCATATCGGAGCTATGGCGCGGAAAGTTCTCTATTGTCGTGAAGGGCATAGACAAAACCAACGACAGTGTGGTCGTGGCGAAAATATTGGAATGCCGGCCGGAAACGGAAGTTCAAGTGCAAAGGGAGTTCGAGTGTTTGAGGAGGCTCAGACACGAGAGGATATCCAACCTATTAGGGGCCTACCAGACCCCTGGAACCCCGTACGCATCATTGATTTTAGAAAAGCTTCAGGGCGCTGACATTCTGACGTACCTCTCCAGTCGTCACGACTACACGGAACAGATGGTCGCGACCATAGTTATCCAGATATTGGACGCCCTGCAATATTTGCACTGGCGAGGGTACTGCCACCTGGACCTGCAGCCAGATAACGTGGTGCTGTCGTCCGTCCGCGCGATCCAGGTGAAGCTAATCGATTTTGGATCGGCGTTCAGGGTCACCAAGCTAGGCACCAGCGTTCCCCAAGTTGGAGAATTGGAATACAAAGGTATGGAATAAAATCCAGATTTCATTTCTTTACTAAGACCCCAGGTACTTTTTTACCTGACTGCGTCAGAACTGTAGTGAAAGGCAATGTTTTTGTGTAATATGTATTTATCAGTAAGCTGAAATGGCAATGGGCACGCCCATATAACTCGAAGAACCGATAACCAATGGGGAAAAGTTTTAAAGTGGCAGCCTCATACAGTCTGGTACTGACAAGGCCAGGTTGGGCTGTAATGATGATACAAATGCCCATTTCTTTGTACGGCCCTACTTCTTAAATTTGTAATCTGACACAATATCTCAGTCAATTTTACTTTGTTATGACGTAATCGTACTAACTTAAAGTGAAGATTAATTACCAAGAACTTTTGATCAAACTTTGGCTTAAATATATATTTACTTTTTTTATGGTAGAGCCACACTACAGCTATTTCGTTATAGCGTGAATGGGTCGGCTCGACCGGGTAAGGACCACGCTCTCACAGAATACCAGCGTAAAATAGCAGCTTAATGCTGTGTTTCGTATAGTGAGTGTAGAGAACCGGAGACTCGTTTTACTGGAATCGAGGTATTCCATCGTAGTCCTCAAGGGTGACAACGCATTCTGCATTTCGATTCCTAAGCGAGGTGAACTATAGTTGTCAATGGGCCACAGTATCCACTTACTATCAGGTGGACTGTGTGCTCGTTTGTCATCCTAATCCTATAAAAAAATATTCTTTTGCTAAAATGATGAAGATCTATATCTATTTCTTTACAAATAATTAAGATTAAAGGGTCTGTTTGTAATGTGAAAATAGCAGCTATTTACTAAATGCATATAAAAGTACAGACGGTACTTGTAACAAAAACACAATATTTAGAATTTTTGTATCTGTTTGTTATCTGGACCTAACCTGACGGGACTTTCACTGGCAGATAGCTGATGTTATAAGGAGTAAATTCGGCTACTTTTAGTTTAAAAAAGGAATTAGGATTCATAAAAGTAATTTAATTTTTACAACAGTAAAATTTACCCTTAAATAAAAAATAAAAGCCGACTACAAAAACTAAAAAGATTAAAACAATTTTACATTCTAGAAGTTTTAACTCTTCTATCTACTGCCCCATATCATCCCGTGGTTGTTGTAATCGGTGACAGAGGGAAATTGGAACAGGTGATGGCATGTTCCAGTGTCTTCATGATAACAGCTCTAATAAAACAGTACGGTTGTTAATCCGCCTAACAAACCTGGCTACTATGGCAAAATCCACCCTATTCTAAGTTTTAGTGTACGCAATCTAAGTTTTACATGGACACATGCACACGGGATGAATGAATGGAATATCTTTTATAAGTAAAGTTGACGTAGTAGAACCATGCTGCAGTTATATTATGGTTGTAGCTCGAATGAGTCCGCTCGACCGGGGAGCTAACAGAATACCAGCGTGAAATACTTTACGAAAAAAGCAGCATTGAGCTGCTAAGTGTAACGAAAGATTCCATCTTAGTCCTCATGAGTGACAACGTACGCATCTGTATTTTGATTTTTTAATCCACACCTCCCACCACTTTAATCCACAGAATATTCATACCATCGGGTGGATTGTGAGCTTATTTGCCACCCTTGCATTCTATAAAAATTCTAATATAACAATTTATCACCAATTTCCCAGCACCGGAGGTGATCAACGACGAGCCAGCCTACCCGCAGACCGATATCTGGTCCTTGGGTGTACTAACCTACATCATGCTGTCAGGAGTATCTCCATTCCGCGGCGCTGATGACGCGGAGACAAAGCAGAACATCTCTTTCGTGCGGTATCGCTTCGAGCACCTTTACAAGGAGATCACTCAGGTTCGTGATAATTGCTCAGTGGCTATTCAATTCCGAGCATGACATTTATCATTCGACATCGGTTACTCGGTTAGTTGGCAGATCGTTCCACAGTTTGCGTTATTCGTTTCGTTTTCGCACGTTGGTTAGGTTGGTTGTGGTTGGATCACAGAGTACTTTTTATATACCGAGGTTGGATATGTGATAACGGTTATGTACTTAGGTTTATCTATATGATACGATATTTTGATAACATTACGTTATTAAGTAGTTGTGTTTTGATATATCGGTCTCATGCCTAGATCCCTGTTATTTGTTTAATGTGCGTCTTCCATTAACTTAGTGTGATATCGTTTGTAACTTCGTACCATGATAGATGCTCAAAATTAAATGTCCTATCATTGAACTAACTGTTTGCTTCAAGAAATGCAGATTTGTATATACATACATATACTTATTAAATATTGAGCTTTTTATGGCCAAACACTTAAACGCAATTTTAAGATGATAAGTCTCGTGGTGTCACAGTCACTTTGACTTAAGTGATAGAGACAGAGGCATCTTAGAATAGAACAGCGTTTTGGACGACACACACGGTCAGTTCAAACTAGGATTGTTCATATTTATAAAAATATCGGATTCGATTAAAAAAACTTATATATAAAACTCCGATATTGATATATTTATAATTACCGATATATCAAAAACGCGATATTTTAAAAAATATCAACAGTCCTAGTTTGAACTGATCAGTTGGAATGATCAGTTGACCTAACCGTATATGTCGTTGATTTGAGTAGTTGGGCATTAGTCACGTTTCTTTCCAGCAATAATTATCGATATCATTATTTTGTGACATATTTATGTAGTTTTTTTTTAATAATATTAAAGTGGTAGACGGTCTAACGGTCTACCAAAGCCTATGAACACCACTTTTATTGCCGTGTACTTAGGTACTTAGAGGTTCGCCTCCTTGCCTGCCTATTAACTACACATCAGCATGTTACCGTTTAGGAGCGGTGTAACATATTCTTACCCCATAACAATCGATTGCGTGTCGTAAGAGGCGACAGAGTAAACAAATCAAAAGAGTGGAAGAAGGAAGAGCTGCGGTTGCCCACCCACTTGCCAGGCGTGGCAAATTTGGCAAATAAGGCAATCTATGGGGGAGGCCGATGTTCAGCAGTGACCTTTAATAGAGGGTAAAGGTTTCATGTTATTGTAATATGATAATATCGTACAAAATAGTAGCCTTCTGTTATTTCCCATATCTAACAAAGCTGATGTCATACAGGAGGCGACCCGTTTCCTGATGTTCGTGTTCAAGAAGGTGCCTCTGAAGAGGCCGTCAGCCGAGGAGTGCCACGAGCACCGCTGGCTCGCGCAGTCCGACTTCATACACAAGAAGCGGGAGAGAGCCGTCTTCTTGGGCAACAGGCTAAAGGTGAACAAATACAATATGTTTCTAAAACAAATTTTGCAAACAGTTTGTGCAACTTTTCATATTGGAGTGTACGTGAGAGTGGTATATGGTCACTTTTTTATAATTCGAAAACTACAGCCTTGTTTATATAGATGTCTCCAGTGTGATACGATAGCTCTTCATCAGGCAATGAAATAATATACGGTCAAAAGGACGTTGCTTTATTGACGCCATTTTGACAGTAAATATTATGTAAATAAATATAGTCTTATAACTGTCTTTTTTTTTTACTTGATTTTCCAAAGTCCTTATTATTTCCATAGCTTGTTGCATTTTTTTTCTTAATACATATATTATTTATAGTATAAGACTTCGTGTTTTTGTCTCTGTCTTCCCCCTAGTTTTGGTTTCATAGGCGGCAAATCTTAATTTATAATTTATCTTGAAAAAAAGTGTCGCTGGGTTTATAACATATTTTTATATTACATAATTATCTATTTATTTTTATATTTCTACAAGTTCCCATGAAATTTGTTTCCTAAAAGATGAGATAAATCACAAAGAAAGAAAGAATAAACAAAATAGTAATGCATCAAAGTGTTTTTGTTTTTCTAAATGCCTCCAAACAACCATGCTCTAGGGCCATTAAATGATTTAAGGTAACCAAACTGCAATAGCTGTTATAAATAACGACATTTTATTCGGGATAAAATAAATCAATACACCGATATCAACTTAATCTCATATTAATCTCGCATTTATTCCAGGAATTCTCTGAGGAGTATCACGAGAAGAAAGCAAGGGAAGCGTCACAGGCGGACACCGTAGCGACGGCTTTCGGCCAAATTGCCGCGCGACACCTCACGCGCTCCAACAGCATCCAGGAGGAGCTGCTCACCAACTTCTCCAGTCAATGACCAACTCACGCTCACCAACTTACCCACCCGCATCACCTCATCACCTCAAAACCACATGTTACTAGTGACCACCAAAGCGATCCACGTCGTTATTGACGAATTCGAAAAATAATTCTATGTTATAGCAGGCTTTATGGTTACTTGTACGTATGACAACAGTATGCTAGAGAATTAAAAAAAAGTAATTATTTTTTATAATAATTCAATGTTCTAGTATTTACCTACCATTCAATTCATTTCAAACACAAACAAAAGTCAATGACCCAAAATCATAATATATACGGAATGACGCTTTTGTACAGTCGTCCGTGACATCTTCACTAACATAACATAACAATTCACGCATGTCACAATATTCTAGTCAAGGAGGAGATTTGCAACAACTCGGTTTCTATGTTTAGGCTAATGTATTTATTGTATACAAATTTTTACTATTTATTTATTATTTACAATTGGGTATACTGATGCTTCGATATGGATGAAGTAATAAATGGCACTGATTTGATGTAATTGCCGTTTTATTTCAATGTATTTTTAAATATATAATGTCCTCCAGAACGAGTTTGCGTCACGGCCAATCGCAACGGAGACCAGCCACCTGCGCAGGACAGGATTATAATGTACGAGTGTATGCGCAAGCACAGGTGCACTCTCTATTCCCTCACTCTCATAATCCGATGGAACGGCAATCCAACACGACCGCAGAGATCAGTCGCAGGACTATCTTTACGTGCTTTCCGAGGCATAGGGATGACAGCGCGAATTTATTGACTCCAAACTGCTAGTGAGAATTTTTTTAAAGAACTACATATTATCTAATATTAATAACTAATTTTGGTCCGAACCTGTATTCGAACCCGGGCCCTATGATCAGCATCCGCAATCACTAGACCAATGAGGCAGGCAAGAAATTAAATGTTTATATAACCGTGTAGTTACGAACGGTACTATACGGCGTAAAAACCATCAAGTAGGTAAGAAGAAAGGTAAGAATCTATCACCCGATTCCGTTAAATGTGTCTCGTAAGAAGCGACTATGGGAAATACCAGAAAGGCTAGTTTAGCAGTATTACATATTCCTATATCGTTTAAGCCGGACTTAAGGCTCAACTTACATTACTGCGGTATGGAATGGAAGCGGATTGTTGTAACAAAATTGTACATAGTAAATTGAGCCTTATGTTATTTGTGTAACGCGCAAACTAGATACGAAAAATAAGTCGCGCATCTTCCGAGGAATTCTCGAGGATTCCCGTAGTTATTGTCGGCGAAGTCTGTGGAATTCGCGGGTAAAGGTGCGAAGGGCGTGGAATCTAGACTAACTTTTCTACAGCCCTAAGGCGACTGCTGTATAGTCCGTAGGCGAATTCGCGCGCCTTCCGCATTCCGCGAAAGACCTTCCAGGCAAAAAACAAACAAAAGCTCTCTTTTTCTTTTTTACTTCAAATATTTATTTCATTGTATATTATTCATATATATATATATATATATATATATATATATATATATATATATATATATATATATATATATATATATATATTACTGTTACATGTAAGTTTTTAAATAAAAAAATTATGGGACATGGAAAGTGTAAATAGTCAGTTTACGCCAGTGTAGTGGCGGCGTAAGAACGTTCAGCTAGCGACAGAGGAAAACTGAAACATGAGATGGGCGGCAGCATCTTCGTGATAACAACTCAAAATAATTAAAAGAACTTCAGTTACCAGCCCGCTTGCCAAGCGCAGCTGCTCTAACAAAATCCCTAAAAAGACTTGTGTTTCGCAGTGGACTTTTGACAGGCTGTAATGATGATCATGTAGATGAGGCTAGTAACACCGAGATAAGTGACGTAATGCAGCGTCAAAGCTGCCTTTCTACATTGGGCGACGCCCATGTGAACCAGTGGACCTCTATTAGTTGATGAAAATGATGAGGAAGTATAGAGCACTGTCAATCTGACATTTCGCTTTCCATTGCGCACTAACTTCAAGTGCGTTGGGTAGAACATGCGAAAAAAATCAATGAAACTTCCATTTACTTAATAATTGTTAATTGTCAAATTGTTATAAATTTTTTTGTGTTAGAGCCACGCTGCAGCTATTCTATAGTTGTAGCATGAAAGGATCGGCTCGACCAGGGCAGGATACCTGCGTAAAAAAGCAGCTTAATGCTGCTGTGTTTCGTATGGTGAGTGTAGAGAACCGGAAACCCATTTTACTGGAATCGAGGTGTTCCATCTTAGTCCTCACGCGTGACAACGCATCTGTATTTTGATTCTTAATTGAGGATAAATGTGAACATCTATGGCCACGGCATCCACTTACCATCAGGTGGACTGTGTGCTCGTTTGTTACCCAATGCTATAATAAAAAAAAACCTTCATTTTGTTGATAAAATAAAAACTAAATTTGTGGCATGTCACACACGTTTAGGGAGTTAAGTTATCAGTTAAATCCTATCTTATTGTTATGCTAAGCTATATACTCAACGAGCTCTAGAATGTTATATCTACTATTGTTAACAGACTAATAGTCAAATACTCAAACGCAAAAGTTAAGTCTTGTGTCACAGTCACTGACTTAAAGTGATAGAGCACGAGACTTAAAGGCATTTTAAAAATGAGCAGCGCTTAAGTATTTGAGCATGAGACGATAGATATAAATCTATATTAAATAAAGTTTGTTCAACTGTGTCCTCGTAATGAGGTGTTATGCAAATTACACCTTTGTATTCAAATAGAGCCGCGGTGGCTCGGGAACTTATCACCTTATTTTTACGAGAGCACACTCAGTTCATTCCCCACCCGCGCTTAAAATTGTTATGTACTAATTTTAAGTTCTCAACGGGGAAAGAACACATTATTATGAAACCAGAACGTCTGAGATACTAAAATATTTCTATATGTAAAGTTTGCTAATTGGAGCGGCATTTTTTCTTCCTCCTTTACCTTAGGTGTAACCTGCAAGTCTGAGAAAAGGCGTGTGCCCAGCTACGGAACCTTTGTTAGCTAGCATTTTAACTTTATAATTCGCTGATAGTAATTTTTTGAGATCGTTATTAATAACCGTAATATTAAATAGCAGCGTCACCTTTGATACCGTGAGATTTGATACTGAATCATAACTGGCAGTACACATGTTAAGTGCATTAAATCTCTAAAGTAAATTGTCTAAATTGAAATTACATATAATGGTATGTTATAACGATTTCTATGAAAGCCATAACCATTTTGTATAATGTCCTTCAGACCGAATTACGGTCACGGCTGCCAATATCACCGGAAACTAGCCATCTACGCCGAACAGGACTATAGGGTAAAAATTTGTGAAAAGCACAGATGCACTCTCTATTTCCTCACTCTCGTAGTCCAATGGCACGACAATTCAACACGACCCGAGAGAGATCAGGTGCGAGACCAACGGCTTTACACCTCAAACTTTTTGACTCCGGGCTGATACCAAGAACATCTAGACAGAGAAATCCAATAACTGAATTAGATCAGACCTGGGTATCGAATCCGGGACTACATGATCAGCAATCGCGACCACTGGCCCAACGTGGGAGTCATGTTTCTTTTTATAATACCATAATGAATAACCAGCTAACAGTCAACATTATATTAAGTGGTTACCGCAGCTCATGTCACCAGTCTTTACCTGTTTTTCAGAAACTTGTACACAGTCACTATCTTAATCGTTGAGTTCATGCCATCTATTTTTGTAGTATACATTCGTATTTTTTGTATTTATTTGTTGTTTATTTATAATTATATTATATAAAATATGGATATATTTATAAATATTGTTTCTGCATCACCAAACCACACAATTTACTACTTTTTGCGATCCTGTCCTTCCAAAGGTCGTCTGGAAGAAATCGCTTTTAGCGATAAGACCGCCCATTGTGACACTATTTTTTTTTCTTCTTTCGTTTATGTATTGATTTGCTGTACAATAAAGAATTATCTATCTATCTATCTATGTCATGGGCACCAACCATGGCAACCAAAAACTGGGACACAGCCCCGTTACCCCCACACTATCGTGGTTATTATATATCGTGATATCGGGATTTTCTCCTGTATCGTGGGGGCAGTTCACATATATAAATTTCACAAGAACGAACATCTAGACCCGGAACACTTGTAGACCATACAATTACTTGTTCCCTGCGAGATTCGAATCGAGAGTACGTCACAACAACTACTGAGTTTCAGATTAAAGATATTAAGGGTTGAGTTTTAGTTTTAGTTTGATTTATTCTGTGCCTATAGAGAGTGCCACAATATGTGTGCTCTAGTCTATTGGGATTATGTTGTTCAAGGATTAGATGCAGCGTCAAGAACATCGTGACAATCAAAACTTTTATCATATATTCGAGGCAAATACCTATAAAAATGCAATAGATGGTAAAAAACAAATAGTATGTTTTAAATTCATATTTAAGTAATATCAGTCATAAAATATAGTAGGATACCAACAGTAGAGTTGGTAACCCTAAGCAAATACAGCACCACACCCTGAGCAATTTGAGTTCTTGTCTTGGCCCCAGGTGAGATTCAAGCTCAAGCCTCACGGCTCCTGTATCATGATATTAAACAACGCGGTCAGAATAATAACATAATGTATAATAATTTGAAAGTAGTTGCTAATGCTAATAAAGCTGTGTTTTAATATTTATAGATAACACTTGAAAGAGAAACCGAAACCGACTTCAAAGAGAAGGAAGTACTCAATTCGACTGTATTTTTATGTGTGTTACCTCAGAACTTTTTTTAAGTGAACCGTTTTTGATTATTCTTTATTTTATTTGAAAACTGCTTCTCAAGTGATCCCATATAAATTTCATCAAGATCTGACCAATACTTTTCGAGTTATCCTAAATTATACGTATGTGGCGGCGATGTCGTCGTGTCACAAGCGATACACACCGAAACCTAAATCGCGCTATCAAAATTCCAAATCATAAACAGTATATATAGAATAGCTCCGAACTAT